TTCACAAGCAGGGATTTTTAAATTTGCCTGGTACATATGTGTACCATTCGGGACGAAAGGGTTAAATCTTATAAAATCGGATTTAGTTATATGTGCTAGTGGTGAAAAAAATCTATACATACCTACTTTAGTAAGGTTATTGTTATACTCGTATAACCGGTAATGGGTTACTTTTCGCCCTAGATATGTAATGTACTAAATATAGTGAGGTATCTGTATCTTGGTTTTGAATGGGTATATCACAGAAATAATCAATCGTTCGCCAATGGTTGTATAAAGGTAGAAAAAAAAGTTTGCATTTTTAGATAAAATGACCAGAATGAAGATCTTGTTCAAATTAAATGCAAACAACTATCCAACCATTCGTAGAACATTATCTGAGCTCAAATGAGGTAAGTGCTTCAGTGGGAATATTTGGTCGACTTATCTATAAAACATTGCTCATCAATTTCAGATCCTGAAAATTCTCAACAACAAAGAGTTTCTATTCTTTCTGCCTTCTATTTGAATATTTTCAGATATTCTTGTGACCACAAACAGTCCTAGTATTGCAGCGGAATTTCTGTCCGGGCAAATATATCCATTGAACGCAGTTACTTTAAAAATGACAGAACTGCACTCCGTAAATGTTGCTTCAAACATAAACAAGTGTCTTTAAGAAATACAATTATTTCCTCTTGAGAACTTGTATATTTATCAAACTTAGTGAAAGCGTTAATAGTATTATATCAGAGTTTTTTTACTGAAATACACGTACTTTTTACATGTGATGTAGTTCTACAGCATTATACTGTATAAATGTCCATATTATAAGTATGGTCCGCCCCAAATACGAGCTTAGCACCTACCGATGGTGACAGGAATTGTAGTAGCAACGTTTGGGACGACACTGTATGTGGCACCAATTGTATGGAAGTAGTACGTCAGAATTTCATACTACAAAGGCAATTTCGCGGAGGTAGGCGAAAAATCTGACTCCCACCTACAAAGGGTACTATAAAAGTTTTGCATTACACTTCTCCATCCGCCAAAAGCAGTCCTTGAACCACCTCTGTCAAGTTTCACCCGGGAGTGCGGCACACTGTTGTCTCAAGGTCCTCATCGTTTTCCTTTTAGCTTCATTTCCACATGCGGAACAGCGCAAAGTCGCAGAGAGCAAGATCTGGATTGTCAGGAGGGTGCTCAATAAGTTTCAGTCCAGTAGACCAGTAGTGGTCAAATACTACAAGTGAGTTGGAGCGTTCTCATGGTGGAGGCACCACCAAGTGTCCATTTTTTACTTTGGCCGCAGGTTTTTCATAGACTTTAGGCAGTGTATGCCACTTAGCTGTGACTGTCGTCTGTGTGTCCAAAACGACACGCTCCACAATTCCGCTTGATTTGAAAAATAGTGCTATCATTTTTTTTCTTAACCAATCTGGATTTTCTGACAGGTATGGGTGTCAAAGACCCAAACTTTGTTTTGAGCCGTGGTCGGCACAACGTAATAATAGAGCCAAGTCTTGTCACAATGCAGTTCACATACCGAGATTGCCCCTTATCAAACATTTTCAGCACCAAGTCGTACGACGAGTCTTCTGCTCTTCCGTCAGACTAAGCGGTACTCAGAGAGAACAAAGTTTCCTCACGAGTAAATGGTCATGCAGTATTGAACGAATTGCCAGTGCATGAAGGTGTAAGGTCTCCTCTATCTGTTGGCATGTCATTCTCCGGTCTTCGTCAAGCATTTTCCTCAGAGCAGTAATGTTTTCCTCTGTGACTGACGTTCGCTGCCTTCCTTCCCTCTCAGCGTCTTCCAGAGTGAAATTGCCCCTTTGGAATTCTCTATACCATCTGAATATAGTCGTACGATAAGGACAATCATTCTTTAAGGCAAGCGTCATTTCTTCTAAGCACTGATCTATGCTTAATCCACGCCTAAAGTTATACCCTCTCGCTACGTGACCACGATGCCATAGTCCGCACTTCACACTGTCAATACGAATGAACAAGTAAATCAACAGACGTGCTGCTGGCAGCTACTATGCACTCATGGACATCCCTCAATATGCAGCCTCCTGCATCCTCATCTCTTACGATGAAAGATGACCGAAGACCCCTACGTTACCGGCTCATAACTCCTCGAGGTTCTGCGCAATGCATTACTAAAATGGTCTACCAATGTAGCAACCGGACTTACAAAGTATTCACAGAGCGGTCCAATATGTCCTTAGCACCGTCTCTGCAACAAGACCACTGCTGTTTCGTACTCATTAGAAACTAATCAGTGCGGTATAGGTCTAGTAGTTCACATTTTAATCGCGTCTGATCTGTGAATACTTTGCATTCCATCTGTTGATGGTTCAACCGTTTTGATGTTGCGACACTTATCTGTGCATTGCGCAGGTCGTCGAATAGTTATGAGCAGGTAGCTTAGGGCTTCTCCGTCATCTTTCATCGAATGAAATGCGTATGACCAACTTGGTAATTGGAGTTCGTCAGATTTTTCGACTACCTTCGCACAGTATTTTGTTTTGATCAGTATCAGGACTTCTAGACATAGCACTTATGAGTTGCTAAAGAGCAGGAAACAGCGCTGTCTGCGGTTGGTCGTGGTTACAGAGACTGAAAGCAAACATGTCTATTTCAATCCTTACAAAGGAAATACCAAAACTTGTCTTCTCTTTGTCAAAAGTACAAAAACAATTTATTTCCAGTAAATGTTACGTCAACATTAAGCTCAAGCATTGATCTATTTTAAATATAATTACCACTCTGATTGATGCGTTTTTATAGAAACTGTAGCTGTTTTTCTATGCACGCCAGCTTGGCGGTAGGCGCTTCAGGAAGCACTAAACCTTTTTACTAAGTTGACAGGTGTCTCCTTTGTGCAAAATGAAATTACAAAGGACATCTGGGAATAATGTTTAAAACGTAAGTTTACAAGAACAGCATTGTTTAAAATCACAATTCAACAGTTAAAGCTTGAGGGTGTAATTAAGAAAATGAAGTGATCTATCAAACTATCAAGTGAAGAGTGTTAAACTATTACAACCGCTACAGTGAAGTCATATTTGGTTCACTTAGAAAACTTGCAATATAGTTCTTAAATATGGTGATCGTTGGAAAGCAGTTTTACAGAGATCATTTGTCAGACAGTTCTACCAACCTGCATCTTAATGTAGAAAGTGTAACTTAGTTGGTAGTGCTATTTAACACAAAATTCGTACGCAGTCTTAATTTCATGTTTGACAGCAACTTAGTTGTACTTGATACATGATGGTACGGTTTTTATAAATAAAAGCTCAGTTTTTAAGTTTGATATATATTGAATTTGACGTACTACTTCCAGTAGCGCTACCATCCTATACTAGGCTAGAAAATTAACTTAGTTAAATATAGGCTATTGTTATAATATGTGAAAATATACAACAAAAAATATTGTTGATTTTTACACCATTTATCACTGTACATCATTAATGTTTTTTAACCATTTACTTTAATGTGTCTATATGTCTGTTGTTGTTAAGGACAACAGTATACCCGATAAATAAACATAAACTATCATTCAACTGTACTATTTTGTAATGTTAAATAAAGACTGTTCTTTATATTCACTGTTTTAATGATACAACATCCCATATTAACCTTGTTTCTTGGGTTAAAACTAGAGGTATAATCGTGTGGAACACGTTAATCATTGCCAGGAGGTATCCAAGTAAGGTCGATTTATAATCTATAACGCATCACTGCCATACCGTTCCCGGAACGCAGATATTGAATCACGCGTTTTACGTTAAACTGTTTATAAACAGGAATTCCGCATTGTCCGTCCGCAGCGCTGACAATAGACTTGACGAAGTTTTAACTTTCTACCGTTGCCGTTCCAACCAATGAAAGGTGGCCTGGAAATCACGTGTTTGTTGCGACATATCACCTGGTTTTTCCGCGTGCTTTTCGCTCTGTTTGACGTTACAATGCTTTGTTTTGCTTTTGTAATCTGCGTGTCTTCCTTTTAGACAGTTTGCTAAATTTTGAATATATTTAAATAATATAAATTATCAGGAGATGCATCTGCTCTGCAGACAAGTTTGGTCTAATATGTGAAATAGAATGCAATTTTGAGTTATTTTATGCATCGCACGTCACGTTAGCAAGTTTATAAACTGATTTTAACTGCTGGCGGTGCGGCGTCCGAGTTCATAAATCGACCTTTAGAAGAGCTACTAGACCAAGGCCAAATAGGATTAAAAATCTCGGCACCATCAATGAAATAATAGCGGAATCAATCACTAAGTTTTCAACGTAATTTCTAAAATCACTTTTGTTCTGTTTTGTCTTCTCATAGATGGCGCAGCTGCCTTTTTGAGTGCCAAAATACCCAAAATACACTACATATACCCTATTTCACGAGTATCCATAAAGGTAGAATGACAGCTGATTATCTCAAAATTCCCCATATCGGCACAGGACACAATTCTGACTGATCCGTCAACGCCAGATAGACACTAGATAGAGCCGAGTTTCGTTTTTTGTACGCTACAGATTTATTTTGCACTTGCTAACCAGCTCATTTATTTATAAAAGATGTTTGCATACAAAAACGCTATAAACAGGTTGTACTAGATTACGCCCGATTCATCATTGCCAACGTTGCAGACTAACACAAAAATGTCACTTGTTGTTCACCTCAGTTGATGTCAAAACGTGAAATATCGCATAAATCAAAAGCATGAACAATTTAATGCAAATAAGATATTTGTAACATAACCTCAAAATAGAGCGACAGGAAACAATAGACAACTATGAGTTATGAAAGTGACTGACGATACGGACCTAAATGAAAACGCATTCATGATAAATCTGTGCTTTAATCAGATATTACTAAAATTTATTTTTATCTACAAAAAAAAATGAATCAATAAATTGTGTTTCTCTGTGACAAGTCCTTCACTTACCCAATTCCTATTTGTGCCTAGGAGAAAATGAATTCAGAAGATTTGATAAAGAAAAAACAAAACTGAAATAACATAGTTTATTTATAAACTGATTACTGGAACTAAATATAAATAACATTCATGCTTGTAATGCAGGTCTTTCATGCTTAGCTTCTAATTTGCAATTTGTCAGTGCATAGCCAGTGCCACCTCTCTGCATAACAATTATGTCTTTTTCTGTCAATTTTTTGCTTGTCAAAGGATGTGTCCAGTCTTTTTTGATTATCTTCTCTACACATTCCAAAGTTACAACATCGCCACTGAAATGAAAAAAGGATGTAAAATATTTACAATAAATACAAAACTGCGTATCTTTATAAGAAATACGACCCTTATTTTGTTTGTGTTCTAAACTATATACTTACGTGGGTCTCAAGACAGCACATGGTACTGAGTTGCTCAATATGTCATGCGTCACTGCACACATGTAACGATTTTCCTTGACATGTATTGATTTCTTGTCATCATCAGGTACAGGAGTAAATTTGACATCTACCAGATCCTTCACCTTCAGTGGCTTGTTTGATATTGGACAATAGATTGTAGGGTCCTGCAAATTAATTTGAAACTGAGATGATGAAGTTAATAGCGCATACTAATATTATAAATAAGAAAGTGTAGATGTTTGTTATTCAATCATGCTATAATGGCTGAATGGATCTGGATGAAATTGTGCATAGGCAGATTATAGTCTGGAATAGCACATATGCTGCTTTTTATCCTGGAAAATAACATATCTATTTCATGGGCTACAGCCTAAATGGTATAATGGATTTTGACATGAGGGGTATGACTTGGAAGTGCTCAGTCGCCGGTCCGACCGAAATGAAGAAGGGCAAATAATAATAATAATAGATGGTCTTTATTCATCATCATATAAATTAAGGAAAAAATTCAAGATAAAATGATGGAAGGCGTAGTTCAGCCTTAGCTGCTCTTCAACTAAACCCAATATGCATTACAACATTTGTTTTCTTAGTGTGATCATCTTGATTCAGATTTGTTTGGTGTTTTGTTTTACTTCAACTTTACTACTATGAATATATAGTTAACTTTCGATAAATTTTGGTATCTTTGACAGCGTTAGTAAACTGACAGCATGAAACCCAACTTGCATGCTGTAAAAATTAGGTTTCCTTATCAGTGGCGCCACTTACACGTTCCGCGAGTAAAACTGCTAGGGTGAAAGCTATTATTAGATATGGATGAATTCAAAGGATTGCTAATAGATTTTATGATAAATCAGATACTAAGATATATGCAAGTTGATGATTTTCAAATGTATCGCTATGAGGTATTACAACTAAAATCGCTTCTTCAATAATGATAATGAATTACAAGATAACAAAGACTTACTGGTTTCTCCAGCTTCTTTTTTTCTGCACTTGGTGTCATAGATGGAACCCAAAAGCTAGGCAAATCTTTGTCTCTGCCTTCGGCCATGTTAGATATTGATGTTGAAGTACTTGGTTTATCTAAAAGTTCATCAAAATTTTATGGATGACATGAGGTGTTGAAATGGTCAATTCTTCATACAAAAAAGTGAGCTCAATTTTGGCAAATATGGAGAAATAGTAATTACCTGATTGAAAACCAGCAATCCTTTTGCTTACAATATTATCCTCTTCCTTCAAGAATGATGAAACTTTCTTCTCTACCTCGTTCACTTTCTGTTGAGTCAACTCATCCTCTTCTTTCTTTTTCCTTTTCTCATAATCCTTCAGTTTTTTGCTATATTCATTTTTCTTTTTGATGATGTACTCCAGGATTACTTCCTTATCGAAGAGGTACCCATCTTTTCTACAAATAAAAATTGAACTCTAGTATATAGAATAATAAATGAGCATGCTTCAATAATAGAAATGATGACCTTTTTATAAAATGGTTCACATAACAGTAGCAGACTACCGTTTTTTTATTGTTTTTGGCAGATCACAATGTTTTATGAAATAAACAGATGACGTATAATGTACAGTGCTTAACTTGAGAGAGATTACACACTGTGCAAGCCGATTTCCTAATGCAGCATCATTTGGGTAACAGAAGTCTGTTATTTTCATTCACTTTTTGGGGCAAATACAATAACATTATAAGTAAAAAAATACTTACGTTATCACAGGGTTTCGGCATGGTTGTAGTGATAGAGAGCAACAATCAAAATCCTTCACTGAATCTTTGCCAATCCTTGTAGCATTTGTCCCATATCCTGAGGCTTGAGCATCCTTTTTCTTTTCATGATAAGTATACACCGCGCCTGCAGTACAATTTCTTGCATGTCTTGTCATTGCAAACCTCTCAAGATTGTGACCTGCTAAATTTCTGGGGCCTCTTCTGCAGAATCAAAGCTAGCCTGTTTCTAGATAAGTTCCTATTTGTCGTAATGTTTTACAATACTAGAAAATACAGACCCAAATAGCAATTAAAAACACATTAGCAAATGTCAAAACTCAAAACAAATGTGACAGTGACGTTGCGATTTGTCAGGTTGAGGTGGGGGTGGCTAATACCTGAGGCTGTTCCCATGCTCCTAAGCCACGCCCACCAGCTATCTATTCTACGCCCCCTTTCCGTGTGAGCTCTGGCCATGAAGACTAGAAATAGGAGATTAAACTTACGGAGTTAGGGTCAAGCCGACGAAGTGAGTTGGTACACGGCGTAGCAAACGGATTCCAGGCCCTACGCATAGCATCTCACTCGTGTGTAGACTGCACAGAAAATGAAGTTCTGCGCATGACTGTAAACAACTCCAATTTTGTCAGTTCGGACGAGTTGCAAATAAAAATATTGGATAATATCAATAAATCACGAAGTAATAAACCTACAAAGCATAGCAAAACGAGTGAAATGCACATAAAGAGTGCATCTATGTTGACTGGATTCTTCATATGAATACGTTATACCCTGTTTCACGTGTATCCAGCACCGTAGACTGACAGCCGATTATCTAGTAATATCTCTGAATTCCCCATATCGGCGCAGGGTACATAATTCTGAGGGATCCGTCAACGTCTGGTAGTCAGAGCCGTATTTTGTTTTGGTTTTTTGTACGTTACAGATTCATTTTATACTTGCTTACAGCTCCTTTATTTAGAAAAGTTCATTTGCATACAAAAAACAAAACGCCACAAACAAGTTTTACTCGATTTACACACGATTCATTATTGCCAACGTTACAGAATAACACAAAAATGTCTCATGCTGATCACCTCAGTAGAATCAAAGCGTGATGGATACTCGTGAAATAGGGTATATCTCTAATGCGGGTCTCACACGATACTTCCAACGTTGTTTACAACGTTCGACACCCCACAATTGGCAAGTGTGTCTGCTACACGATGGGATGAACTTTTTAGTCTCGGACGTTCGACGCATGGTAGTGCTAACGTCCATTATCGGTGTCAGTGTCGCGCTTGAACCTTTACAACTGATGGAAAAATTCTACAAAAACGAAAAACAATATCAGATCTGTCCTCAGCGATCAAGATTTAAGTCTGTCAGAACCCTCAAAAATGTCAAAAAATGAAGTTTGACCGTTTTTTGTTTGTTTTTCGACGATAGCTTCACCGCCACTGTACCGATTTTCAAAAACTGCAGAGCTTTTTCATTTTCATAGTAGTAACTTAGGGCCAAAATTTCATCAAAATCGTGATAATGCTTTCATAGTTATCATTTCTTTAATCTTTTTCATTAGTTATGAAATGCAAGTCAATAATTTCTCAACTAGTCTTGCATTACAACAGGACATTATAATAAAACACTTGATAATTTGTAATTTACTAAAATACATATCCTTGCCAGCCATAACTCACCTGCGAAACGTACAAAATATTAGCAATATTAAAAAAGTGCTTTTATGACAGCCTATGTTTTGTATGTATACTAAAATAATTCATTCTTCTCAAAAGTTAGTTACGGAACATACATTATTATGAATAGGTAGGTATTCAAATCAAAATACTTCCCACATACCACTATTTCACCACAAACACAGCAAACAAATAAATAATGTTTGTCGCCGCTATTGGTTCTGACTTAAAACCATCAAACACATGACATCTCGTGTGGGAGCGTAACGAACCATGCTTCGAACGTTGTAACATCCTTTGACGCGAGTCAAATTTACCAACAAGAGCCCGAGCGTGTCATGTGGCGAACGTAGGACACAGCAATCCGTCAGCGCTCTTCCCACACGATGTGGCGAATTGCCATGTGTCAAACGTTGTAAGGCATTCGCCACATCATGTGGGAGCGGTCTAACGCAGTTTAACCTCATATGTCTAGTCTTCATGATTCTGTTACACTTGACAGTAATTGTTCACAGTTTCCAGCTGATGTTTCCGAACAATCACAGCGTTCACAGTTTTGTTGTGTGTGAACCCGACTGCACTCTTGTGTTTGAGTGCATTGTGCATTCCCAGTACAAAAAGTGTTTTTACAACCGAAAAAATGAAAAGAAAGAGGAAGAACCAGTGCCCGTCACCACTACTGGACGATAGTCCAAAAAGGCAAGTGTCTTTCTTTCATCAAATTCAAAAGTTAACAGCGGTTTTTCTTGCAGAACAAAAGTGCATGCTCAGAGAAAGTTTGCACAAGGTTCAAATGTGAACAGTCCAGTGATCACTCCAATAAAGGAACTAGAGTCCGAAATTCCCCACATCGATGTAATGCCTGAGCCAGTGGAACTGCTACCCATGAAACGACAAGACACAGAGGATTTTTTAACCTTCTTATGTTTCCGTGGTACCCCTGTCTTACCGCCAGGCTTGAATTTTTTCAATACAGCCTCTATAGTTGATACAAATGGCCAAGTACACGAAATTAAAAGTGAGGGCCCCAAAAATGGTCCTATTGATATTGCAAAATGCTCCACTTCAGAAAAGCCTTTTATTGCTTTTGGAGTTCGCAAGAGAGCTGATCCTATAATTATTAGCAAACAGATGGATAGAAAAAGAAGGCATGCTTTGGCCTTACAAGCCTTGCGTAGAAAATACCAGGAACAAAAAATGGCAAAGATTAGAGCTCTGACTATCTCAAAGTTATCAGAAAAATTTACAAACAGGACTGTAGTAAAGACAAATACTGTTTCCAAAACTGAAACAATCACCAAAAAGACAAACTCCTTTCAAAAAACCAAAGTAATGGCTACGAAACATGTTAAAGTCACTACACAAACTTTAAAAACTACCTTGAGACCCAAGTTGAAGCATAGTTTGAAGCAAAATATGTGCTTAAGAAGTTTCAGAGGTAGATTTGTTCATAAAGAATTGCCATTTAGGAAAACAGTGCATTCTGATGTAAGAACAGGGGTAAAGAGGCCATTAAACAGACTGGTTGTTAAAAGTAATAAAAGGGTACCTGACCATAATGTTAAAGTATCAACTTCCACAAAATCTATCTCTAATCCAAAAGTCGTGAAGAAAACAACTGGTCAAAATTCATCAGAAAAACCCGAAGTGATAAGGTATGTCATATAAATATGCTACATTTTTTTAGTTTTCATCCAAATTCAAGTCCCTCTCTTCTTAAAACTTCCACTGCTGATGTCATGCTTATGTGAAAGTGAGTTTGCTAGTTGCTGATGACACACAATTTTTTTTTATAAATTTGACTTTATAATAAAATGTTTATTTTCCTGAGTTTTGATAAAACCTTTCAAACAGAAAAAAATATGACACACATGCTATATAGGCTTCTGTTTACTACTTAGACAATTGTAAAGCCTAACAAATTAAAATTTTAGAAAAAAACATTGCTAGCAGCAAAAGTGTTAATTTCCATTCTGATTGAACCGTTTGGGCTGTAGCCCGAGAAATAGTTTTTTCAAAGTTATTTCCTTGGATAAAAGGTAGTCTATATCTCTTTCATTCAGATCTGTTCAGCAACATATTTTTGTTTTAGCCCTTGTGTGAAAAGATCTGACATGAGTGCCAGAAGAAAGCAGTTGAAAAAACGAATGTTGATGGCAAACCCCACAACATTAGTCAAAACAAGGTCTCTTAGACTTACTACAGTAAATAAAACTATTTTATCCCAAAGAAAGGACACTTCTGTAAAGCATCTGAATCCTAAACTAGTCAAAAATGACAAGGCATCCACATCTACTAAAACTAAACCTAGTCCAGTAGGAAACGAGAAAAAACCTGTACCAAATGAAGAGAACAAAATGGAGAATAAAATTGTAACAAGAAGATCAAGTATAGAGCCCAGAAAGAAGACCAGACAATCACTGAGAAGGCTAGTCAGTCATCGGATAGAAGTGAGAAGAGAAATGTCAAAAACAGCTAATATTAACAAGGTATTAGAAAGAAAAAAACGTCTGATGAATCGTAATCTCAATATAAAAAAACAAGCTAAAACTATCGAGAATAAAAAAATTATCAAAACCCCAGATACTAAAAAAGATGTCAGTAAAACAGCAGATGTTAAAAAGGAGGAAACAAAGTTTGTAGACATAAAGAAAGAAGATAAGTCAGTAGATGTCAAAAAAGAGGCTGGAAAGTTGGCTGATGTGAAGAAGGAAGTTACCAGAACTTCCAAAAGAGATATTAGCAAAGTTTTTGATATAAAGAAGGAAACAAACATATCAGGATCTGCTAAGAAAGGAATAAGCAAGACAGTGGACATAAAGACGAATGTAACTAAAAAGGTCAATATTAAAAAAGTTTTCAATAAATCTTCAGACATGAAAAAAGATGGAAGTAAAATCGTGAATATAAAAAAAGAAATGTCAGATGTTAAGAAAGAAGGTAGTAAGTTACCAGTGCCCAAGAAGGCGGTAAATAAACCATCTGACAAAAAAGATACTGTAAAGCCAGTAGTTGCTACATCAGAAATGAAAAAAGGAGTCAGCCAAACAGCAGGTTCTGAAACTGAGGTGAATAAGTCCAATGAAACAAAAACAGATATTTCTAAAGCAAATGAAGTTAAAAGAGAAGTCAACACCAGATCATCTGAGGCTAAAAAAGAAGCTAATAAGATACCTGATGTCAAAAAGGAGGAGACAAAGCCAGTTGACGGCAAGAAAGGGCTCATTAAAGGGACTGAAGCTAAACAGAAAATGCAAGCAAAAAAGGTAGTGGACAAGAAAAAAGAAGATTCTGAATTAGAAGATTCCAATAAGGCAATCATCAAATCATCAGAACTCAAAAAGGAAGGTGTTAAGTCACCAGAAATCAAAAAGGATGCTGCAAAACCATCAAGTAGTAAAACAGGTATTGCATCGGTTACTGATAAGGAAACCAAAGGTCCTACTGTAGCTAAAAATGAAGCAAAGGAATTACCTAGCCAAACTGTGAAAGGGGGCAAAAATACAGATAAAAAATCAGAAGACACGCCAAAAATAAAAGATACAATACCAGCTGTAGATACTAAAGAAGAAAAATCTGAATTGAAGAAGGAAATGGACATTGAAGAATTCAAAGAAAGACCAAAGTCGCCCGCCAAAATCACAGTCGCCAAAAGAAAGGTTAAAAGAGAAGATTCACCAAAGCTAACAAGGCGCTCTGCTAGAGACGAAAAATCACCTGTTGCTAATGCTAGACCCACCAGAAAGACAAAAGAAGCTGCTGCAATTTACATGGAGATCCTCAGTCACAAATTGGACAGTAAAGTGGACGATGACAACGTTTCTATTGACAGCTTTCCTGAGTTACCAAACGTCAAGAAAACTGAACAGAGGGAAAATGAACTCAAAGCTAAGGCTAAGTCCTCCAAAGATGACATCAAATCTAAGGAGAGTGGTGATGAAAGTAAAGGAAAGAGGACGAGAAGTTTCAAAGATTGGGCTCAAGATGAAGAAGAAGAATTAGTTGCAGCAATCAGGAGACAGACTACAGAAACTAAACCAGGTTCTGAAGTGATACAGTCACCGAAAGACGCAGGAGATAGCCAAACTAAAGAAATTGATGACAAAGACAGGAAACAACCTGTTGAGAAGAAAATTCCACAGAGCAACGACGAAAGTAATCTGAGTTCAGATAAAGTAAAAATTAATGAAAATACAGAAAAAAAACGTATTGAAAAAAATAGTACTGTATCAGAAGAAACAAAAAGTGTTGATAAAAACAAGAAAAGTACTGATGAAGAAATGGATAAGAATCAAGGCACCGGGAAGAAACCTAATTCAACTAAGACTAGTAATCCAAATACAGGAATTGAAGCAGAATTTGATAAAAATGAAGTCACTAAAGACACAAAGGAAGTTGAAGATTCTGGTCGGAGGCATACAAGGAATTCGACTGTATCACAAATAAATCAACACAGCGATGACTCTGACGAGTCTTTTCACGTCAGTATTAAAGTGCCTCGTAAAAGGAAAATGACTAGGAGCAAGGGTCCCGTTAAACCTTCTGAATCTGAAAACCCTAAATCCAAAGCTAGTGAACCATTAACAAAACTTCAAGAACCTGCTAAGAAACCACCGACTGATCTTAGCGATTCAGACCAGTCTACTACGTCAGACATGAATCTCAAAGTGATCATGAACAAAGTGAAGAACAAGAAATTCTCGAAGACCAAATCTATGACAAAGACGGAAAAATGTTTCATAGATTCAGATGAAGAGCCTTTGTCCAAGTTGACAAACAAAAGCGGAGACGATAGATCTGAGACTGTCAAGGCTAGCGATAGTAAAGCTTCAACGTCTAAAAAAGAAAAAATAGAAGCGCAGAAAGAAGTACCGGCTGTTAAACCGAAGCGTGAATGTGCTAAAAGACCTCAGAACTATCTTCCGATGCTTTCCTCGTCCGATGAAGATGAAATTTTCCATGGGTTTGACGAGAAGACTAAACAGAAGGTTCCTAACAAACCTTTGGAAGTCACTCTAGCGCATGTTCCGCCTTTGTTGGAACTGTTCAGCAAAGATTTGGATAGAAGATTCGGAAAAGAAAAGGTAAGCCACTTTGGGTTGTACCTGATTCTATTTAAAAAATTCTAGGTTGAAAGGAAGTTGTTTATTAAATGGCATTATTTACAAACTCCATCTTTTCTTGTTTCACGCGATTTTTATGTCGGGAAGTCTAGAGATTCAAATTCTCTTTGATATTAAACAGGAGATTCGATACTTTGGCAGGACGGCTTCTAGACCATCGAAGATTGACAATTAAATTAAGTTTTTTCCTATTTTACTTTCTAGGTGAGAAGTATTGTAATAAAGAAAAATTACGAAAATTAGATACAGTAATGGACAAAAGTATATAGACAAATTAATGTTATGCTGTATTTCTTCTTTAACTTGTTTTATTAATACTCCAACCTGTATACATATTTCTTTATAGCATAATACTCACTTATACATAAATAAATTCATTAGACTCCCTTCAATAAAAGATTAATTGAAAAAAACTGGAACTGTGAAGGGCAAAAATATATAGACAAAGCAGAACAATTATAGAAAAAAGAAGCAAAGTTCATTGAATTATAGAAAACCAACCACGTTTGTGTTAATATTTTGTAGCATAACCATTACTATCAATCACCGCCTGGCATCGTCTCGGCATTGATTGAAGTTTCTTGATATAAGATTCATCAATCTGTCTCCACTTTTGCTCTAAAGCGGCATCATTGTTTGAATAATTTTTATCTCACATTTGCTTATCTAAGTATTCCCATAGATTTTCAATGGGGTTTATATCGGGAGACTGTGAAGGCCATTTGAGAACTGGTATTTTTTCATCCAGAAAGAATTTCTTTGCGAGATTTGAAGTGTGCTTCGGGTCATTATCTTGCTGTAAGATTGATCTTAGGGGCATATTGTCTTCCATATAGGTAACATGACATGCTTTAGTATGTCTGTGTATACAAACTTATCCATAATGTCATCTATGCTATGTAAAGGTCTCATCCCAAACCCCGAAAAGCACCCATAAACCATAACAGACCCGCCTCCATGTTTGACAGTGGGCAAAGTGTACTTGGGGTTTAATCTTTGTCCACATTTTAACGTAATGAACACCATCTGATCCAAACATATTGAACTTGGATTCTTCACTGAATCAAGATGCAACCGTACAAATTGCAATCGGTCCTTACAGTTTTTCCTCGAGATTAGCTGCTTCTTACTTGGGCGACGTGCAAATAACTTCAAATCATTTAATTTTCTACTTATAGTTTTCGTAGATTCTTACGCTTTTTGCTGTAGTTGCCAAAATAATTTGTCTCCGATACCAGTCCAGATGTTTCTACAGTTTGATATAAGTAATGTGTACTGCTTCTAAACCAATGGAGTTAGACAAGTAAAACTTGTTTAAACTTTTTCTTGCATTTCACACGATTTGTCTGCCTCTGGTGGTGGTCTGTTACAAGGTTAACCAAAATAATGTTTCCATTTTTTAAAGGTGAACATGTCAAATGCTCAGATCGAAAAATGGTTAAACGACTCTGCATTGGCGGGTAACAGTATCAAAAAAGAAAACGATGAAATGTTGAAGTTTGGCGAACGGATTCCCACCGAAACGTCGTTCGATAGTACGGACGCTGCAGATATTGAAAAACTCAAACACAACATATTATCGACTCCTACTAAATCTGCGGAGGCGACCAAGTTAGATGTCTGCAAAGTTGTTGATGACTCGACAAAGTCGGAGGTTGAGAAAACGCCAAAACAGAATTCGTTGGATAGAAAGCCCATATTTCGTAAAAGTAAGCGAAATAGCTTCATTTCTTATTTCCCAAAAACAATTATATTTCAAAAATATTTGTTATAGGTAGAACGGAAATTACACCAAACGTGAATGCTTTTTCACCAGAAAACGAAAGTAGCGTATATGCGTTTGGTGAAGATAACGAGGAAGTAGTCAGTACTCCATTTCGACGACCTTCAAGAAGACCTTCCAGTACCGCCACATCAAAATCTGAAGACGAATCTTCGAAACAAGACGAATTGAAAAAAGGTAGATATTGTATTTGTAGGTGACTCTTAATGTTATAGAACAATCTTAATATGTTCAAAAACGTACCAAACCCAATTGAATCGTAAACAGTTCACACCTAAGCATCTCAAATTACAGGGCAGTTCCGGAGGCCGTTGTTGAAACAAGAACACACCAAAAGCAAAGAAGAACTAGAAAGCAGTGCAGATGCTGATGATGCGTCTTACCATTTCTATATTCCTCAGAAGCCTTGTAAATCCTTCAGTAAAGCTCAAACGGGAGCTATGAAATCTAAGGTCATTGAGAACAGGCCTTTGAATAGGGTGGTCAAGGGTACAGATAGATTATCTGCGGAACGTGATGACTTCAAGTACAAGGTTTGTATTTCTTATTTTTTAATATAATTTTTATTTTGTGTTGCAACACTACATTTTGTAGACAATATATGCAGTGTTCATCTACTTTTATTGCAGGTCCCAAGTTCTCCAAGTGCTAGCTCCTCAAGTAGTGCCAAGATTTACAAGCGCCAAACTCCAAAGCAAAAAATTAAATCTCAAGATGTGGTCTCTCCTGTGTACGTCTCGGAATTTCCGAAACGAACGGACCCTGCGAAGCTGGTAGAAGCTCCAGTTTTCCATCCTACAGATCAGGAGTTCCAAGATCCTTTAGAGTACTTGGAGAGAATCAGGCATAAGGCTGAACCGTTTGGAATATGCAAGTACGAAATTTTAATTCTGTTGTTTGAAACTTATTTGAATTCCGGAAAATTTCATTTCATTTTCTCTGTCTTTTACAGAATAGTACCTCCTAGCAGTTTTAAGCCAGAGTGTAAAGTGTCAGATGACATGAGGTTCACTTCTTACAATCAATACGTGCACAAAATGTTGCATAGATGGGGACCAAACTTCAAAGAGTTGATGGCTATCAAGAAATATTTGGAGACGCAAAATATCGGATTTACTCACTCTCCATGGGTAAGCACGATGTAGAATCTAAAACATGGTAAATTATTTTTGATTTGTTTTGCAAAGAGTGGAATATTAACCATTCCACAATAGGATATGTGCATGTGATTCAAATATCGCTTAAATATTTTTATTTACAGTCTATATAACTTCAATCTTATTTTATACTTTAGCAGTATAAGATTTCGAGTATCCATACTTCTTTACTAATATATAAATGTGAAAGTGTATATGTATATATACTAAGTGACATATAAATCCGAACACCCAGTTTAAATGGTTTTATTTTAATAAAATTTTGTATAAGTACTTAATGAAGCATAATAAGTAAATGATAAGAATTTCAAAATGATTGCACTGCTTTAAAGCCCTTTGACCTTTAATAATGTGTGGATGCACCCTGATGTGCTACGCATTCTCCAACGCGCCTAGGCATGCTTCTGATTAGGTGGTCAATGTCCTCCTGTGGTATCTCATTCCAGGCAACCACCAACTCCTCTCGAAGTGCTTCTAGAGTCTGAGGAGGACGTTGCAAATTGAGCAATCTCCTACCCATCATATCCCACACGTGCTCAATTGGGGATAAGTCGGGAGATCTTGGTGGCCATGGTAACAATGTGATATCATTATGTTGAAAGAAGTCTATTGTGACTCTTGCAACATGTGGTCGGGCATTATCTTTTGGAAAGTTGGATCTGCCAGGGTGTCAAGATAGGGTAAAAGATGGGGTTCTAGAACTTCGTGGATATAACGCTGCGCGTTCATGTTACCTCTGATGAAGATTAAAGGTGACCTGGAACCATAAGCTATAGCACCCCAAACCATAACTCCAACAGTGTGATGCACATGTCTTTCAACAAAAAACTGTGGATTCCTCCTTTCACCACGTCGCCTTCTAACCCTGGCACGACCATCGTGCATGCCTAAACAAAATCGAGACTCGTCACTAAAGACAATACTGTTCCATTCCTGATCCCAGAGTGACCGTTGTCTTCACCACTCAAGGCGATTACGTCGGTGTTCTCGAGTTAAAGGGAGGACCCAGTGTGGCCGGTATGAAAACAAGCCAAAACTTCTCATTCGTCGGTAAACACTTCGCATGCCAATAGGTCTTCCGTGTTCTGCAAACCATTCATTTGCAATGGACCTGGTAGTGGAGAAACGGTCCCTTAAGGCCAATAATCTTAGGCGGCGATCTTCACGGTCTGTTGTTCTACGGCGGCGTCCAGTGCCCCTTGCTCTTTGCGTGCGGCCTTCTCGAAGCCATGCCTGACAACACCTAACCACAGTGTCTACACTTTGCACTCTAACTGGAATTGCCCGAAAAGAAAGTCCAGCTTCCCGAAGTCCCACTATACGGCCCCCATCAAACTCACTAAGTTGACGAAATCGTACAGGTCTCCATACTCTAGGCATCTTAACCGATCGTAAAGGATGTCAAGAACCAAAATCCGCCAACGTTGATTCTTTACTGCGGCTGAAATATTCATTTTTAGAGCGTTAGTGAATTAAAAAAAAGCAGTATAAAAACCGGAATGTCCAACTGATAAAGCTGAAAATTTTTTCACTTGTTATTTACAGTAAGATAAATACATTCACCAACTTTTATTAAAATAAAACCATTTAAACTGGGTGTTCGGATTTATATGTCACTTAGTATATGTTCCGTTTCCACACCAAAACGGTTGAACCAATTATGATAAACTTTGACACAAAGATAGGTAAGACCTTGGAGACATTTCGTTGCAAAAATAAAACTTGGAGGAGTTGAGATAGGGGATGAAAGTCACGATGATGAAACTATTATTCAAGTTAGGGATGCAAATATGAGTTTTTTATATCTGGTTCCTTGACAGAAAGGGGTTTAACGACTATCACATTTTTTTATACTTTTACCTTATATCTAGAGGCTAGGCATATATTTTTACAATGCAAAATTTTGTTTTATCTGTGTTGATTAAAATGAAAATTTTGTTATTTCAACAACCTTATGCAAACGAGGTCGCGGCTAACAGCTAGTTAATTAATGGAAAAAAATACACGCTAAATTTAAAGCTTGTAACCAGCTAACCATTTGTTGATTGGTCAGTCCGATTTAAAATGGCAGACGTTTGTTTTCAGTGTCGTTGATTGTCAGCCTTTCAGTTTGATAACACTGATCAACAGCCAAAAAATATCCTAAATAAAATCAACAAAATATTACTATTTTTAATGTGCTCAAACCGGAATGAAACTTATTTTTTCAATATTAGTTCAAGTTTTAGAGATACGGTAATTATATGTGTTCCTGCTTGACAGTGTTAATATACTGTAATTCACAAGAATGCACGTGCTACATTTTTATATTCGGCAAGGAAAGATGATGTAATCGGCATGATTGTGTTACGTTATACATACGTGTACATTATATTGTTTTATATTAGCCATTTTTTCCTCAGTTGGCTGACAGCGTTCATACAAGATGTCTCGAAAGTGTGTAAACAATCCGTATCAGTTTTGTTACGTGTGTGGTGATGTGACTTTTGCGTCTCAGAGACGGTCTATTACTCCACTAATAACAAAGGCATATCTGCTTTATTTCGGTTGTAAACTAGGTGATCAAGACAAACAGTGGGCACCCCACGTCTGCTGTAATACAGGTGCTTCAAGTCTGAGGAGCTGGTTAAATGGCAAAAAACGGTCTATGCGCTTTGCTGTGCCAATGGTTTGGAGAGAGCCTACAAATCATATTAATGATTGTTACTTTTGCATGGTACCTTGTGTTGGATAAGCCACAGGTATGTCCAAGAAAAAAAAATCGGTTATTAACTACCCAAACATACCATCTGCGATGAGACCTGTGCCTCACAGTGACGAAAATCCTATTCCAAAACCCCCAGAATCCTACACTTGCGAATCAGAAAACGAATCAGATCATGGCGATCGAGTGATTCGTCAGGAAAAAGATATGCCATCAACGTCAAGAGATCCTGATTTTATACCGAGCACGTCATGCCACCAACCGCACAAAATAACACAGTCAGAATTAAATGATCTTGTAAGAGATTTAGAACTTCCAAAATGTAAGGCAGAGTTACTTGGATCAAGACTGCAGCAGTGGCACTTGTTAGAAGACGATGTTTCGGTTTGTGTTTTTCGTAAACGCCACAAAGAGAACCATTTTTCAATATGGATAATAACTTGGTTTTCTGCAGTAACATTAACAGCTTACTGGCGGCTTTAAATATAAACTATAACCCAGAAGAATGGAGATTGTGAATGGAGGAGTTCAACATTGAGTTTAAAGGCAGTGTTATTGCATATTGGAAATATTTTACCGTCTCTTCCTGTAGGGTATGCAGTTCACATGAATGAATCATATGACAATATGAAGTACCTATTGACATGCATAAAATACGATGAGCACCAATGGCATATTTGTGGCGATTTTACTTGGGCTGCAGCTAGGCTACACAAAGTTTTGCTGTTTTTTGTGTGAATGGGGCAGTCGGGCAAAGGCACTTCATTACACCAGACAAAAGTGGCCTGTTCGTCAATTCCTAGAGCCAGGTCAAAAAAATGTACAGCATTGTAGATTCGAAAAAAAATTTATTACCACCACTGCATATCAACTTGGGCCTAATGAAAAACTGTCAAGGCATTAGATAGAGATGGGTCAGCTTTTCAATACCTGCGTCAGAAAGTGAGGCAAAGGTTAAAGAAGGTATGTTTGTTGGGCCACAGATTCGAAATATTTTGAAAGATACACAGTTTGAAAACACTTTAACAGGTATTGAAAAAACTGCTTGGAATGATTTCCGTCTGGTGGTCACTAATTTCTTGGGAAATAGAAAAGCTGACAACTATAAAACCCTTGTCAAAAATATGCTGTCATCGTATCAAAAGATGGGCTGTAATATGTCTCTTAAGATAATTTCCTACACTCACACCTGGACTTTTTTCCTGACAATTGCGGAGCAGTAAGTGATGAGCACGGCGAATGTTTTCATCAGGATATTTCAACAATGGAAAAAAGGTACCAGGGAAAGTGGAATCCTTCCATGCTTGCAGACTACTGTTGGACTCTTGGTAGAGATGCTCCAGAAACGATCCATAAAAGAACAGCAAAAAGACAGCGCATATTGTGATTCTTATAAGTATATGAATCTTGTTACTTTTTTTAATATATCCTTAAAAATAAAAAGTTTTTTTTTCTAAACCGCAACTATTTTTTTTATTTTATTGTCATTTTTGGATTCAGCGCCCCAAAATTAACAAAGAAGTGCACTTTTCCCACAAGATACAATTAAAAAACTAAAATTTGTTGTCCAGTGTAATTATTTGCATTGTTTTCCAACTTTTCAATGTAATTTGTAGTAAATACTTTGTAATTTGAATGGTTATGTCAAAATCTCGACGGCAACCTGACCAAAGATCATCATCAAATGAACGGTGACGTCATTGCGAAGCGCGTGAAAAATGTGGCCATTGGCATTGAAGTTTTAAATATTGAATTGAAAATAAACATAGAAATGTGTATGAGTGACATATGATATTAACGTAAATAATCGACAGACAACACGCATATTCCATAAATAGGAACCTGCCTGAGATTCGTATTTTCTATACTATCAAGCAGTTACCTAAAATGATCTGATGTTTTCCAGATCGGAGGTATGGAAATAGACTTGCCGAGGCTATACCAAACAGTTCAGAATCTAGGAGGGTTGAAAGAAGTTATTGAAAAGAAAAAATGGCCGAGGGTGTCAGAACTTATGAAGATACCAAAATCCGCTCAGGATCGTGTCACTAAACTTGATGACATTTACTGCAAGTATCTTTTGCCATACGACACATTATCACCGGGTAAGTATTTACGGATCATAGAGCATTTGCGAAATTGCGAGATAAGTTTTGATTCAAATCATTGATCGAATTATTCCACCAGAAAACTGTATACTTGACGCCATTTCAAAAAATCACTTTTTTTTTAGCTGAAAGACAAAAATTGTTCGACGAAGTGGAAGCGGAATGGGCCAGACGACAAAATAAGAGCCAAAAAAGCGTCCCGGAAAAAACAGGTGAAGGAGGAAGCGTCCCTGACGGTGACGATTCCGAGCAGGAATTCAACGATAACGAGGCAGAGGAATGCATCACTAAAGGCAGAAATATGGCGCTGAATGCTTTTTATCGGATCGCTAGGAATACCATGAGCATGCACTTCAAGAATGCCGAGCCTTCCGCACAAGAGGTAAGAATTATCGAAAATTGTCAGGTACTACTTTTGCCATTGATTAACATATTCCACCGGAAGACAGATCAGGTAGACTTTTGGGTGTTGTGTACTTCTAGGAAAGTTGAACAGATATGAATATAATTTTTCGTTACAGGTAGAACAAGAGTATTGGAAATACGTGACTTTGAGACAGAACCACATCTGCGTGCATTCAGGCTCTATAGACTCTGGCAGTTGGGGATATGGCTTTGCCGTTTCGAAAAATAGCCCTTTCGCCAGGCACGCGTGGAACCTTAAAGTTCTCACGAATAACTGCGGTTCCGTACTTCGGTCACTGGGACCTGTTATGGGCGTTACTGTACCCACACTGCATGTTGGAATGGTAAGTTATTAATTCACGTAAAATCATTTGTACTAAAGTGCGAAGGTATCTCAAGTTCCTACTATCGCAGGTAAGGTATGAAAGTAAACAGTAAAAGAAAGTGAAAAGTCCGGATTTAATAGCTGCTTAGTATGTGTAAAAGTTGTGAAACAGTATCAGGCAAGATTAGTGGAAGAAATTAAGAGGATGTGGTGTTATTCCGTGCATGAAATAATTGTACTTGAAAAGTTTGGCTTTGCTAACAGACGCAGGAGGTTTGCATGTTGAGTCATGTCCATGAGTGCATAGTAGCCACCAGCTGCACGTCTGTTGATTTAGTTGTTCGTTCGTATTGACAGTGTAAATTGCGGACTATGGCATCGTGGTCGATGTGCTTTGGCATTGTCTACTACGATTCTTTTTTTGCAGGTGTTCAGCGCATGCTGTTGGTACCGAGACCCCCACGGCCTGCCATGGATCGAGTACCTTCACACGGGAGGCAGCAAAATATGGTACGGCATTCCGAACACCACCAGTGATCAGTTTAGGGCCGCTTTGCAGAAATTGGTGCCCAATTGTTGTAGAGACAAAGAGCTGTGGTTGCCTAGCGATACTGTGATGATACCTCCGAGCCTGTTGATTGAAAATGGAGTCTCGCTGTGTAGGGCTGTACAGGAACCGGGACAATTCGTCGTGGTAAGAGGCTGCACTTTTGTCTTAAGTTGTGGAAAAACTTGCAAATGAATATTATTATTAGCACCACAACAGTAGTCAGATGATACTGGTGTGTAGTCTTTTTATGCTGGATAATGCACGAAACGTGTCTTCTAGTTCGTTTTCCAGCTTATTCTTGAATAAATTATTGACAGTTGTTAACCAAGAGAGTTCCACGAGTATACCACACGATTTGCAATTAAATTTCTCCTTATCAACATAGACGTTCTCTTTTTTTTCTAATGTAAAGGGTTGTCCAAAACCGACGCAGGAAAGTAAACGCATATTAAAACAAGAAAGATTGATATTCAAATCAAGTTGGGTACTTTAATTTGAAGGTTCATTATACCATTTATGTATGAAAAATAATATCGCTCAAATGTTCACCATGACTGGATTTACAGACGTCCACGCGATGGTCGAAATTTTCAATGACATTTTGCAACATGGTCGGTTCTATGGCATTTATCTCGGCAATGATGTTGTTTTGAGTTCTTGGAGGGTGGCTGGTTTGTTGACGTAGACTTTGCTTTTCCAATATCCCCATAAAAAGAAGTCCAAGGGAGTCAAATCGCACGATCTTGGTGGCCATGGCACATTTCCTCTGCGCGAAAACACGCGATCACCGAAGAAGGACTGCAATCGATGGATATTGACGTTGGTTGTGTGGCATGTTGCACCGTCTTGTTGGAAATAAACATCGTCCATATCCATTCCTTCAAGTTGCGGTAAAAAATAGTCCTCTATCATCACATGATATCGCTCAGAATTGACGGTAACGGCGTCCCCGGCCGCATTTTCGAAAAAGTAAGGTCCGATGATGCCTTTTGACCACAATGCACACCACACAGTCACTTTTTGAGGATGCATCGGCTGCTCTTGATACTCACGGGGATTTTCGTTCGCCCAGATGCGGCAGTTTTGCTTGTTTACCGTCCCATTCAAAGTGAAATGCGCTTCGTCGCTGAACATGATTTTTGGTGAAAAATTGGCATCAATTTGGCGGTGTTCAAGGAGCCAATCTGAGAACGTTCGGCGCGAAAAATGGTCGGCCCGACGCAGCTCTTGCATCAATTGGATCTTGTAGGCGTGTACATTCAAATCCTTGTGGAGAATGCGGAGCAAACTGGTTCTCAAAATGCCCAATTCTTGGGATCGACGCGTTGTTGATTGTTTCGGATCGTCTCTCACACTCTCCTTCACAACAGCAATATTTTCCGGTGTGCGAACGCTCCTTGGCCGGCCAGAGCCTGGCAGATTTGCCACAGAACCTGTTGCCTCGAATTTACGCACCAGACGACCGATGGTTGTTTCGTTTGGGCGGTTGTTGCGACCGAAATGTTCACGAAGCGCGCGAAACGTGTTTTTTATTTTTGCACCATTTTTGTAGTGCTCTTGAATAACTTTAATGCGGTCTTCAATCGAATACGACTCCATAGCGATAAATGGTAAACATTAAACTAACAAAATGACATGTCGGTGACAGAAAACAAAGATGGCGTCTATGTCAAATTGACGTTAATTTTCCTGCGTCCCTATTGGACAACCCTTTAGAATACAGTGTTTTTTAAAAAAGCACTTCTTCGATGCTTGTATCAATGGTTTTACCTCATTGACCATACCAATATTTGAAGTAATATCACTTTTCTGTTATTTTCAGGTGTTTCCTAAAGTATTCACCTCAAGTATTAGTACTGGATACGTAGTATCGGAGAGTGTGTATTTCGCGCCGCCTTATTGGTTAAAAAGTGCCAGGAATTTGTTTGACGTGTTGAGAAATAGCTGCGAACCTTCTATGTTCTCTTTAGATAGACTCCTGATCAACATAGCAAACGATACAAGGTATGTTCATCTGATGCTTTTTTGTTTACGTTTTCCCATCCTATTTTTTTCTTAATAACATTACATTTGATGTAGAGTTTTGAGTTTAAAGTACAGCAGACGCTCGATAACGTAAACACGGGATAATGAAAACTTGCGCTAATGTAAACACAAACTTCCTTCTATAGGATCAAACGGAACGCGCGATAACGTAAACAATGTGTACGCTCGATAACGTAAACAACTCTCGGCGCACGGAAACTGCGCGACGGTAAAATCCTGAAGCCTCGATGATTTATGTCGGGCGTCGGGGAGTCCCCGATTTATGATGTAGAGTGTAGGGGATTCACCTCTGCGATAAAATACGACACACTCGGTCAGTCGTATGATCGTTTAGGGTACGTTTATACGTACGTATGTATTTCATTTTTGAACTTAAGTGAATACATTGCACGCGTTAATATATTTTACGACTATGGCATCCACATCATATAAAAGAAAGTGTTTAAAGTTGAGTGAGAAAGTGAAAATCATAGACGAAGTTGCACTAGGTGCGGGAATGACACAGTTAGCAAAAAAATATGGAGTATCGAAAGCAACAATCTGTAAAATTAAGCGTATGAAAACTCAAATTTTACAAAGAACGTGCAATACATTTGGAGGTCCGGAAAAAGAAAAAGTTTAAAAAATGCGAAGGCACCTAAAATGGAAAATTCCCTGTATAGGTGGTTTTTAAAACAACGGGAAAATCATGTCTCAGTTAGTGGCGAAGTACTTAAACAGAGAGCGAGACTGTTAAATGAAAAACTGAAAGAAACTGAAAATTTCGTAGCAAGTGATGGCTGGCTACAACGATTCAAAACAAGATATGGAATTCGACTGCTGTCTATATCTGGTGAAAAATTATCAGCACAACCACAATTAGTGCAACCATTCAAAGAAAAATTGATGAAAACAATTACCGAGCTAGATTTAAGAATGGAACAAATTTACAACGCAGATGAAAGTGGCCTTTATCGGAAAATGTTACCAGAGAAAACCTATGCTGCATCATTTGAAAAATCTGCCCCGGGAAGAAAGCCGGAGAAACAACGAATAACGTTTCTAGCCTGCACTAATGCTAATGGTTCACACAAAATAAAGCCACTGGTAATTGGGAAAGCAAAAAATCCGCGCTCAATTAAAAATGTTAATATTCCTGTTGATTATGACTGTTCAAAAACCGCTTGGATGACTAGCAGTATATTCCTGAAATGGTTCCACATGTGCTTTCTCCCTCAGGTATGACAATCAATTATCACAAATGCTCTATTCATAATTTGAAGATGTGTTTTCAATTTGTAGGTAAAAGGTTTCCTAAAACAACAGAAGCTTCCAATAAAAGCGTTGTTACTATTGGATAATGCACCAAGTCATCCTCCCGAGCAACAACTGAGGAGCAGGGATGGGTCAATTTTCGTCATGTACATGCCGCCCAACGTAACACCGTTAATTCAACCGATGGACCAGAATATAATAAGACTCACCAAACTATACTATAGGAAGTTTCTACTTTCGTCTGTTTTATCAAAGAATCCTGAAAACTTATCTGAGGCTTTAAAAAAAGTAACATTACGAGAAGCTGTTTTAGATTTACATATGGCCTGGAATGAACTTAACCAGAAAACTATTCAAAAATGTTGGAACAATCTCTTTTGTACCAATAATGTCCCCTTAAGCGTAATTAGAGAACGTTTGCGATCCAATAATGATAATGTTATTAATGTGTCATTGGATGTTGTTGATTTATTCAAAACAGTGAATTCCAACATTGTTTGTACTCCTGCTGATATTAATGTATGGAACGAATATAAGCAGACGAATGATGCTGATAAGGAGGAGGATATGGACAGTGAGGATGATGAGAACGATCCCATTGAAGTCAGAAGTGTAGTGGCTGACGCGCAAGCTATACAAGTTTTTAACCAAGCTTTAGATTGGGCTGAAAGAAAGGAAGTTTCATACACGGATATTTTAGTTCTTCGTAAATTACGGGCGCAGGCATTGGAAGACAATGCTAAGCGCAAATTTACGCAGACAAAAATTGTTAATTATTTTTCTTCTAATTAAAAAAATACTTATCGCTGTTAGAATATTTGTTTATTTTGTTATAAATAGTATGTATTAAACGTTTCTTTTAATAAATCAAATATTATATAAATCACGTTCGCTAATGTAAACATTTCGATAATGTGAACCACACTTGGATTAAATTAGTTTACATTATCGAGCGTCTGCTGTACTTTAAAAAAATCATTTCGTTTTCAGATCTAGCATAGATATTTTGAGACAAGTGTTGCCTCACGTGCAAGATCTGTGTAACAAGGAGACTGAGAAACGTACGAAGCTGAAGACTTTTGGTGATTTGGAACGAGAAAGCATGCCTTTGCCAGATCCAAACAATAGAAAAAAGAAAAAGATGCGAGGGGAAGAGGGAGACTACGAATGTGAAATTTGTAGGGTGAATTTATTCACTTCAATGGTAAGGTCATTTGATTTTTTTATTCTTTCTCTTTTGGAACAGGAATTCTGTATAATATGTTGTCTTCATCGATAGTATTGATTGCCATCATGTGAATCAAGATTTATTCATATAAAAAAGGAGCAATATGAAAACTTCGATATGGTAGAAAAGCTGATCCTTTGGTCCTTCCTGATTTAACATAACCTAAAGAAACATTATACCTAGAAAATCTTTTTAATAAATTCATTAATACTCGGAGTTTTTTCTATGTCAGTATAATATTTCATGACTTTCAGGTGTTTGATACACATGTTAATGTGATATACTGCCTAGACCATGCAATAGAAATGTTAGAAAAGAAAAAATCCAAGGTTTCGAATTACAAATTCATGTTCACGTATGACGATGAAGAGATACAGGGATTACCTGAGAAGATAAAGAGTGCCATAGAGACGAAAGGCCAGAAAAAAATTCCTAACAAGTTTATGGGAATGCCAACATTACTGGGAAAACAATAAGCCAATGATGGCCTTCAATTATGATGCCGTCTCCATAGATTAAGCAAATTTTTTGATGATAGAATTTGATGTTTTCGCCAAACTTCCCTGATAATTTTTTGAGCTCTTTCAATATTTAAAAATTCGTACTAGGTATAGGCAATTCTTTATATGTAAGTTTATTTTTATATTATTTTTGAAAATATAAATCTTCTAAAGAATGCGTCATCAGTGATAAATCGTTTACAAGCCTTTCTTAGAAAGTGAGACTATGCAATTTGTTTTTATAGGAATCAATGTTCGTATAACAATTTTATCTTCTTCATAATAAAATGTGTTTATTGTATTACTGTTTTTATTTACTGCAATTAACTTTCCCTGATGTATGATTCTTTTTTATTTTAGGGACGGATTGTTTTAAAGAGAACCAAATAGAAGTGGAAATATATTTAATTCGAGGGATATATAAAAAGAATACCTTCAAGTGTAACAAATACTTTAAAGCTGAAACGAAACTATATCTATATTCTGAATACAACACAAATAAATATGACTTACGACTAAATTAAACAAAATTCACAACGATTTCTGTATAGTAGTCAAAAATATACGTTTCCCCTAGCAGTCATTACAAAACCAAAAATTCGTTTAAAAAATATGATTGTCAGATTCCGATTTTTTTAAAACTATACAAAGGTTCGTAATTATACAATCATATTTTTTAATTATGTGTATTTTCATGAAGATAGGTCTAATCACTTTGGTGAAAAATTACCTCACAATTCATTCGTATAAAAGCAATAAAATTGAACACTTTTCCATGAATCTGTGACTTGGTCAGTACCCCATTATAGAACAAATTCAGAATATTGCACTATCGAGAAAAAATGTGGCTATCGTTTGGGATGCAACTACAGGGTGTCCAGTGAGATAGTTCACATTTCAAATTTGATTTACGCTGTAACCGTATACGCAGAGTGGGAAAGGTCTTGATCGACGCGTTCGGCTTAAATAGTTACAATGGAACGTTGGACCGGAGCGCAACGTGCTTTTGCTATCGAGGCTTACTTTAAGAGTGGTGATTCATACGCAGCTGCCCTTCGGAAATTTTGTACACGACACAACATTCGCCGCCCAACAGATGTCCCAAGTTTCCTGCCGCCACACGTATATCAGCCGAAATATGTGTCGAGTATGTGATTCGGTCATTGCATTCCCTTGCTTTGAAATTGAATTGTCTTCTTTTATGTCAAATTGTTATATCTGACTAAATTGCAGTTGTAACAAGAAAAGACAGTTGGACTAGGCAAATTAGAGAAAGTAGCATCCACATTCAGAATCGGCTTGCATCGTGCGCAATTTTCCTAGGGCAGTTAAGCTCCGTGAATTATACAATAAAAAAATCTGTTTACTTATTTTGTATAATATTGTAACATAACCGCCAAAAACTATGTAAAGAACTGCATTTCATTCAGCTCAATATAAGTGTAGCAGTTTCTAAACATTTTTGTCAGTTTGGCAACACTGCCTCGATAGATGCCGGGCCATCTATGAGCGAATCGCTAAACCAATGGAGGTTCTTTCGCAGACGTGGAGCCATCTATGAGCGAATCACCTAACAAAGGGTGATTCGCTGATTTCTTGTCTTCTCTAGGTATCACTACTCTTTGATCCGACGTTATAAAAAGTCCATATGTGGTTTCTAAGAGCCATAATGTTCATTGAAAAGTGTTAAATTAATTTACTGCTAAGTTTAAAAACACACTCATTCAACCGACACTGAAATTAATCAAAATCATTTTTTGCGACAAACACCCAGAGCTATGAAACGTAAGCAACTGTGATAAGTACCTAGCAATAAAAAAGATGAATATCATGAAAGGCAATTTAAGGTACTTTCATTACAAATTTTATTAACTGATTATATATATTTTCAAATATATAAAATGCTTAGCTTAAGTGTATTCAAACGATCGAGTCGAGAATTTTCACAAATTGTATGTTATTGCGAATTTTTATCGTCACTTCTTTTAATTCAGATGATAGACTAGAGGAGGTTTAACAAAAAGACAGATGCTTCAAATATTAAGTTTGGAAATATATGAATGTGCCAAACTCTGGATGATCATACGATTCATCATAGGGGTCTGTGAAGACAATTTCAAAATTGCCAATAAAATTCTTACTTCCAGGTTTTTCTATTTCCATAGTAAATATATTATCTCAATACTGGTCTTATTGTATATCAGAAGAAAGTATCACACCCCAATGATAAAAGCTTTAGTTAAAATTTTATGAAATATTTTAGTGCTATCCTCTCTTTTCAATAATCTTATATTTCATGGTCTCTGATACTGATGAAAAATTACTTCTAACAATTATAAGCTAAATTTTAAATGCTCTAGAATGCCCTTCTAAGAATTTGGCTCATTCCACATCGACCATCTTTGCAAAGAATTTTTTTTCTCATTTTGCCATTCATCTGAACTATCAATGACACAATCTACGTGAAGAGAGGTAGGTTATGGAAATGGTAACCCCGCTTTCCCTTCGCTGCCAAATAGATGTACACCACATGGTACGCACCAGGCAGGAAGCATATAAACCCAGCCAATAAAAACACTGAACCCTGCAACCTGGAGTTGGGCTCTGATAATGTGATTGTACCTGTGGCCAACAGACCAACTCCTATGACCAGCAAAGTGAAGGCTGCTAGCACCATTCTCCAGTTCTCTCGTACTTTGGGGTGCTTAAAGCAGTTTCTGCTTAGGTTTTCTTGACTAGAGCACTCATAGTAATCCTGGATCAGGGAATCACTGTCACGAGAGGCATTGCAACTCATCTTGTAGCTCCTAAAATGATTACTAGTTCATAGTTTTATTTACTCTAGGTATAAACTGATGACAGACTATGTGAACGTTGATCAAGTATAGCGCATTAAATATGGTTTATGGTTGTATACCTTCCATTTTCCATGTTGATGTTAACATGGTCCCCCTCTCCAATGTTTTTATTCTGATTAGAAACTGGGGATCTGGGACTGCTCCCATAGACCTTTATCGCTTCGTCCGTTTCTTCCTCGAAGGCATCGTCAATGGAAAACCTCTTCTGTTTCCCATTTGTTAATGTGAATGTTGATGACATTTTCCTGCTAATTTTGTGGGTTCCTAATATTCTGCGAACAGAACTCTTCAAGTTGCTAACGGATTATCATCCATTTTACTACTGTAAAATTTCACTTATGTAGGACGGATTTCTGTATACGGTAATGCCACGGCACCTAAAGTGGTTTTGTTTATTGTTTGTACTTTTCAAGAGAAATTACAAATTTTTCATGTCAAAAGTTTATTTGGGAAATGGAATGTCACACCTGTCAACAGTGACGAAAATGTCACATGTGTACCAAGAATAGGTGTAAGAACTCAATATGTTTTGCTACTGCACTATAGATGACGCTTGCGTCAGAAGAACAGATAAATGTGTATACCAACAAGCGATTTCTGTTGACCAATTATGATGATCTTTTTGACGCCATCGTTGACTATCTTTAGGTATAAATACATAAGTCAATATTATGGTAGTTGTAGCCTGTGACAGGAGCACGTAAGAAATTTGTGGTAAGACTAATGACTGTTTTAGTATGAAAAAATATGCTCTTCTGTAAGAATCGCTATACACATTCATCTATGTAGGTAGTTTAGCGCTACCTCTGATGCAGTATCTAAAGACGCTTGAGTACTAACACCTATCCTCAATCTACTTTATATAACGGTTATTTTCTTGTTGGCAGCCTTGATTACTATAGGGCACCATCTAACGGTCGATAGCTCTGCTTCCGATTATTTTTCTGGTGTTAGCAGCCATGTGTAGATTTTGACACAAACAGGTTATGTTTTTTATTTTTCTATTTCAAAATTCTAGTTAAAATGACCCCCCTTATTCAAATCAATGCCGCAACTACAAAACCACAAAATTGCAAAATTATCTGGTGCTCCGTAAGAAGAATCAGCAAGTATTTGCACAAAGACATCTGTTCCAAGACTATACGACAGAAGTTTTTGGACTATTTCATAGATGAAAACAATCACAAATTCGTCAAGTCAAGCCCAGTGGTGCCCTACTGTGACCCTACAGTTGCTTTTGTTAATGCTGGAATGAACCAATTTAAAGGTGTGTTTCTGGGTACTCAAGAACCTCAATATCTTAGAGTAGCAAACTCTCAGAAATGTATTCGAGTTGGAGGAAAACATAATGATTTGAATGTTGTGGGGACGGATGGGTATCACCATACATTCTTCGAGATGCTAGGAAATTGGTCTTTTGGGGACTACTTCAGGATAGATGCCTGCAGGATGGCCTGGGAACTGCTAACAAATGTCTACAAAATCCCAACTTCTAGACTGTATGTTACATACTTTAAAGGTGATGAATCTCTCGGCATTAGTGAAGATGTTGAAACAAAGAATATATGGAAGGAGCTAGGCGTACATGAATCAAGAATCCTACCTTTTGGAACCAACGATAACTTTTGGGAAATGGGCCTAATTGGACCTTGTGGACCTTGTACCGAGATCCATTTTGATCACATAACAAGCAAAAATAGATCAGAATTTGTAAACAAAGGTTTGCACGATTTGGTTGAGGTGTGGAACATTGTATTTATAGAATATTACAGGAACATAGACAGAACTATTACTCCTTTGCCTAAACAACATGTTGATACAGGCATGGGGTTTGAGAGGTTAACTTCAGTTCTGCAAGGAAAAATAAGTAATTATGATACAGATATATTCAATTACCTGATGAAAGCTATACATAAGAACTGTATACACCTCCCTGAATACAAAGGACTCTTTGGAGAAAGTGACTGGAACCATTTAGATCAAAATTATAGGACTTTAGCTGATCATACAAGGATGTGTACTGTTTGCTTAGCAGATGGAGTCATTCCTGAAGAAAACCAGAAGTTTAGAAGGATTTTGAGGAAAACATTTGTGCTTAGTGAAACTGTTTTCAAGAAAGAAAAGGGCTTACTGAAGGAATTGTCAAATTATGTTGTAGAAAATTTAGGACTTGTGTATCCAGAGTTAGAAAAAAATATATCACAAGTACACCAGATGATAGATTATGAAGAAGAGGTTTATAGAAACTTGAGGGAATCTGTGAGTAAAGATTGGCAAAAACTTTTAGAAGAGAATCCGAAATTGCATGCCTTAGATATCATTGAATCACCTAGTTATATCAATGCTTATAAAGAAATAAAATCAACAAATGCTAAAGCTGTAGATGCAGAACTTGCTTTTAAGCTTTATGATACTTATGGTCTAGATGAGGATGGTATACAGAAGATAGCCAATGCTTTAGACCTAGAATATGATCCTGAAGCATTAGAAAAAAAGCTGGATCAAGCAAAGCTTAAGTCTAAACAAGGATCTTTGAAAATTGAAACCAAAATACATAAACTACTTGCTAAAAACGAGATTGGTAAAACTAATGATAACTTCAAGTATTCATATGTTAAGAATAATGAAGAATATTTGTTTAAAGATGTTGAATGTAAAGTGTTGAGGATTTTTCAGAATGATAGTCCTGTGAAAGAGGTAGATTCTGATTTTTACTGTTGTTTGCTGTTAGATAAGACTAACTTATATTCAGAAGCTGGTGGTCAGATATCTGATAAAGGCACAATCAAATTTGGCAAGGATAGATTTGATGTAACCTCTTTAGAAAACGTTAACGGTTATATCCTTCATAAAGGCTTTTTCCAATCTAAGAACAATAAATTGAAATTAAACATGGTCGGAAGTTTGAGTGTCAATAGAGAATTTAGGATGGATTGTATGAAAAATCATACAGGAACCCATTTGTTAAATGCAGCTTTGAAGAAGTTCAAAGGTGCCACATGCCAAAAATCTAGCAAAGTTACCAATAAGTATTTAAAATTTGATGCTGCCATATTCAGTGAAAAATTGACCATTGAAGAAGTCAAAAAGATAGATGCTACTATCTCGGATGTAATAAAAAGTAAAACACCAGTTAAGGTGAAGTTTGTTAACAGTCAACAACTTCTGGATTTTGATAAAATTACTCTAATACCAGGAGAAATATACCCAGAAAATGATATTAAAGTCATTGAAATCCAGAACGACAAATTATTGTCTAGAGAACCTTGCTGTGGTACACATGTCCTAAACACAGGTGATATAGGTGACTTTTGTATCACCTCAGTTAAGTCACTAAGTCGTAGTACAAGTGCTATAACAGCAGTTACTGGAGACAGAGCAAAGCTAGCTAGAGCCAGTGGTGCTGAACTCCTGGATGAAATCCATGCTGTCAAGACATACGTCAGTGATAATATAGATAAGCCAGAATTACTTGAAGTTGCTATATCAACATTGAAAAAGCAGCTGAATTTTGGCATTGAAGATGAGAATGTTCTACCCTTATCGGTTAAGCAGGAGTGTTCCGAGAAGCTAGATCGGATGAGCAAGGATATTAAAGACGTCATGAAGGAAAACTTACGAGACTTCATAGAAATAGAAATGAAGAGCGCATTGAATTCTAATATTAAAAGAACAAAGTCAAACAATAAGTACATTGTGCATTACTTGAGAAGTTCGACAATGCTTGATAATGTGCCTCTTCAAAAAGCAACAAAACTGTGTCCAGATTTGCCGATTCTAGTCATTTCGTTTGCTGATAACACAGTGAAAGCTAGATGCTGTGTGCCAAAGAACTACAAAAACGACCATTTTAATGCAGAAAAATGGTTAAAATTGACTGTAGCTGACGTTTTTAAAAGCAAAGCAGCGCCACCTAAGGGACAGGATGGAGCAGTTGTCTGCAACATGAAGGCCAAGAAGATACATGTTCAAGAATGGGACACTTTGCTCAAGGATAGTATAGAAAAAGCGAACAGATACGCGGATGACAACTTGTAGATAGCGAAGCTAGTCCTGATAATTGTAATTTATATTTAATAGTGATCTCTTTGCGCTACTTTCTTGTAATGTGTGTACATATCCTTGCCTGGTACCCATCCTGTTATTTAACTTTGATAGTTATATCTATTTATTGTACATAGGGATTGTAAAATTTTAAATCTATAAACAAATATAAAATTGTTAAAGAACTCACTTATTGTTTTTTTTAATCCCAACGTTCAGGGGAAATAATACGTCCAAAATGACATTTTATTCAATGAATATTAATAAGAGAAGCCCGGCACGGGTATCACGTATCTTGAAAAATGACATTATGCCGATTTTTTTTTGACATTATGTAGGTTATTCTACAAAGCAGCGTATATAATTTCTGATTATTTTTATTATGACTTAATAATCGGTGCTTTTTCGTCTACAACGGGGTATGGAAAGTTGAAAAAAAGAAAACTTTCATAATATTAATGGGAGGAATGTTTTTTTTTCCGAACAAAATTTTTACTGATGGAACCATGGCTTTGTAGCTATGATAACTTTCAATTCTCTAAACTTTTCCGCATGTCAAAGAAAATATTTATTGATTTAGCAAAAATGATGAAAAAGCGATGAAAAAAGATATTAACAAAACCGTATACAGGTGGACATCATCCAGTGAGTTTATACGGCCATATTTTATATTCTTGTGGTATATGGCTATACAGGATACTTTTTTAAGTGTAAGAACTAGATTTAAAGTGTCCCCAACAACAGTGATGATTATAATAATGCTAAAACTGAAGTCAGCCTGTATCAAGTTTCCCAAAAACGAAGCTGAAGTACAATAAAAATATCCAATACCCGGCAAAATTCTAACTTGTCACATGTCAAATAATAACCAGAAATATAAAACTACTCCGGAGTTGGGTAAATATCACAATTTTGCGGTGATAACTATGACATATAACAGCTGATTCGTGACGTCACGGATCTTATAACCAAACTGATAACTACAATCGCTTGAACGGATTGGTAAATACCAAGCCAAAATGGTAAATACCATTTCCATTTGGTTATCCGCTTGAATTAGTTGTACGTGTTGCCTAAAAGTCATGAGGCTAGTTATCCATCTTTGGCTCTGATGTGATGTAAAATCTGCTTTTGAGATGGCATTACTGGAGGTCTAAGCTGTAAGTTGTATGTGTTGATAATTACATTGGGTTCTTGTCTCAAATACACTTAATTGAGATTCAAAGTTAGAAATTAGTTGCGCATACACTTTTCTTATCCATCCTGGAAATTACATATACAAATTCGCTGAATTAAAAAAATGAGAGAGATAAGAAATGATTATATTCACTGTACACTGTCGAATTACAAGCCATATACATGCTAACAGTAATTACACACAATGCGGGCGCGGTGATGATTTCCCGTAATTCTCCTCAGCTTTTCGTAATTTATAACTTTGAACATAACCTCTCTTCAGGAAGCACAACATATAAATAACCCGTCATATTCAGCATATTATTTAGTAATAATTTTGTCACACAGCAAATATCACTGATTTTATACTCATGCAGCCAAATACACATAATTATCCAGATGTGATCTTGCTATTCAACCAACTTTCTTCTCAGAGATAAAAACTACAGAGACAGAGACAGACACGGATCACTCAGACTCGGCCTCACAAAACTATGCTACCAATAATTCGTAGTTTAGTTGAGTGACTCTTCCATAGATGGACGTTCACAACGATCCTAGTGAGCAAACGTGGAATGACTGTTTGCACCCTAAAAACTACCTAGTCTGCAAGTTGACATCTTATAGGTTTTTTTTTGACGTTTTGTAGGTTTTTTACATGATAACCGTGCCGGAGGCTGGTTCTAAAAATTCGGAACTAGATGACGTCATGGTTATAAATTGAACGACATTCAATTAGAACCATCGCCGAAAGACTGTTTTTTGTTTTCATTATTTTATACCTAACTCTCAAAATATTGCGGTCAATAATGGCAAACTTTGCACCGGATTTCTGTCCAGTAACCCCTTGATTCATGTTCAGGTGCATTGAACAAAAAACATTGAGTTGAAAATGTTCTCCCATTGCTTATTTAGAAATGTACCTAATACAGGTTGGGCGATATGTAACTGGTTTGTATCTTGAATATTTGTGAAATAAAATAAAATACTTCCATTTTTTTCATCTTAATCTTTTATTGAAACTTATGAATATATACATACTGAAATGTGTGTATCCAAAATGGCGCGAAATTTAAATCAGTGAGTTATATATTGGCCACCCTGTATTTTCGTCTCCATCAGTTCTCAAATGAATTTGGATTCTGATACATGAGTGTACGTGTGACAGCTCACGACTACATATGTTACTTTTAGTGGGTAGGGAATAAAAAAATTCTATTTAGAAATAAAAGTAGATTTCTGTTTATTGATGACACAGCGTTTTGTATTTACATTATTAATATAATAATTTTATTGCACTAATTGTTTACTCAATGTAAATATCTTCAACTGGATAAGCAGTCTCGATGAACTTTTGATAGAACCTCTGGAAGGCGCGACTGAAAAAAGAGAAAAACATTTCGATAGTGAAATACATTTTATCTAGGTAGTCCTGGGCCCATAACCTATATACGATTGCAAGGATTATTCACCACACGTGACGTGACAATTAAGCTACAGATATTTTGTCAATAAAAGATAAGCAAATATGCTGCGTCCCTCTTCCATTACGCCAGAATGATGAATTTCCCTTAGGTGAGATTTCCTCTTGGAAATAAGATATGTCACAAGGCGCAATATCGGCGCTTTTGGGTGGTTGCGGTATTGTTGATATGCATGTTTTCGCGAACAACTTTTGACCGATCAACAAGGGATGATGAGAATTTTTGGCACCATCTTTCTAATGTTAAAATGATAGTGCAACATCTTGAAAACCATTTTTTTTCAAGACAACCTAAGAACGCTTTGGCGTCCGTGATAAGTTGTTAGGTTTTCCACCAGGTTTCTTTAGAAATTGCGGTACGTCGTTTTTTCACCTAAAATCGATCTTAATCTTGGACTGAAGCTTAAAGATCCCCATTACTATACATATTTGATGAAAGACACAATGCTAGTTCCCGAGTTATCAATAAGTTCCCGGAACTTAATTGCGGCATCACATATTAGATACTCCTTGGTCTAACTTTAACTGACCATGTGGGTGCCCTGGGCCCATAACCTATAAACGATCTCCTCCTTATTTTTTCAGCAGGTCGAGATTTAAAGGTAAAATTTGAAGCGATGAAATGGATGCCTAAACATGGCGTTTTAACGTAAGAGTGGCAGTTTAAAATTTTGATATGGCGGCTGGACGTCATTTTGGAACGTTCCTAATAACTCTTCAATCAGTCATTAAAACGCTACAGTATGTTATATCAGTCTTCTTCTTTTGAAAAAGTCTATTCGAGTATGTAAAAATATATGGAAAATTAAAAATTAAAAAATAATCAAAATCTGTCATACTTTTTTAAATCAACGTCCCATATTTTACTGCACATTGATATAGAGTATTCCAAAAGAAGAAGATTGATATAACATACAGAAACGAGAACATCGTTTTTACTGTTCCAAGTCTATTAAAGTTGATTACTCTAACACTAATTTATAGCACTTGCAACTAATTTATGACAAATTTTGTCGACTGGACTATAGCTTCCGGGTTGTTGACTGTCGCGACTGTGACTCATCGGACGCTGTCCGTTGACTGTCTTCCATCCGCGATCCCTCCTATATTCATTCCCCCATTGACGAGTCGAGAAATACTCTAGTGTTTTCCAGAAAGAGTCGTAAATCTTTATGGAAATGGTCTAGATGGAAATAGATTTATCTCGATGACACCGAACGTAAAACGTAATCCTGAAGCTCCTCAATGAGGGCGCAATCGCTTACGAACAGCCGCGTGACTCTGGTTGCCTAAGCGATATTTTTACGAAGTTGTCTCTGCCATGTAGAAAGGTAGCAATTTTATATTCGATAGTTAAAAAGCTCACATAAAAACGGAGCTTTAAATAAGATATCGCATGGCTTCCCGTTCCATTTGAAAAAACGTTACAAGATGTCGCCGATTAGGGAGACTTTCTGAAAAGAACTGCATAAGAAATATTGAATTCCATTTAAAAGTAAAAAATATTTTTTCTATGAGTGTCTTCTTACCCGACAGCCTCAGCAACTGGTCTAGTCGAATCTTGCCCCCTAAATACATGACAGGCGAATCTTTGTAAAGTAGGATGTTTCGTAATGAAACCTAGATAGCGATGATCTCTTGGATGAAATGCGCAGAAGGATACATTTTTCAAGGAATAGAAGTAGTCGATACATGGTTCACTTTGCTGAAAGTAAATAAATGATCATTCACTATAAGCATTGGATCAATATAGTTCGAATAGCACACATATATCCTGACCTAACCTAAATAAAACTAACGCGACACGCGACGCTTACTAAGGCCCATATCGTCAGTCGTCCCTACAATTGTAGGGTGCCTTTATGGCCTCCTTGATTGTCATAGTTTTCTACTTCTCCGTGTCAGAACACTATTTTGAGGTTATGTCACAAACATCTATTTGCATCAAATTGTGCTTGTTTTTGAGTTATATCATGTTTTATCAGCCTGAAATTTCCTACAATTTAAAAAGAAAACATATCTTCATAATAGGACAGCGCTGACGCTGACACGGGACGGGTGCAATCTAGAAATTTTTGAAGTAGAGAAAGGAGTATGACAATCAAGGAGGCCATAAACGCACCCTACAATTGTAGGGACGACTGACGATACGGGCCTTAGTTAGAATGTGATTTGTGACGTATTATCCGTTCTTATATCTTTTTAGGTTATTGCACATTGGTCAAATGTATAATTTATACAGATGAAGCATTATTTATACCGTATCATATAATGACCGTACTATATGGCGGGTCGGTAACACAAGGAAGCAGAAAAAATGTAAACGAATATAATATCCTCGTCGTCTACTTTACATAGACATTTCAATACTCAGCTCAAAACGTGCTGAATTTGATTAGAAACAGAAAAGTTGAAAGAATTGAGTCCGGCACTGGATTTTTCAACCGTTTCAAACGTTTAAATCTTATATAATTTCAACAAAATCGATTCAATGTTGCCTGAGATATGTGATATTAAAGATTTGGCATGTTTAGATAAATCAGTAAAAACTGAATTTATAACTTCTTTATCTTCAAACATGAAAAAAGGTGTCGGTCTATCTATCATTCTATCGGCATTAGGGAAACTATATCAAGGTTTGTCGAAAAAAAAGTATGTGAATGTGATAGTTCTACTTACATTTCTTTTCCGTCTGTCCACCATGCGCAGGCCTTGGTCAGAAACTTCTAATGTACAAGGTTGAATTTCGGGCTCCGCCCCAGAAGTACCAATGACCCTTCTCACAGCCTGACATACAACAGTTGTCCCTTTGTGGGCTAATGTTTCTACCGATCCAATATATCCTGAAACCAAACACGGACTGTGGGCCACGTTGCCTTCGAACTTTCTTATGAAAGCACTGTTTCATCTTTTTCTGTGTAATGATCAGCTAATATTGGCTAATATCTGATTCTTGAATATCCTTGTCCAAAACGGACGCAGGAAAGTAAACGCATATTAAAACAAGAAAGATTGATATTCAAATCAAGTTGGGTACTTTATTTTGAAGGTTCATTTATACCATTTATGTATGAAAAATAATATCGCTCAAATGTTCACCACGACTGGATTTACAGACGTCCACGCGATGGTCGAAATTTTCAATGACATTTTGCAACATGGTCGGTTCTATGGCATTTATCTCGGCAATGATGTTGTTTTTGAGTTCTTGGAGGGTGGCTGGTTTGTTGACGTAAACTTTGCTTTTCAAATATCCCCATAAAAAGAAGTCCAAGCGAGTCAAATCGCACGATCTTGGTGGCCATGGCACATTGTCCTCTGCGCGAAATCACGCGATCACCGAAGAAGGACTGCAATCGATGGGTATTGATGTTGGTTGTGTGGCATGTTGCACCGTCTTGTTGGAAATAAACATTGTCCATATCCATTCCTTCAAGTTGCGGCAAAAAATAGTCCTCTATCATCACGTGATATCGCTCAGAATTGACGGTAACGGCGTACCCGGCCGCATTTTCGAAAAAGTAAGGTCCGATGATGCCTTTTGACCACAATGCACACCACACAGTCACTTTTTGAGAACGTTTGGAGCGAAAAATGGTCGGCCCGACGCAGCTCTTGCGTCAACTGGATCTTGGAGGCGTGTACATTCAAATCCTTGTGGAGAATGCGGAGCAAACTGGTTCTCGAAATGCCCAATTCTTGGGATCGACGCGTTGTTGATTGTTTCGGATCGTCTCTCACACTCTCCTTCACAACAGCAATATTTTCCGGTGTGCGAACGCTCCTTGGCCGGCCAGAGCCTGGCAGATTTGCCACAGAACCTGTTGCCTCGAATTTACCCACCAGACGACCGATGGTTGTTTCGTTTGGGCGGTTGTTGCGACCGAAATGTTTACGAAGCGCGCGAAACGTGTTTTTTATTTTTGCACCATTTTTGTAGTGCTCTTGAATAACTTTAATGCGGTCTTCAATCGAATACGACTCCATAGCGATCAATGGTAAACATTCAACTAACAAAATAACATGTCGGTGACAGAAAACAAAGATGGCGTCTATGTCAAATTGACGTTTACTTTCCTGGGTCCCTATTGGGCAACCCTTTAGAAACCCTATCATTTTTGAAAACGTGTTTCATCAACTTTATGAGATAAATTATGAATGCATAGTCGCAATATCGCAGATAATTGCGAGCTTACGAAATCAAACGCGATGATATTTTTTTAAAATGGAATTTGGAAGTTTCTTAAAGTAGGAAATAATCGTTACCTAAAAGATATCTCTCTCTTCTTCCGTGTTCGCAGGTAGTATCCCAATCACTATAATCACAGTCAACAGCATATGCCGATGGAAATATTCCAATTCTTCCAGTCCTTAAATTAACACCTGAAACAAAAGTTATTCAGATACTCTTCACAGGCATTTGCAGACCAAAAGTATTCAAAATATGTCGTCAAGTTTCAAAGCTGAACTAGTTCAGCAGTCGATGAGGATTTTTTGGTAAGCAAAAAAAAGTACGTCATTGAAGGTCAGTTTCTTTTTGAACAATTCTACAAAATTCTGCCTCACTCCCCAAAAAGCTGGCAAAGGCCTAAACTTTCGTTAACTGATCTGAAAATATACAGGGTGTCCGGAAAGTTGGGGTTTTCCTTTACACGACGTGTAGATCTTAAAAACATAAGCAATTTTTCTTAAGGGAACCGAGATAAAGGGCTCTGCAACATCAAAAATATCTGAATACCGTCCTGTAGCCGCGACCCGGGACATCACCGATTGGTACAAGGTCTCAACCCGCCGGCAGAACTGGGTCGGGGTCAGTGTGTCAGGTCAGTATGCAGCCTTCAACCGACGGTTACGGTCACGCATGTAGAGGTAATCGCGTAGACGAGAATCCCTCAACAAGCACTAGAGACGTGGCTAGAGAAGTGCAAGTATCAAAAACTAAAGTGTGGCAAACGCTGCGTGAAGAGGGGCTGTATCCGTTCCACGTCCAACGTGTACAAGCCCTTCAACCTGACGATTTTCCAGCAAGAGTGCGGTTTTGAGAGTGGTTGTTTCATCAACATGACAATAATCCGGACTTTTTGAAGTGCATATTGGTGACAGACGAATCTACGTTCACGCGTAATGGGGTGAATAACTTTCGCAACACTCATGTGTCAGTAGAAAATCCGCACGCTGTCCGTCGGGCACATTTTCAACAAACATTTTCGGTGAGTGTTTGGGCTGGCATGGTGAACGGTTTGCTCATTGGACCATTTATTCTCTCAAATCGATTGGACGGATGCAATACCTAGACTTTTTACGCAACATTTTGCCTTCCTTGTTAGAAGATGTGCCATTAAGTGTAAGACAATCAATGTGGTTTCTGCGTCTGCTCGGTAGCGCTTCAGCTGATTTCATTTTCTGTTGGAGCGGTATGATTTCGGGCAGAGACGTACTTAGCCCTTCTCGTCAACTGGAGAGTGAGTACTTTTTCCTTTATTTTTTTTTACTTGGTCGCCCTCGTTTCACTACACATTACCTTTGTTATTTCAAGGGTAGTTGTTTCTGAAAAGGAAAAGCCCAACTTTGCGGACACCCTGTATATTCGGAGGATTTTCGGGTCTCTGATTATGAAAAATACTATGCATTCAAAATCGCGGAACCACTATATCTTAACCAGTATCAAAATTTATAAAACACTACTGGAACTAGACATCTTTTCTCAAAAACGATCAATTTCTCAAGAATTGAACATACGTTCCTTCAGCCAAAATGTCAGGTCAGACTTTTCCAAAATGCAATACCGAATGAACGTTTTTGTTACACCCTCTATTGCCTTTTACCTTCACACCAAAGATCGTCGGCTTCCTTCTGCACATAAATCGGGTCTCCGATTTCGACGTCGATCTCGTCCGGATGCCTCGGCACGAACCTGTGCAAGCCTCGATGAGTCGCTTCCAACGAATCGGCCGAGTCCCCGAAGCAAGAGGGGGCTGCCCCTAGGATACCGGCCCCTAAAATCGGGGACATCGATTTGGGGCCGTCCGTGCCTGAAGGCGAATGCGCTGTGCTGTGACCGCTGTCCGCATCAGTCAATACTCTGGAAAATTTAAAGATATATAATAACATAAAGATCCTGAGAACGAAAATTTTGTACGTTTTATAAGTCGTGGGAACTGCAAGTTTGATTAAAATGCAAATATTCGTAACTTTTGATACTTTGGGACTTGATATTCCTGAAATTTTGGAAAACATGGTGATTTTCGTCGCTTTTGTCATTTCCTAGTTTCTGTCCTTTTTTGTCGTTTTCGTCATTGTGGTCAGTTTCGTCGCTTTCGTCATTTGCGTAATTTTCATACGTTTCGTCCTTCTCGTCACTTTCGCAACTTTCGTCGTTTTCGTCATTTTCAGTTTCGCCATTTTCGTCATTTTCAATTTTGTCATTTTCGTCCTTTTCGCCCTTTTCATCATGTTCGTCGTTTTCGTCACTTACGTAATTTTCCTTCACTTCGTCCTTTTCGCCCTTTTCATTATGTTCGTCATTTTCGTCGTTTTCGTCATTTGCGTAATTTTCGTTTGTTTCGTCATTTTCATTTTCGCCATTTTCGTCATTGTCGTCAGTTTCGTATGTTTTTGTCATTTGCGTAATTTTCGTTCATTTCATCCTTTTCGCCCTTTTCATTTTGTCCGTCGTTTTCGTAATTTTCGTTCTTTTCGTCATTTTTGTCCGTTTCGTCATGTTCGTCCTTTTCGTCACTTTCATTTTCGTCATTTTCGCCATTTTCGTCATTTTAATCTTCGTCATTTTTGCCATTTTCGTAATTTTCATTTTCGTAATTTTCGTCATTGTCGTCACTTTCGTCATTTCGTCACTTTTGTCATTTTCGTTGTTTACGTCATTTTCGTAATGTTCGACGCTTATGTCATTTTCGTTATTTTCGTCATTTTCTCTATTTTCGCCCTTGTCGTCAGTTTCGTCACTTGCGTAATTTTCCTTCATTTCATCCTTTTCGCCCTTTTCATTATGTCCGTCGTTTTCGTAATTTTCGTTCTTTTCGTCATTTTTGTCCGTTTCGTCATGTTCGTCCTTTTCGTCACTTTCATTTTCGTCATTTTCGCCATTTTCGTCATTTTAATCTTCGTCATTTTTGCCATTTTCGTAATTTTCATTTTCGTAATTTTCGTCATTTCGTCACTTTTGTCATTTTCGTTGGTTACGTCATTTTCGTAATGTTCGACGCTTATGTCATTTTCGTTATTTTCGTCATTTTCGTCATTTTCTCTATTTTCGCCCTTGTCGTCAGTTTCGTCACTTGCGTAATTTTCCTTCATTTCGTCCTTTTCACCCTTTTCATTATGTTCGTCATTTTCGTCGTTTTCGTCATTTGCGTAATTTTCGTTTGTTTCGTCATTTTCATTTTCGCCATTTTCGTCATTTTTGTCATTGTCGTCATTTTCTTCACTTATGTCATTTTTGTTGTTTGCGTCATTTTCGTAATGTTCGACGCTTGTCATTTTCGTCATTTTTGCCATTTTCGTTATTTTCGTCATTTTCTCTATTTTCGCCATTGTCGTTAGTTTCGTCGTTTTCGTCACTTGTGTAATTTTCCTGCATTTCGTCGTTTTCGCCATTTTCATTATGTTCGTTATTTTCGTCGTTTTCGTCATTTGCGTAATTTTCGTTTGTCTCGTCATTTTCATTTTCGCCATTTTTGTCATTGTCGTCAGTTTTGTACGTTTTTGTCATTTGCGTAATTTTCGTTCTTTTCGTCATGTTCGTCCTTTTCGTCATTTTCATTTACGTGATTTTCGTCATTTTCATCTTCGTCATTTTAGTCATTTTCGCCATTTTCGTCATTTTCGCCGTTTTTGCCATTTTCGTCACTTTTGTAATTTTCCTCACTTTCATTATATTCGTCATTGACGTCACTTTCGTCATTTTCGTCAGTTGCGTCACTATCGTCATTTTCGCCATTTTTGCCATTTTCGCCATTTTCGAAATTTTCATTTTCGTCTTTTCGTCACTTTAGGTCATTTTCTTAATTATTGTCACTTTCGTCATTGTCGTCAGTTTCGTCGTTTTCGTCATTTTTGACATTTTTGCCATTTTCGTCAATTTCGCCATTTTCGTAATTTTCGTCACTTTCGTTATATTCGTCATTGTAGTCACTTTCGTCATTTTCGTCAGTTTCGTCACTATCGTCATTTTCGACATTTTTGCCATTTTCGTCATTTTCTCCATTTCCGTAATTTTCATTTTCGTCTTTTCGTCACTTTAGGTCAGTTTCTTCATTTTTGTCACTTTCGTCAGTTTCGTCGCTTTCGTCATTTTCGTAATTTTCGTCATATTCGTCATTGACGTCACTTTCGTCACTGTCGTCAGTTTCGTCGTTTTCGACATTCTCGACACTTGTCATTTTCGACATTTTTGCCATTTTCGTCATTTTCACCATTTTCGTCACTTTTTATATTTGTCACTGTAGTCACTTTCGTCACTATCGTCATTTTCGACACTTTTGTCATTTTCGACATTTTTGCCATTTTCGTAATTTTCATTTTCGTCTCTTCATCACTTTAGGTCAGTTTCTTCATTTTTGTCACTTTCGTCATTGTCGTCAGTTTCGTCGTTTTCGTCACTTTCGTAATTTTCGTCATATTCATTGTCGTCACTTTCGTCATTTTCGTCACTTTTGTCATTTTCGTCGTTTACGTCATTTTCGTAATGTTCGACGCTTTTGTCATTTTCGTCATTTGGTCATATTCGTCATTTTTGTTACTTTGGAAATTCAGGCCACTGAAATATCATTATGGGAGATCTGGCAATTTTGAAAAATTTGGTATTTTGAAAATTGACAGGTAACTATGAGGCCCCAAACAAGCAATAAGTCAGTTATTTCTAATTTCACTAATATATGTGCATACCTATCAGATTCTGGGGAGTCATCCCACAAGTATCCACATTTCAATACTAAGATTGAGCTTGGTCCGCTACTGGAGCTACCCATTTCGTCTGCTAGGGAGATCTCTCGGGAGAGTTGTTGTTGTGCATTATACATTGTTACTACTGCAGCTGAAAAAAAGTAAAAAAAATAAAAACATCCCTAGAATTAAGGTCATTGTTGACGAGTAGCACAAAAAGTTTCCATAAATAGGAGTTCTAAAATCTCAAATTACCAAGATACATTTCTTTCCTACAATTTTATCATGCCAAAATATCTGGCCAACATAAAAACCTTGATAAGATGATGTTCAATCCCAAAATTAATTTTAGGATCGATTTAAAATTGCCGAATACTAATTAGCAATGCCAAGGCATCCCTCAAATTGACGCATTTCTTTTTCCTCCTTCCTTCCTTCTTCCCTTCTTTCTCCCTGACTGGGAGTTTAGAATAATAAGCTTTTCTGAAGGATGATGTAAACGATGGAGTTTATCGAACTAGTTGTGCCATGCGGTTTGTAAATTGTACCTTACCAAAAAGCATTTAATTTTCATTCAAAAATAATTTTAAATCAGCCTAAAACTCCCTGAACCATATAGTATTTATTAACGAGTTATCGATAGATCTCATTTTCTGGTCAACTTACACTTCTTATTCTTGGGTATTTCCGGCAGCTTCCTACGGCGCCTTTCTCCGTTGCTGCCAGAGGCGGCGCTCTGCGGCCACGAAGGGGGTCCCACTCCCACCCCCACGCCGGAAGTGACGTCCTGCCCGTCGGATTGTCTTCGGATTGTAGAGGGCGCTTCGATCCCACTGGGCCCACCTGCTGCCGCGGCATTCGTATCACAGTCTGTTTCTAGGTCGCTCTTGGAAGAAGTGGGCGAGTCTTCTTCGTCCACACCGTGGACCAGGCTGCAGAAGGAAAATTGTGCGCGTGATATTGGATTTGCTGTTGAGAGGCACGTACACAGGACTGTTGGAGTAATTGTTTCGGGGGCTATTGCCTATGATAACCGATCACCTCACTGGACAACAAATTTTAGTTTTTTAATTGTATCTTGTGGGAAAAGTGCAGTTCTTTGTTAATTATGGGGCGCTGAATCCAAAAATGACAATGAAATAAAAAAATTAGTTGCGGTTTAGAAAAAAAACTTTTTATTTTTAAGGATATATTAAAAAAAGTAACAAGATTCATATACTTATAAGAATCACTATATGCGCTGTCTTTTTGCTGTTCTTTTATGGATCGTTTCTGGAGCATCTCTACCAAGAGTCCAACAGTAGTCTGCAAGCATGGAGGGATTACACTTTCCCCGGTACCTTTTTTCCATTGTTGAAATATCCTGATGAAAACGATCGCCGTGCTCATCACTTACGGCTCCGCAATTGTCAGGAAAAAGGCCAGGTGTGAGTGTAGGAAATGTATCTTAAGAGACCATCTTTTGATACGATGACAGCATATTTTTGACAAGGGTTTTATAGTTGTCAGCTTTTCTATTTCCCAAGAAATTTGTGTCCACCAGACGGAAATCATTCCAAGCAGTTTTTTCAATACCTGTTAAAGTGTTTTCAAACTGTGTATCTTTCAAAATATTTCGAATCTGTGGCCCAACAAAAATACCTTCTTTAACCTTTGCCTCACTTAGTCTTGGAAATTTCTGACGCAGGTATTGAAAAGCTGACCCATCTCTATCTAATGCCTTGACAAAGTTTTTCATTAGGCCCAACTTGATATGCAGTGGTGGTAATAAAATTTTTTTCGAATCTACTAATGACATATGCTGTACATTTTTTTGACCTGGCTCTAGGAATTGACGAACAGGCCAGTTTTGTCTGGTGTAATGAAGTGCCTTTGCACGACTGTCCCATTCACACAAAAAACAGCAAAACTTTGTGTAGCCTAGCTGCAGCCCAAGTAAAAGTGCAACAACTTTCAAGTCGCCACAAATATGCCATTGGTGCTCATCGTATTTTATGCATGTCAATAGGTACTTCATATTGTCATATGATTCTTTCATGTGAACTGCATACCCTACAGGAAGAGATGGTAAAACATTTCCAATATGCAATAACACTGCCTTTAAACTCAATGTTGAACTGTCTATAAACAATCTTCATTCTTCTCTTACAAGATCATTTAATTCTGACTGTGTTATTTTGTGCTCGGTATAAAATCAGGATCTCTTGACGTTGATGGCATATCTTCTTCCTGACGAATCACTCGATCGCCATGATCTGATTCGTTTTCTGATTCGCAAGTGTAGGATTCTGGGGGTTTTGGAATAGGATTTTCGTCACTGTGAGGCACAGGTCTCATCGCAGATGTCATGTTTATGTAGTTAATAACCGATTTTTTTTTCTTCGACATACCTGTAGCTTGTCCAACACAAGGTACCATGCAAGAGTAACAATCATTAATATGATTTGTAGGCTCTCTCCAAACCATTGGGACAGCAAAGCGCATAGACCGTTTTTTGCCATTTAACCAGCTCCTCAGACTTGAAGCACATGTATTACAGCAGATGTGGGGTGCCCACTGTTTGTCTTGATCACCTAGTTTACAACCGAAATAAAGCTGATATGCCTTTGTGATTAGTGGAGTAATAGACCGTCTCTGAGACGCAAAAGTCACATCACCACACACGTAACAAAACCGATCTGGATTGTTTACACACTTTCGAGACATCTTGCATGAACGCTGTCAGCCAACTGAGGAAAAAATTGCTAATATAAAACAATATAATGTACACGTATGTATAACGTAACACAATCATGCCGATTACATCATCTTTCCTTGCCGAATATAAAAATGTAGCACGTGCATTCTTGTGAATTACAGTATATTAACACGGTCACAGCAGGAACACATATAATTACCGTATCTCTAAAACTTGAACTAATATTGAACTAAGTTTCATTCCCGTTTTAGCACATTAAAAATAGTAATATTTTGTTGATTTTATTTAGGATATTTTTTGGCTGTTGATCAGTGTTATCTTTGTTCAAGGCAATATGACTGCTTTACTTTACTGCCGTATCTAGAGAATGAGGTGCCGCAACCAGACACCGACCATCTCATTTTGTCGATGCCTAGACATATTCGGGAGTGCATCCAGCTGTGGGGTCACCCAACACATTATTAATTTTTTTCTTTTTACTTTTCAATAAAATTTCGTGAGAATGTTATCGTTTCATTCTTGACGTAAGACTACCTCATTACCAAAAAATCAAGTTGAAGAAATATTTTTTTCTGGGTGTAACACTTCTAAAATGTCAGTGAGTATATGTGGCCGTATTGACATTTGATACCCTTAAGCGAATTATATAGGTTAGTGCGGTCCCGCATTAGAACTGAATCAATAAAGAGATAAAGTTTCCGCAATGAAAGAGTGGTTTTTAAGTCGGTTTCCGTTAGCAAGTAATGATTGGGATTTGCTTTACACACACATTTGCTTCCACTCGTGTATTGATCGTATTGATATCTCCTACTTCCTGCCACAAAGGCTAGTAGGTAGTCGAAAAACAAGGGCATAACTTTCCTCAGCTAAAAATATTCCAACAGCTTCCTTCAATCTAGGGCAATTTTCGACATAATATTTCTGAATGTTTATAGTTTTGATTCAGGTTACATTACATTGACAGATGTCACTCTTCTGGCTGCGATTAAGCAAGCAAAAGGTCTTGTCATCATGATAACATTCGTAGAGCGACGAATCTCGTCCATGAAGTGAGAAATGCACTCCATGAATTCCGCAATGAGCAGTGGAGCGGCTTTCTGGCGGGGATGCTTGAATCAAGTATTCCTTTCTGGAAAGTGGCAAAATCGCTCAGAAACGGAAGGCAAGAACAACTACCACATGTTCATGGTCCTGGAGGCATAGTTTTCAGGACTGAGGATAAAGTGGAGGTTTTTGCTGACGTCATGGAAAGGCAGTTCACTCCCAGTTATGATCTGTACAATGACCTTGACGAGGAACGACAAATTGTAAGATGTCACATCGGTGCTAACATCGGTGACTCCTTGTCAGAAGATTCTTCTACGGAAGACTCTTCAGATAAATCTCAGCATAGCACATCAACGGATCCTCTGATATTCCGTTTTGCATACCAGCAGAGCTCCAAGGCCACATTAAGGACCTAAAGAAGCGTAAAACACCTGGACAGGATCAAATCACCAACAAAGCACTGAAGTCGCTTTCGCTCAAAGCTTTGACTTATCTGGTGGCAATAATCAATGCAATGCTCAGAACTCATTAGTTTCCTAAGGCGTGGAAGGTCGCTGAGGTCATCATGAACCCAAAGAAGGCAGGTTCGATATTCCCCCAGGATTACCGTCCCATTAGTCTGCTGTCAGTTCCTTCTAAGCTCGCTGAAAAGCTGATTTATCGTCACCTTGAGAATTTCTCGTCAGATCACCATGTGATTCCTGACGTGCAATTCGGTTTTCGGTCTGAGCATAGTACGGAGCTACAGGCAGTTAGACTGGTGGAGCATGTAACCAGGGGGTTCACCCTGAACAAAAGGACTGGTATCTTGCTTTTAGATGTATCAAAGGCATTTGACAAGGTGTGGCACATGGGCCTCTTGTATAAGCTCAACCAAAAGGGTTTTTCAGTTTGGCTACTAAAACTGTTGAAATCTTTTCTAGAAAACACAAAAAAATAACAATCGCTTAAGCTTCGTTTTTGACGTTTCAGAGGCTCTTGATCATTTTCGGAAATTTTCTTGTAGGGGTTGAAACTTGTGGGTTGTAAATGTAGCGTCCTTAGTATTAGTCAAAGATTCTATGATTAACAAGCTTCTGAACTGCAACTGGTCTGCGGCGGTGTCGTCACTGGCACTCCGCTACAGGAGAAATATATATTTCAGGAATATTTGGATATTAGGTGTTCGTACCACCTACGGTTCTACGATGCTTTTGTAAATGATGACTCAACTATTTTTATATCTACACGTATATTGCTCTGAATTTGAGGATCTTTACATGTTCCCCCATTTCTCCCACCCTTTGATTTGTGCTACTCCGTCTATGATTGTTCTCTGGATATTTCGTCAAGTTGATTGACTCAGTCCTTATGACGCATTAATATACAACAGCCACGGGATGACAAACCGACATAAACGAGAAACTAGGACCTGTGTGATGCAGATACGAGTAAATTTAAGCAGCAGAAAACTTGTGAAACGAAGTTCGAATATTATCGCGAGTTTAATACTTCAATCGTTTAGGTAATCATAGATTTTGAAAGTTGATTCAGAGGCGGTAGAAACACTCGTAAATACGCTGAAACATGGCGTTACAATGTTTCAGAGATTCCTGCTCATTTTCAGACATTGTTGGGAGAAGATGAAAATTGTATGTTGGAACCTTTAGATGTAATAATACGAGGGTGGTCCCAGAAGTACCAGACCCAACGAAGAAAACACAAAAATTTTGTAAAAAAATGTATTTATTTTTCAACATAATCTCATTTGAGCTCTATAGACTTTTCTCAGCGATGTTTAATGAGTTCGATACCCTTTTTATAATAAGAACTGTCTTGCTCCTCAAAATAGCCACTTCTTCATCGTTAGAAAATCTTTCACCACTGAGCCATTTTTTCAAGTTTGGAAACAGACAGTAATCAGGGGAGGCTAAATCTGGTAAATAGGGTGCATGAGGTAGCAATTCAAACTTTAATTCGTTAATTTTGGCCATTGCAATAACGGATTTGTGAGCTGGTGCATTGTCTTGATGAAACAACACATTCTTCTTATCCAAATGCGGCCGTTTTTGCTTGATTTCATCGCTCAATCGTTGTAATAAGTTCGCATAATACTCGCCGTTGATAGTTTTACCTTTTTCAAGATAGTCAATGAAAATTATCCCACGCGCATCCCAAAAAACCGACGCCATAACCTTGCCTGCAGATGAAACGGTCTTCGCCTTCTTTGGAGCCGGTTGTCCCTTTTGAGTCCATTGTTTCGCTTGTTCTGTTGTCTCGGGTGTGAAGTGATGGACCCATGTTTCATCCATGGTTATGAAACGACGCAAAAATTCTGCTTTGTTGCTGTGAAACTTCGCTAAACACTCAATCGAAACATCTTCACGACACTGTTTTTGCTCGATTGTGAGCAATCGCGGCACCCATCTTTCTCATGTCCAAATTTTCAGATAATATGCGATGAACCGCACTTTTTTAAATGCCTACTATGTCTGCTAGCTCGCGCACTTTCAGTCGACGATCATTCAGTACCGCTTTGTGAATTTTCTTCACCATTTCTGGAGTCGTCACCTCATTTGGTCGACCACTGCGATGCTCGTCTTGGCAGCTCATACGGCCTCGTTTAAACTCTGCTACCCAATATTTTACTGTTGTAAACGAAGGAGCAGACTCACCCAGAGTAGAATCTAGTTCAGCTTTTATATTGGTTGGGCTGAGGCCTTTGAAATAAAAGTATTGTACCTCATAACGATGACCAATTTTCTCCATTTTCACAAATTTACTGAAAACGTTCAGTATTGATGGCTGTCAAACAAATACTAAACAACGTGGCATCTTCAAACTTGACACATATGCTTTATAGGTTGCATACTTTCTAATACAATTATATTGTTCCAACAACTATCGCCATCTCTAGGTCAGGCCGTGTACTTCTGGGACCACCCTCGTATATATTTCCCTACATCTGCCATATGTTAGAAGCAGAAATATGATAGATTTGTTTAATATAATTTGATATGCAGAGTTCGAATATTCATCGTACTTGATCGGTCCATTTCCTTGAAGGTAATTTCAATCAAGAAAGAATTGACAAGAAGCACCTTGAAATGGCAAACAAACTGGAATTGTTCGCGTACCTACTTGAATCACAAAGCATGTAGAAGCAGCCTCAATAACAGTGCAGCGCGGCTGTTATGAAGAGCTTAAATAAACTTTGTTAATCTAATCTTTGAACTGCCTAAGGTTAGTAGAACTGGGAAAAGCTCCCTCAAGTAGATTGTTACACAATCTTGAAACCCTATAGATAAAGGAACGGCTAGTTCTGAATGTACGCCCGGGTATCATGTAAAAACCTACAAAACGTCCAAAAAAATCTATAAGATGTCAACTTGCAGACTAGGCAGTTTTTAGGGCGCAAACAGTCGTTCCACGTTTGCTCACTAGGGTCGTTGTGAACGTCCATCTATGGAGGAATCACTCAACTAAACTACGCATTATTGGTTGCATAGTTTTGTGATGGTCTGTAGTTTTTATCTCTGAGAAGAAAGTTGGTTGAATAGCAAGATCGCATCTGGATGATTATGTGTATTGGTCTGCATGTGTATAAAATCAGTGATATTTGCTGTCTGACAAAATCATCACTGAATATGACGGGTTATTTATATGTTGTGCTTTCTGAAGAGAGGTTATGTTCAAAGTTATAGATTACGAAAAACTGAGGAGAATTACGGGAAATCATCACTGTACCCGGGTTGTGTGTAATTAATGTTAGCATGTATATGTATGGCTTGTAATTCGACAGTGTGCTCGTACAGTGAATATAATTATTTCTTATCTCTCTCATTTTTGAAATTCAGCAAATTTGTATATGTACTATCCAGAATGGATAAGAAAAAGTGTATACGCAACTAATTTCTTTGAATCTCAATTAAGTGTATTTGAGACAAGAACCCAATGTAATTATCATCAACACATACAACTTACAGCTTAGACCTCCAGTCATGCCATCTCGAAAGCAGATTTTACATCACATCAGAGACAAAGATTGATAAAAAGCCTCACGACATTTAGGCAACACGTACAACTAAGTGCTTAGTTAATATCTTGTAGAATAACCTTTATAATGTCAAAAAAACCAGCATAATGTCAAAAAAAAAACAGCATAATGTCAATAAAATCGGCATAATGTCACTTTTCAAGATACGTGATACCTGTAGTGGGACTCCGTGTCTCATGGAATTCTAGACCTTGCTTTCCACCGTTGATATCGACTGTAGAAAGCAACTGTCGCGTTTTGTGGCACTCTGTGTCACAGTCGACTACGCTTCGGGTATTTTCGGCAATGTACTATCTAAGATGAAAGTATCTCATAATTTTTTAGTAATATCTAGTAATTTTTAATTTGTTATGTTTATGTTTGTATTATTGATTAAAGCTTTTACCCTTCTCCAATCTTCTTTGTTTTTTTCGCCAAATCCCAAACTATTCAGTTGATGGGTAATTTTTTTGCCTCAGTTCATGCCCCTTTGCTTTCCGTCAGGTCCATTAAATTTATTACTGATCACCTCAGGGTTTTTTTTGCAAATATCGAGTAGCAAGTTCCAATGTTCTTGTCTGACTCTCATAATTGATCCAAATTTAAAGCACAATTTAAAGCCAATATTCGGAAGAAGACGCAGTTAGGTCATATACATCCAGCAAAGCATTTGCAAAGTGAGGTTAGAAAGCTTTTTTCCGTAGAATTCCACTCGTCAAGACAAGTGGTTTTCAAGCGACAGTATTTGTCACTTTCATGCGACTATTTTTGCACACGGAGTGCCAGTCGTATGGAATTGAATCAATTGATGGAATTCCATGTGACAGAAATCAAATCCAAGCGGATAACCAAAATTTCCGTATTATGTACCGCGGTTACAATATGGTTCAAGATGACACACGGTATGATGACGTCAGTTACTCGAATCGCTTGAACGCGTTGGTTTTAACCGCGGTTTGTTGCAAGTTGTTTATTTTAGAAAAGCGCGTATATAATTTCTGATTATTTTTATTATCACTTAATAATCGATGCTTTATCGTCTACAACGGGGTATGGAAAGTTGAAAAAAAGAAAACTTTCATAATATTAATGGGAGGAATGTGTTTTTTTTCAGAAAAAAATGTTTACCGATGGAACCATGGCTTTGCAGCTATGATAACTTTCAATTCTCTAAACTTTTCCGCATGTCAAAGAAAATATTTATTGATTTAGTAGAAATGATGAAAAAAAGATATTAACAAAACCGTATACAGGTGGACATCATCCAGTGAGTTTATACGGCGCTATTTTATTATATTCTTGTGGTATATTGCTATACAGAATACTTACGTTACGTTACGTTACGTTAAGCGTAGGAACTAGATTTGAACAACAGTAATGATTATAAATAATAAGGTGCTCTCTTATGCTAAAACTGAAGTCAGCCTGTATCATGTTTCCCAAAAATGAAACTGAAGTACAATAAAAATATCCAATACTCGGCAAAATTCTAACTTGTCACATGTCAAATAATAACCAGAAATATAAAACTACTCCCGAGTTGGGTAAATACCACAATTTTGCGGTGATAACTATGACATATAACAGCTGATTCATGACGTCACGGATCTTATAACCAAGCTGATAACCACACTCGCTTGAACGGATCGGTAAATACCAATCCAAAATGGTAAATACCATTTTCATTTGGTTATCCGCTTGAATTTGATTAGAGTCCCACTGCTGTGCCGTTATCAAATCAAAACAATTGACAATGTCTGTTGTTAGAAATTGTCTAAATTATGTAATAATAAATGTCCTTTAATTTTCAAAGAGTTCACCGGTACTGAATTCCTCTGCAACCTGTATCATATTAAAAAAAATTGTCATCATATTAGATCAGACGTGTTTCAGTATTAAACCCCCCCACTATAGTACGTGGTAGAGTTTCTAATATTTTCTGAAAACCTGTTTAAACTGGAACATGTCAAAATAATAGATAACGTAAAATTGTTTCAATTTTATCTATTGCAAATTTATAGACATTTTGAGGGTTGTTTCTCTTACATACATATCCACTACAAAGGATGATTCATGGAAAATATTTTTTAAATTCTAATGCGAGTCCAAATCAATTGCATCCAAGGCAGAAAATCCATAACATGCGCCAGTTAATATTTCTTGCTCAGCTGATTGCAACGACGTATTCACTTAAATACTAACTCATTCAACAATTCCGAGTTTTTATGAGCTTAGCTGATACCTCAAACCGAAAATAAATATCTGCGATCTACTTTGTACTTAACATCGCAATTGGGCACTGAGGCATGACGTACGTGAAACAAAGAATGCCTCACGCGTCGCACCCTCAGAGATAACACAAACTTTGAATAAAATTTAAGTAAACGTAACTTACGAATAAAATGGCGCGGTATTTCTGGCGTGTTGTTGCTGTAACTTCTCGAAGGTGTGCCTGAACTCCTCGAACTCCGTGTCCGCCATGTTTGTTTTCACCCCCGACTGGCTATCGATCCCGGTTGGGGATGCGTCGCCGCCGCGACGCTGCGGCGGCGGCGCTATGGGATGCCGACAAAGGTCTTGCGATGGACTTGATCATTCGGTGGAATTCCATTTTAGAAGGTATAAGATCAGGATCAGGACTATGGGAAAGACGGTTTCCAGGTCCGAGGATCGCTCAAAAAATCCATGCGGAGGCTTATGTAGCTGGTCGTTGTGGCACAGTGATATTGGCGATTGTTCTGCTTCCTGTCTTGACTGAATTATAGGATGTTGCGCATTAACGTTGCCCAAGAGGGTTCAATAGCTCAAGAGCTAGTGACAAACAATACCCACTGCCGTACTTAGTAAGAGGCAGTAAAGAGTAAAATCGAAGTCTGATGCCGGAACCGCACGCTTGCCAAATCGCCGCAAATCGTCACAAACGCAAACATGCGGATAGAGCGTTTGGCTTGGTTTGCGTAGGTTTGCAAGCGCTTGTAGCCGATCCGATCGGGTGTTGGTTTTTTGGTCGCAAATCAAAAGGAGTTTGCCACAAGCGTTTGTGATAGGTACTATTTTTGAAACTAAATATCAATTTCATTAAAACAAATACCATTTACCTGGTACGATTCATACGAATATTTAACATCCACCACCTTCTTGGTCGTACTTGTCGTTTTATCTGACTTTTTTTTGGTTTTATAATAAAAATAGCTTAAGCCAAATGCTACGGCAGACACAAGTTCGACGTCCGTCATGTTTGCCTGTTGCCTTTTCAGTGACGCACCCGCAAACGTGTGGACTTCGACCTTTGCTTATTCAAAAAAAAGGCAAGCGTTTGTGGGGGTTTGGAGTTTGCGGCAAATGGCAAGCGTGCGGTTCCGGCATGAGAAAATTGAACAAGCTTCTGGATTGTTTTAACTAATTAAATAGTATTATTACTGTACAATACAAGCGAGAATGAATACTGCCAAGTTACATGATGTGATTTTTGAGCATAATTGTTGTAAACAACGGCGGATCCAGGATTTGTGCCTAGGGGGGGGGGTCACAGTGGTCAAAAAACTTCATGTTCAGGAAGATGATCTTCTCGTCTTCCGGGGGCGGGTGGGGGAGACTTACGTCAGTGCCTCTGACATAAAAATTAAAAACTTGACTGGCGGATGACAACCCTACCCTTGTACCCTTAGGGTACAGCCTAAAAGTGATTAAAATATTAAATCTAATTTAAAAATCAACAATTCATTGTTGTAATTCCTGCAAATCGATTAATATTAATACTTACCATCTCCTTTGAATCCAGTGCAACATTTTTTTTGTGGTTTTGTCCGTCACAGTGGCGGATTTAAGTAATGGCAAAATGGAGATTGCCGCCTGGGTCCCCCAAGGAAGGGTGGTCACAGACCGCTCCCCTCCCCCCAGCAAAAATCAGCTCTAGTGTCTACAGGGTGTTTCAGTTTATTGTTGCATAACTTCATAACTTTAAGATTCGATAGAACTTTTAAAATTAATGCATAAAGTCTATATAAACTTGGGTCGAAAACTGCGTGGCTTCCGAAATACAGGGTGTTTAAATTTACTTTCTAAAATAGTTTTTTTTAAATATTCCGAACAATATGTGATGTATAACAGTGAAAATTGGTATACAAGGGTTTTTTGGTAACGTTAAAAAGTCAGTATCTCGATAATTTTTAGAAGTAGGCTGTGCCTGCAAATATTTTTGAAAGTGAAAGCAGAATAAGGTTAAACGTCAATTAGTTGACAGTTAGTTTTGTTGTCTGTTGAAAGCTGAAACGTTTTTTGCAATTGTGAATGCACGAAATTTAGTTTCTTTTACCTGTTTTTTTTGTAAGTTTTATAAAAATGCCATTTTTATTCTCCAATCAAGAGTTTACACTTTTTCTTTTAGAAATCCCCACACAAAGAAATCTAATGGATTTAGGTCAGGGGATCGTGGAGGCCAGGCGACTGGTCCTCCAAGGCCGATCCATCTTTCTGGATAATTTTTGTCCAGCCAGTTTCTAACTATTCTCGAATAATGAGCTGGACAACCATCAAGCTGGAATCAGGCCAATCTTCTTAAATCTAACATAACATCATCCCACATATTTGCATGTTCAGCCTTTAAAAATTCCAAGAAGGTCGCAGCATTTAACCTTGCAGGCAAAAGGTAGGGTCCAAATAGTCGATTACGGTAGATACCAATCCACACGTTCACACTAAATTCATGCTGAAAATTTCTTTCCCGAACTGAATGCGGATTTTCATGCGACCAAATATGTTGATTATGAAAATTTACCACTCCACGTCTCGTGAAGCATGACTCATCGGCCCATAAAACGTTACTTAAAAACTCCGTATTATTATCAGTTCTATTAAGAATCCACTGACAAAATGTGATTCTTCGTTCTCCGTCCCCTGGCTGTAGTCCTTGCACAGGTTGCAAATGGTAAGGACGTCTATGGTTATTTCTAAGAACACGGTGAACATGGCTTGCTGAAATTCCCAAGGCACCAGAAACTCTCCTATCACTCGTGGTCGGATCTCTATCAAACTCACGCAGAATCATACGGGTAAATCTGCGCTGACGAACATTTATATTTTAATCCCGTTGGAGATTTCCAAAACCATTTTCAATTATTTGGCGATGCACTCTTACAAATACTGAGCGAGTTGGATGTCGTCTGTTTGGAAATCTTCATTGCGTATTCTCTGGCTGTTTCTGCTGCGTTTCCATTTACAAAGCCATACACAAAATGAATATCCGCTAACTCTTGATTGGAGAATAAAAATGGCATTTTTATAAAACTTACAAAAAAAAACAGGTAAAAGAAACTAAATTTCGTGCATTCACAATTGCAAAAAAACGTTTCAGGTTTCAACAGACAACAAAACTAACTGTCAACTAATTGACGTTTAACCTTATTCTGCTTTCACTTTCAAAAATATTTCCAGGCACAGTCTACTTCTAAAAATTATCGAGATACTGACTTTTTAACGTTATTTTATCATAAATAATTAAAAATGCATCGAACCTTAAAAATCGAAATATCTCAAAAACGTTTTATAGACTTTATGCATTAATTTTAAAAGTTCTATCGTATCTTAAAGTTATGCAACAATAAACTGAAACACCCTATTGCTCAGCGCTTCTGAATGTACTCGTAAAATTGATAACAAGAAATCAGAGTGTTGTTATATTCTTTTAATGACCATCTACGTAATGTTTATGAAACAGCGCGTTAGCATTCAGTTTGAATAAGAAAATTTCCCTTTCATTTCTTAAGAAATTTTTTGAAAAATGACCGAACGACCCATTTATTCCTCAAGGAGTAGAGGGGTTATTTTTTCATTTTGTGCTTACAGTGATATATTATTACCTATAATCTTCAGTAAATAAATATCTTCGTGGTATGAATCAGCCTCCTTCAGTCTAATGAAGTCTCTAATGCGTCTATTATAGTCTTTTCACGTCTTCAATGCTTCAATGACATATCTATTTTCTTCGTGATAATATCGTGGAAGAAATTTTTTGAATGTATTATCAATTGCATAGAAGATCAAATTTCAAGAGTAGGAGCTTCTGGTGAATGAATCTCTCCTTTCCTCAATCAACTGGACCTTTTTACTCAATTTGCTATGGTGGTATTCAGTATTGAGCGTAGTGAATACTGAGCAAGTTCAAATGCAAAAGAAAGAAATAGACTTGATGATGGCTCAAAGGTGCATTTCAGCAGTTTTAAAAAAATTAAAAGATTTGAGGAACGAAATCACGATAATTTTGTTCTGAAGGCTAAGAATAAATGGGAAGAGATGGAATGGGAAAATCCTGGTTTTCCCATTGTCAGAAAGAGGAAAATCAAAAAAATGTTCCACGTAAAATGCTGCTGACTCGCCACGAAAAACATCGAATAAACTACTATGAAGTTTTGGATTCAATGAGTAACGAATTGCAAGAACGTATTGAAGGATTTCGTGAAGTGAATGATGTGTTTGGTTTTTTGATACCAGAGAAATTAGTTAATCTAAAAGAAACCAGCGTCACTAATTTGATAGAAAAATATTCGGAATTTTTCACTACAGATCCAATATATGCATTAGCCAGTTTAACGGGCATGTATTTTTCGGAAAATCGTAATTTTATTAATGACAGCCCGCTAGATTATTTGAAGTTCATGATTGAAAACAATTTTGTAGACAGTTTTCCAAAGAGTTGCAGATTATTCAGATTATTTTTGACTTTGTCTGTCGGTTCAGCAAGTCCTTGACCCCTGTGCAAATTTTCAAGTTAATCAGACTTCTTGAAGTTGGGTGAACATTTTTTTTTAAATAAATAACGTTTGGCAATATCGATGCATGACATATCGTGCATTTTTGGAATCAGAATTAAAAACCCTTTTCACCTACGGAAACATTCAATATGGCGTCGATGAGAAAAAATAAAGTTGATGATTGAAGGCAAGATACGAAATCTCATATCAGAATTCTAATTATGGCACCTTGTAGAGGAGAAAAAGTGACAATGTTAATCTACTTATTTATTTGAAATAAAGTCAGAAAAAAAATAGTAAAAACTTTCTGTGTGCCATTTTCTTAGTTACCTAAATATACTAAGTGACATATAAATCCGAACACCCAGTTTAAATGGTTTTATTTTAATAAAAGTTGGTGAATGTATTTATCTCACTGTAAATAACAAGTGAAAAAATTTTCAGCCTTATCAGTTGGACATTCCGGTTTATATACTGCTTTTTTTTTATTCACTAACGCTCTAAAAATGAATATTTCAGCCGCAGTAAAGAATCAACGTTGGCGGATTTTGGTTCTTGACATCCTTTACGATCGGTTACGATGCCTAGAGTACGGAGACCTGTACGATTTCGTCAACTGAGTGAGTTTGATAGGGGCCGTATAGTGGGACTTCGGGAAGCTGGACTTTCTTTTCGGGCAATTGCAGTTAGACTGCAAAGAAGTCTAGACACTGTGGTTAGGTGTTGTCAGGCATGGCTTCGAGAAGGCCGTACGCAAAGAGCAAGGGGCACTGGACGACGCCGTAGAACAACAGACCGTGAAAATCGCCGCCTAAGATTATTGACCTTAAGGGACCGTTTTTCCACTACCAGGTCCATTGCAAATGAATGGTTTGCAGAACACGGAAGACCTATTGGCATGCGAAGTGTTTACCGACGAATGAGAAGTTTTGGCTTGTTTTCATACCGGCCACACTGGGTCCTCCCTTTAACTCGAGAACACCGACGTAATCGCCTTGAGTGGTGCAGACAACGGTCACTCTGGGATCAGGAATGGAACAGTATTGTCTTTAGTGACGAATCTCGATTTTGTTTAGGCATGCACGATGGTCGTGCCAGGGTTAGAAGGCGACGTGGTGAAAGGAGGAATCCACAGTTTTTTGGTGAAAGACATGTTCATCACACTGTTGGAGTTATGGTTTGGGGTGCTATAGCTTATGATTCCAGGTCACCTTTAATCTTCATCAGAGGTAACATGAATGCGCAGCGTTACATCCACGAAGTTCTAGAACCCCATCTTTTACCCTATCTTGACACCCTGGCAGATCCAACTTTCCAGCAAGATAATGCCCGACCACATGTTGCAAGAGTCACAATAGAGCATGCCTAGGAGCGTTGGAGAATGCGTAGCACATCAGGGTGCATCCACACATTATTAAAGGTCAAAGGGCTTTAAGCAGTGCAATCATTTTGAAATTTTTATCATTTACTAATTATGCTTCGTTAAGTACTTATACAAAATTTTATTAAAATAAAACCATTTAAACTTTGTGTTCGGATTTATATGTCACTTAGTATAAGTAAGCGCCCACATTTACTCGTCTTACCGTTCCCGAGATACCAATGGTAAGGGTCAAATTTGAATCACCCGGTATATATCATCTACCAAGTCCGATGTGCACGTTCTGTTTCTGTCTCCAAACCATTATAATTCACTTAAGCGGAAAATTCGAGCGTATCTCCTCGCTTTCAAAGTTGATGAGCAGACGATTCATCATATCACATTGAGTTAGAGACAGCTTTTCAAGATCTTAACATCCGCTGTAATTTGTGTACATTGTTTGGAGAGATCAGATATATTTGACCTATATAAAGGGGGTAATAGCGAAAATGTACATTTATAAGAGGAGTTTCAGTTTAAACGTGTGTTTCAAATAACAATTTGTAAGTGTTGTTGGTTGACAAGCCTTAGTCCGAAATAGATGATCATACTTTATACATCAGTTTTGAGCTTGTGTTTTGAATTGGTATGAAATGTCTTTCTCCGCACCCGATTCGATTCAATGAACATTTCATTGAAATTGAAAACTGGAGAAATAGACCAAGACGATACGGTTCAAGGTGGATGTTTTTTGAAATTCGTGCAAATTTCGTTTTTTGATCATTCCCAAAAAAAAAATGTAAGGGTGAAATTCGGGGGCTGAGGGCTGTTGCAGGGAGATGGTATATACTTTTCTTTATCTTAGTATATTTATATACTAAGTGACATATAAATCCGAACACCCAGTTTAAATGGTTTTATTTTAATAAAAGTTGGTGAATGTATTTATCTTACTGTAAATAACAAGTGAACAAATTTTCAGCCTTATCAGTTGGACATTCCGGTTTTTATACTGCTTTTTTTTAATTCACTAACACTTTAAAAATGAATATTTTAGCCGCAGTAAAGAATCAACGTTGGCGGATTTTGGTTCTTGACATCCTTTACGATCGGTTACGATGCCTAGAGTACGGAGACCTGTACGATTTCGTCAACTTAGTGAGTTTGATAGGGGCCGTATAGTGGGACTTCGGGAAGCTGGACTTTCTTTTCGGGCAATTGCAGTTAGAGTGCAAAGAAGTGTAGACACTGTGGTTAGGTGTTGTCAGGCATGGCTTCGAGAAGGCCGTACGCAAAGAGCAAGGGGCACTGGACGCCGCCGTAGAACAACAGACCGTGAAGATCGCCGCCTAAGGTTATTGGCCTTAAGGGACCGTTTCTCCACTACCAGGTCCATTGCAAATGAATGCTTTGCAGAACACGGAAGACCTATTGGCATGCGAAGTGTTTACCGACGAATGAGAAGTTTTGGCTTGTTTTCATACCGGCCACACTGGGTCCTCCCTTTAACTCGAGAACACCGACGTAATCGCCTTGAGTGGTGCAGACAACGGTCACTCTGGGATCAGGAATGGAACAGTATTGTCTTTAGTGACGAGTCTCGATTTTGTTTAGGCATGCACGATGGTCGTGCCAGGGTTAGAAGGCGACGTGGTGAAAGGAGGAATCCACAGTTTTTTGTTGAAAGACATGTTCATCACACTGTTGGAGTTATGGTTTGGGGTGCTATAGCTTATGGTTCCAGGTCACCATTAATCTTCATCAGAAGTAACATGAACGCGCAGCGTTATATCCACGAAGTTCTAGAACCCCATCTTTTACCCTATCTTGACACCCTGGCAGATCCAACTTTCCAACAACATAATGCCCGACTACATGTTGCAAGAGTCACAATAGACTTCTTTCAACATAATGATGTCACATTGTTACCATGGCCACCAAGATCTCCCGACTTATCCCCAATTGAGCACGTGTGGGATATGATGGGTAGGAGATTGCTCAATTTGCAACGTCCTCCTCAGACTCTAGAAGCACTTCGAGAGGAGTTGGTGGTTGCCTGGAATGAGATACCACAGGAGGACATTGACCATCTGATCAGAAGCATGTCTAGGCGCGTTGGAGAATGCGTAGCACATCAGGGTGCATCCACACATTATTGAAGGTCAAAGGGCTTTAAAGCAGTGCAATCATTTTGAAATTTTTATTATGCTTCATTAAGTACTTATACAAAATTTTATTAAAATAAAACCATTTAAACTGGGTGTTCGGAATTATATGTCACTTGGTATATGCTCCCAGTCCCGGTAATTTTATGAACCTATTTGCCATGTTTCTCTGTATATTTGCCTTTAACACTCAGAAATGTTTTGCATCTCGCGCAGATGTGTGGAAAGGGACAACGTTGCCAGATGGACAGTAACTACCGGTTAGGCAGGGAAATGATGTATACGGACTAACTGTATGGGCCTGTTTGACTGACAATCTATTTAATTTCATGTTCGTACCGGCCCTTTTTCCAGAGGATTTAAATTGCGCTAAGCTTGATCCTTTATAAACTGCTGACGGCGTTGCCTAGGAAGTGCAATCAACCTACTTGACGGCATTTTCTTTAGACGTTGCCAATTCATTTGGAGACACAACTGCAAGGCTTACCTACCCAGTATAGAACGGCAGGCAATATTTTATCTCGTATCTCGACACCGTTCCAACGAATCTCCAGAGTAATTTCGCGGCGAGTGCTTTAATCCCTCTTGAATAAACCATAGATACCTCTTCTACCTTCTATCTGCACACACGTTTTGCTCTTCATTACGGATTCTGGAGTATAATTGTTTCCTTTTCTGCCCCTGGGAGTGTGATTGCATCTTTTTCTGCACAAAATTTTCCGTTTAGGAATGTTCCATGGATGGACACGAGTAGGACGAGGAGACGAGGAGTAAGACAAAATTTAAAGATTTGAGTGCATCACACTGTAGCAGTTATGGTTCAGTCTTTACTTCTAGTTCCCATTAGTAGGAAATAAAGGATTGTCCAATAGGGACGCAGGAAAGTAAACGTCAATTTGACATAGACGCCATCTTCGTTTTCTGTTAGAAGCTGCTACTAAAAATTTTAAAATATTCATATATTCATAAAAAATCAAATTAATGTTTTTTTGATGATTTATCCGTCGATGAAATAGAGTGTAGTTTCGCTGATTTTGATATGTGCACTTTATGAAGACTCACACTGTAGATTTCCAGGTACCCCTAAAGAGACTTGCAACTTGATAGGTACCCAAATTACGAGAAGTGTTCCCTAATCATTCTTTAGCCTCAAGCTTCTCATAAGCTCCAGAAACTTACAAACATAAAGTTTGGAATTTTTATTGCTTTCATTACAGATTTCTTGACCTCCATTTCAATAATTTTAGTAGCAGAGTTCAAACTGCAAAAAGTACAATACTGCTAAGAACACTACGCGTTTTCCACGTGATTTTGCCAATTCTGAGAGGGCGCCTCGTCGTCCGCCCCTCGGAGGAAGATTATAAAAGCCGGCAGGGCTGCAAGGGCAGCCGCAGTGTTGCGATTCGCGATGAGCGGCTCTGGAAAACCGCTTCTCGGCCTGTGGCTCTATCGGAGCACCGATGACGGCTGGAGCTACAAGGAGGAGAGTCCGCCTATAGCTCTTAAACCTACCCAGGTATGTCCTCGGTACACTTTTTTTCAGTTATTGCCGACCAAAGTGATCCCCCTAAATTGGATGTTCAAAAAATTTACTTTTAGATTCAATAGTTTTTATGTGTTCATTTGTACATCACGAAAAACCATGTCACTCATTTCGGTCGGTCTGTCCGCTAATTTTATAGCCGCCTATAACACTGGACAACAAATTTTAGTTTTTTAATTGTTTCTTGTGGGAAAAGTGTACTTCTTTGTTAATTTTGGGGCGCTGAATCCAAAAATGACAATGAAATAAAAACATTAGTTGCGGTTTAGAAAAAAAACTTTTTATTTTTAAGGATATATTAAAAAAAGTAACAAGATTCATATACTTATAAGAATCACTATATGCGCTGTCTTCTTGCTGTTCTTTTATGGATCGTTTCTGGAGCATCTCTACCAAGAGTCCAACAGTAGTCTGCAAGCATGGAAGGATTCCACTTTCCCTGGTACCTTTTTTCCATTGTTGAAATATCCTGACGAAAACGTTCGCCGTGCTCATCACTTACGGCTCCGCAATTGTCAGGAAAAAAGTCCAGGTGTGAGTGTAGGAAATGTATCTTAAGATACATATTACAGCCCATCTTTTGATACGATGTCAGCATATTTTTTACAAGGCTTTTATAGTTGTCAGCTTTTCTATTTCCCAAAAAATTAGTGACCACTAGACGGACATCATTCCAAGCAGTTTTTTCAATACCTGTTAAAGTGTTTTCAAACTGTGTATCTTTCAAAATATTTCGAATCTGTGGCCCAACAAAAATACCTTCTTTAATCTTTGCCTCACTTAGTCTTGGAAATTTCTGACGCAGGTATTGAAAAGCTGACCCATCTCTATCTAATGCCTTGACAAAGTTTTTCATTAGGCCCAACTTGATATGCAGTGGTGGTAATAAAAATTTTTTCGAATCTACTAATGGCATATGCTGTACATTTTTTTGACCTGGCTCTAGGAATTGACAAACAGGTCAGTTTTGTCTGGTGTAATGAAGTGCCTTTGCCCGACTGTCCCATTCACACAAAAAACAGCAAAACTTTGTGTAGCCTAGCTGCAGCCTAAGTAAAAGTGCAACAACTTTCAAATCGCCACAAATATGATATTGGTGCTCATCGTATTTTATGCATGTCAATAAGTACTTCATATTGTCATATGATTCTTTCATGTGAACTGCATACCTCTGTGCATACCCTACAGGAAGAGATGGTAAAATATTTCCAATATGCAATAACACTGCCTTTAAACTCAATGTTGAACTGTCTATAAACAATCTCCTTTCTTCTGGGTTATAGTTTATATTTAAAGCCGCCAGTAAGCCGTTAATGTTACTGCAGAAAACCAAGTTATTCTCCATATTGAAAAATGGTTCTGTCTTTGTGGCGCTTACGAAAAACACATACCGAAACATCGCCTTCTAACAAGTTCCACTGCTGCAGTCTTGATCCAAGTAACTCTGCCTTACATTTTGGAAGTTCTAAATCTCTTACAAGATCATTTAATTTTGACTGTGTTATTTTGTGCGGTTGGTGGCATGACGTGATCGGTATAAAATCAGGATCTCTTGACGTTGATGGCATATCTTCTTCCTGACGAATCACTCGATCGCCATGATCTGATTCGTTTTCTGATTCGCAAGTGTAGGATTCTGGGGTTTTGGAATAGGATTTTCGTCACTGTGAGGCACAGGTCTCATCGCAGATGGTATGTTTGGGTAGTTAATAACCGATTTTTTTTTCTTGGACATACCTGTGGCTTGTCCAACACAAGGTACCATGCAAAAGTAACAATCATTAATATGATTTGCAGGCTCTCTCCAAACCATTGGGACAGCAAAGCGCATAGACCGTTTTTTGCCATTTAACCAGCTCCTCAGACTTGAAGCACATGTATTACAGCAGATGTGGGGTGCCCACTGTTTGTCTTGATCACCTAGTTTACAACCGAAATAAAGCTGATATGCCTTTGTTATTAGTGGAGTAATAGACCGTCTCTGAGACGCAAAAGTCACATCACCACACACGTAACAAAACTGATCTGGATTGTTTACACACTTTCGAGACATCTTGCATGAACGCTGTCAGCCAACTGAGGAAAAAATGGCTAATATAAAACAATATAATGTACACGTATGTATAACGTAACACAATCATGCCGATTACATCATCTTTCCTTGCCGAATATACATTGTAGCACGTGCATTCTTGTGAATTACAGTATATTAACACTGTCGCAGCAGGAACACATATAATTACCGTATCTCTAAAACTTGAACTAATATTGAAAAAATAAGTTTCATTCCGGTTTTAGCACATTAAAAATAGTAATATTTTGTTGATTTTATTTAGGATATTTTTTGGCTGTTGATCAGTGTAACCAAAGAAGTACCGCCCGGATTTTAATGAAATTTTCATACAACGTTGCTACAATGCTAAGGATGAAAAAGCTTTGTAGTTTTTGTAAATCGACCTAATCATGGCAGAGCTAGGGGTAAAAACACGAAAAAAATAAAAATCGTTTAAATTTGTTTTTTGACGTTCTAGATTCTTCTAATTTTCGGACATTTTTTTGTAGGGGTTGAAACTTGGGGGTTGGTAGTTGCACGAGGCAGGGGATTGTAAATGTAACGCCTTTGGTATTAGTCAAAGACGTTCTATCATTAAGAAGCTTCTGATCCCGGTAACAACGGGAAGATTAAACGATAAAGTCCGATGTATAATGTGCTCATAAATAATAAATAATATATAATAAATAATAATGATGAATTCGAATTGGTCTGCGGCGGTATCGTCACTGACACTCCGCTACAGGAGAAATACCTATGTGTACGCCAGAGCCAGACTAGGTTAAGTCCATTTTTGTCAAAAATGACTTCGATATGTTAAGCTCATGATAATATTGTAAATTTTCATTTGCTATATTCAGCATCCATCTATCTGTAATAATAAGGAAGTTACGACTTTTTAAATCATGTCAAGTCGCATACAATACAATGCAAGAAAAGTATCTCAAAACTACTTATTTGGACTGAACCTAGTCTGGCTCTGAGGTACGGAAATATATCTCAACAATATTTGGATATTGTTAATGAACTGTTTTTATATCTACAAATATATTTTTATGATCCTTAAATGTCCATTTCGCTTATCCATTAATTTGTGTTGCCTCGTCTATGACGGTTCTCTGAATATTTCGTCAAGTAGATCGACTGAGTAATTACGACTCATTGACACGACTTCGACTTTTGAAGCCATTTGACTCAACCCTTTTCTTTGAAACATCTAACCAAGGCGTAGGAAGTGTACTTGATTCTATTTCTTGTGATAAGCAGTATTTTTGGCGAACTGAATGGTTGAGAAAAATGAATACATCCGATCAAAAAGAATATTTGGAGCTCATCTTCGGAAGTCTTAAGACATCCGTATACTCCAAAGGTACAGTAAAAGCAAGTAAAATCACAGTAGGCATATGTTGCGGGGTATCAAGCCAAATAGGGCTGTTGCCGGAATCGTTTCCATAATTTGCTGTGCCTCAAACCCCGTATTTTCGATCTATAAAAAATTGCAAACTTTCATTGAAGGTGCCACATTTCCTTTTATGAACTAATAGTTTTCTACTCCCGGCTTCGCAAACATAGATTTTAGTTTGATCGTATAATTAGTAATAAGGTCGCTTTGAGTCTGTCACCCAGAACCCAGACGAGAAGTACCGACAAAATGTAGCATTATGAGGTAGCTAGTACTGAAGCAAGCTAGTATACTAAGTGACATATAAATCCGAAGACCCAGTTTAAATGGTTTTATTTTATTAAAAGTTGGTGAATGTATTTATCTTACTGTAAATAACAAGTGAAAAAATTTTCAGCCTTATCATTTGGACATTCCGGTTTTTATACTGCTTTTTTTTAATTCACTAACGCTCTAAAACTGAATATTTCAGCCGCAGTAAAGAATCAACGTTGGCGTATTTTGGTTCTTGACATCCTTTACGATCGGTTACGATGCCTAGAGTACGGAGACCTGTACGATTTCGTCAACATAGTGAGTTTGATAGGGGGCGTATAGTGGGACTTCGGGAAGCTGGACTTTCTTTCCGGGCAATTGCAGTTAGAGTGCAAAGAAGTGTAGACACTGTGGTGAGGTGTTGTCAGGCATGGCTTCGAGAAGGCCGTACGCAAAGAGCAAGGGGCACTGGACGCCGCCGTAGAACAACAGACCGTGAAGATCGCCGCCTAAGATTATTGGCCTTAAGGGACCGTTTCTCCACTACCAGGTCCATTGCAAATGAATGGTTTGCAGAACACGGAAGACCTATTGGCATGCGAAGTGTTTACCGACGAATGAGAAGTTTTGGCTTGTTTTCATACCGGCCACACTGGGTCCTCCCTTTAACTTGAGAACACCGACGTAATCGCCTTGAGTGGTGCAGACAATGGTCACTCTGGGATCAGGAATGGAACAGTATTGTCTTTAGTGACGAGTCTCGATTTTGTTTAGGCATGCACGATGGTCGTGCCAGGGTTAGAAGGCGACGTGGTGAAAGGAGGAATCCACAGTTTTTTGTTGAAAGACATGTTCATCACACTGTTGGAGTTATGGTTTGGGGTGCTATAGCTTATGGTTCCAGGTTACCTTTGATCTTCATCAGAGGTAACATGAACGCGCAGCCTTATACCCACGAAGTTCTAGAACCCCATCTTTTACCCTATCTTGACACCCTGGCAGATCCAACTTTCCAACAAGATAATGCCCGACCACATGTTGCAAGAGTCACAATAGACTTCTTTCAACATAATGATGTCACATTGTTACCATGGCCACCAAGATCTCCCGACTTATCCCCAATTGAGCACGTGTGGGATATGATGGGTAGGAGATTGCTCAATTTGCAACGTCCTCCTCAGACTCTAGAAGCACTCCGAGAGGAGTTGGTGGTTGCCTGGAATGAGATACCACAGGAGGACATTGACCACCTGATCAGAAGCATGCCTAGGCGCGTTGGAGAATGCCTAGCTACATCAGGGTGCATCCACACATTATTAAAGGTCAAAGGGCTTTAAAGCAGTGCAATCATTTTGAAATTTTTATCATTTACTTATTATGCTTCATTAAGTACTTATACAAAATTTTATTAAAATAAAACCATTTAAACTGGGTGTTCGGATTTATATGTCACTTAGTATATTAAGTATTTTATTGTAAAAGGCATATTGTATAACATCTTTAGCTTCATTGAAAAATAAACGGAAATATCGAAAAAACCTATTGCATGCAACATACGAAATTACGGAGTTACATTCACCGAGGCTAAGCTAGATAAAGAATATCAAAATAAGTACTCAAATTTGGTTTGTTTATCGCAATAACAACAACGACAATGGACAAAGACATAGATGTCCCTTAGGGAAGGAAGACTTAGAAGTAAAATATACCTAATAGAGTATCCGTTTTTCAGTGGCTTAGCTTGCTCCTCAGAGACCTCATATCAAAATTTTTAGGGGGGGGGGGGGGCACCCAACTGTGGTGAGTCCAAAATGAAGAATAAAATGTTTCGCATAGATTTTTTCAAAAGAAACATAAACGCTTGCATTAAATAATATCAATTGATACTTAGTGACAGTGGGTGGCCGCAGGAAGATTTCTTAGTGAGAGCGGTTGGATCATCGGCAAGAGATAACTTTTAGTAAAATGTACCTACTGTCAAAACTAGAGAATGGTAGCAGAATTTTGTAGGGGTAGGTGTGGGGATACTGTGAATGCGAACATTTTAGAAATCCAGATACATGTTTTTTGTCTTGCGTTGTCTACATCATGTAAATCCATGTAGGGTCATAGTAGGTAATGCTACTTAACTTTGAACATCGTTATCTGTCAGAGGTGTTATGAATAAAAATTAAAATAGCTTTCAGATCGTTACAAAGTTTCTTTTTTGTATCGCTTACAACTTTCTGAACATTTTTAAGGGTCAAACAGCTTTGTGAAAAGGTTAGGACATATTCAGAAACATTATGGATATCATACATTTTGTTTCTTTAGCAAAATGCTTATCTTGACTCACGGAAAATAGCCAAAGGTGAACTCTTGCGAAGTACCGAGTCAATCTACTTGCCATTATATTTTTCCACTTTTTTTTTAATTAAACCATCAGTAGCGGAAGACGATTTTGGTGTTTTCGAAATTTTCAGCCTCTGAAGACACTTCTGTGTTTGATAGTCAAAGTTGCCTCACTGAAGGCCTAAAAGATTTTAATTACTTTCAATTTTTTTTCCAACTGTGTACATCTTTACAAAAAAATGTTTTGATTGGGCCCAAGTTTAAGTTTTAGATGTTTTCATTGTCGAAAATAATGAACGTAATGTCGGTTAAGCAAAAATCGAAGGAGCGGTTCTAATATGGCGGCTATATTTGGAAAAATGTTTAAATCGTGCTCAAACTTAAGTTTTTAGCGTTTTTAACTAACAAATTAAATATCGATTCCGTAAAAATTTTAAATGGTGGATCCAGTGAGGTTCCTGAAAGTCGAGACAAACAAGGTTCAAGGAATTTCCCCCTCCAGCCATAACATGGTCACTATAACAATATTCACATTATCTCGAAATAAAAACAATAATCAATCCGTTCTCGTTTACCATAATTAACAACTAACTAAATACCTACTAACATCAAAACGATATTTACAGCAGTGCAATGATATTTCCGAAAGAGGCAATTTTATTATGTTTATAACCCTTGATTATTCTAATTCCCCTATATTTTAGCATTTTTGCAGCTGATATTACTGTATTTGTACACCTAGGTACATTACAGCATTTGTAAGGCGATGATAGTTTTTACTGTGAAATGTAAATGGCGCATCGCTTTGTGGTAGCGATGGTAGCTCGTGTTATGTGACGTCATCAATCAATCTCAAGCTTCAACAACATAGTTCTCTAAATAAAGAAACTTCCTCATTAATTTAAATCTGTTCCTTTTATATTTTGACTCATTTCCACCTGTATTTTGTATTGAAGACGATCCAGGATCACGTCCATTGATTTGCACAATAGTTGTTCTGCTTCATTTGCGAACGTAGTCAGAATATCATTTCGTTGGTGATTCGCCATCAAAATAAAATGAATTAGTCTGTAGCTTTTTGAAAGATTTCGTTACGAGAAAAAAAACGATCTCTAAAAAGTTCCTCGACAAATTGCTACCCTTTTTGAAGCTGAAGTCCCAAAATGGCGAAGACAAAGGTGCAGAGGAAGAGAAACAAAGGATATCGATAATATTTACACTGAAAAATCAAGTAGGTGGATTGGTCCGAGCGTTGCAAGCGTTCCAAGACTTGGGAATCAACGTGCAGCACATTGAATCGAGGCCGTCACAAACTGGTGATAATCAGGCGGATTTTTTGGTGGATATTGAGTGCGAGCCTAGAAAGGTGAGACAAGCATGAAACAAATTTCATAGATTCAAATAAACTGTTTCAGGAATTGGAGCTTAATTAAACTAATTGAACTTATCAGCTGTCACACGGTTAATTAATTTTTTTAATTGGTATAATTATATTTTATCTCAGTGTACTATTTCCATTTTTGGAGTCTGTTGAAACAATTGTAGGTAGAGCAAGTGAGCAGGATGTTGAAGAGAGAAGTTTTAACGATGGTGATAGGAAGTTACGGTAGTGGAGATGAGGAGTTCCCACCTCCGACGCCATTATCAGCCACGACTAGTTTTGGTAAGAATCGTAATTTTTGTCCTTTTCTAGTTTTTAAACAGGCCCGCTCACTTTTTTTCTGAACTTCGGTAGCTATTGAAGGAAATGGGGGTGTAAAAGGCACTGCATCTCTTATACAGTCGATAAAAGAAATAAAGGGAAATCATACATCAAGCGAGGTATCAGTATTCATTAATTCAGGAACTAAAAGCATTGCGGTGCTAAGGACTGCCGCTGACCGTATAAAATCAAGGAAAGGGAAGAGAATACTGCCCAACATTGGGAAGAGCTCGGTGGCATTTTATCGGAGATTCAGTAACATCCAGAACATTCACAATTAAGCGATTTACGTCAGTTAAAAGATGTACATTCTACAGGTAAGGTTTCATCTAATAGTGATCTTGAATGTGATCTTGGTCATGACCTTCAGGGTGAAAGGTAAATGGAAACTTCTATTTTTGACAGCGGAGATGTAAAGAGCATTCATACACTTATGGCAGAAAAAAGTTGTCAGGTTTAAAAGAGTGGTGACCTTGAACGTGAACTTGACTATAACCTTGAAGATCATTCGAAGGTGAAGACAGTGTTCTTGAATGGAAACCTCAATTTTTGACACCGGAAATGTAGAAAGCAGCAAAATTTGCTACCATGACCTTCATGGGTCTTTGATGATGTCAAAAAAGCATGAAAAGGACAAAATATCTCGAAAGATACCATCCATAAAGAAACTTGTAGCAGAAAAAAGTTGTAAGGTTGGAAAGAGTCGATGACTGGTGACCTTGAACGTGAAATTGACTATGACTTTGAAGATCATTCGAAGGTGAAGACAGTGTTTTTGAATGGAAAACTCTATTTTCGACAGCGGAGATGCAAAGAGCAGAAAACTTTATTACCAGGAGCTTCATGGGTTTTTGATGATGTCAAAAAAGCATGGAAATGACAAAATATCTCGCAAAATACGATTCATAAACTTATAGCAGAAAAAAGTTGTCAGGTTTAAAAGAGTGGTGACCTTGAACGTGAACTTGACTATGACCTTGAAGATCATTCGAAGGTGAACACAGTGCTCTTGAATGGAAACCTCAATTTTTGACACCGGAAATGTAGAGTGCAGAAAACTTTGCTACCATGACCTTCATGGGTCTTTGATGATGTCAAAAAAGCATGAAAAGGACGGAATATCTCGAAAAATACGATTCATAAACTTGTAGCAGAAAAAAGTTGTAAGGGTTGAAAGAGTCGATGACTGGTGACCTTGAACGTGAAATTGACTATGATCTTGAAGATCATTTCAAGGACAAGACAGTTTTCTTGAATGGAAAACTCTATTTTTGACAGTGGAGATGTAAAGAGCAGAAAACTTTGCTACCATGAGCTTCATGGATTTTTGAATATGTCACAAAAACATGGACAAAGTTGAATTATTGCAGCGGAGATGTAAAGAGCAGAAAACTTTGTTACCATGAGCTTCATGGCTTTTGAAGATGTCAAAAAAGCATGTAAATGACAAAATATCTCGCAAAATGCGATTCATACACTTATGGCAGAAAAAAGTTGTCAGGTTTAAAAGAGTGGTGACCCTGAACGTGAACTTGACTATGACCTTGAAGATCATTCGAAGGTGAAGACAGTGCTCTTGAATGGAAACCTCAATTTTTGACACCGAAAATGTAAAGTGCAGAAAACTTCCCCTCCATGACCTTCATGGGTCTTTGATGATGTCAAAAAAGCATGAAAAGGACAAAATATCTCGAAAGATACCATCCATAAAGAAACTTGTAACAGAAAAAAGTTGTAAGGTTGGAAACAGTCGATGACTGGTGACCTTGAACGTGAAATTGACTATGACCTTGAAGATCATTCGAAGGTGAAGACAGTGTTCTTGAATGGAAAACTATATTTTTCACAGCGGAGATGCAAAGAGCAGAAAACTTTATTACCATGAGCTTCATGGGTTTTTGATGATGTCAAAAAAGCATGGAAATGACAAAATATCTCGCAAAATACGATTCATAAACTTATAGCAGAAAAAAGTTGTAAGGTTTGAAAGAATCGATGACTGGTGACCTTGAACATGAAATTGACGATGACCTTGAAGATCATTCGAAGGTGACGACAGTTTTTTTAAGTGGAAACCCCGATTTCCGACACCAAGAATGATTAAATGAATTTATAAACGTCCATTTTTACTTCCCGCAATGCATTGCGGACAATTTTACGTTCAACTATATCCTTGACAATGAACCTAATCATGACCTTCAAGGTCATTTGCATGTCAGATAAATGTGTAAGTAAGCTACCTACTTTGTCGGAGATATGAAAAAGCGGCCAAGGTGAGTATCATATACTTGACCGTCAGCTTGACTATTATCTTCAATGTCAATTGAAGGTCAACTGCATTTTATCCACGGAATACCTTTGTTCTTGCTTCCAGAACAGTAATTTCACGTCACGTCAAATCATCCTAAAACCTCTGACGTCGTGGTTAGCCTTTTCTGTACGCCCTGGTACCTGTAATTGTCATTGAAGAGCTGCCTACACGTCAAATTCATACTGCAGAAGCTGTAAGAAAATAACTTAAGGTTGCGCAGTTTCAACTTCCTTGACTTTGCTTCTCTCTTATTGCACCCTTCATAAAAATGAGTCTGTACAGTTCATGGTATAGGCAGTTAAGTAAAACGTTACATTTTATTTCATTGCGTATAGCGCTTGAATACGCGAAATGAATAGGAATTCCACTTCTGATTGGTTTCATCAATACCGTATATGGATAATAAAAATAGCATTTACTTTTTTACTGCAAGAAGGCCATTAGAAGCTTTTATATTTTCAATATACGTATACGAATAACACTCTACCATTAACTTTGTGACAAATTTCAATAGCTCAGTAGGTATACATATAATTGGGAAACATTTGAGGCATCAGCAGATTTGAGTCCAAGGTTTTGGTATGAATTATGTAATGAAATATACTACTTTATCAAAAATAACTAAATACCTTTTTTGTTACAAAATGACTTCAATAGACACGTTGCTTGAAATGAATGTTAATTTTTCCCTTAGTCGGGTGGTATTGAAGATTTTTTTTCAGATTATGACGATATGCCTTGGTTCCCGAAGAAAATATCCGATCTAGACAACGCCCAAAATGTTCTGATGTACGGTAGCGAGTTGGATGCTGACCATCCCGGGTTCAAAGATCCAGTTTATAGGAAAAGGAGGGAGCAATTCTATAGGATTGCCATGAACTATAAACAGTACTAGTAACTTTAGTAATATAGTTGTATTCTCTACTAATATTATTACTGTTTTAGTGGACAACCTATTCCTAAGGTCAAATATACTCCAGAAGAGATCAAAACATGGTAAGTTCAAATGAATCGGTCAATTTGATTCTTTTATGAGATCATTGACAAACTAGTTCAGGCTTCAGGCGATTGTTAGTAAAGTGAGACAGCCATGGGCGCCCGCAGGGGGGTGTTAGGGGCCTCGGACTTTGGAATACTTTGGTATACTTAGCAGGCTTTTGTGTATGATTTCGGAGATTTTGTAAGAATTAAATAAAATCAGGCGGCTGGATCGTAAAAACCAATGAAGTATTATGAAAAGGCGACTCAGGACACACGTGTGTTTCTAAGGTTATAACTATTATATACGTTGAAGTTTGAGTCATTAATTTTCAGATAATGATTGTAGAAGGCAGATAAACCAAAATATGTGTGTAAAAATAAAAAAAAGATAAAAAAAAATTTTACCTTGTTTTATAAAGTATCCTCCCGACAAGTATTTCAGTGCGGACCTGTATTTGATCGTGAGGTCTTGGAGCACCGGCATGCCGTCCCCTGTGAGGTCTTAAGTCACCTGATTCACGAGCCCGTTGTACTACATTAACAAAGGCACGAGGGGTTGGTTGCACTCGTTTGGGAAACCGATCCGCATAAACATGTGCCATTTTTTATTTAGTTTGAGCCACGCAACAGACACCACTATTCACTCACGCGTTACCGACTGACACTGACTGTATACAACTGAATAAAATAATTGTAAAAACATCGTTCCAAATTCTTTCGCTTTTTTGTTTCCGATGCGATGAACCGATAAGGCGGATTATATCCGTTGTCGCCAAACACGAGCACATAATATTATTATTGAGACAGGGCGGTACTCAAACTTCCAAAGGGCTATAACTTTGTTACTTTAATTTTACCAGAAAAATGGTAAAAGAAAAAAACATTTCTTTTGATCAGATCTACTCACTGTTAAAATAAATGACTCAACTTCGAAGTCACCCTGTATATACAGGGTGTTCCTTAATGATATGCGAATATTTAAGAGTCCGAATCTACATGAAAAATTAATGTTAGTTTGCTTTATAAACTATGGTCCAAAAATGTTTTTTTACAAAAATTCGGGCTGTTGAAGTTTTAGGAAAAAAATGGAAATTAATTAATATTTTCAGAACCGCTTCAGATATTTTACTGATATTTAGTACGTAGTGAAAGTTAATGAAGGTGCATATTTTTCAATGCAAAAATAATTTTTAGCTTCAGTAGTGGCGTGCGTACGGGTATTGATTTCGATATTTTTTAAGAAAAATGACTTTTTTGAAAATAAAAATTATTTTAGAATTCCCCGTTCAATTTAAAACAAATGATTTCTCTTGAATTGTTTTCTTTTGATGCGCCATTTTTGAGTAAAAGAATAAAAACCGTTCTATTGTCTAACTTGCAAAATTATTATTAATTTAATTTTAAAAATTAAATATGTTAGGGGTAATGAACAACTGACAACATAACCATAACACTTAAACCAACGAAATGATTACAAGAATTGTTGAAAATTTGATACCCTGTTAAATGATATTGTTGTGAAAAAAAATTCTACCACAAAGTGTTTTTAAGGCAATTTTTGTTTCTGTGATTGACATTGCCCTAGGAAGTGTATAGAGGTCCGACAAAATGTGTCCAGAGGTACGACAATCTATGAACTTTTTTGGCATTAAAGGTTTAAATGTTTAGCAGGACCGTAAATGTTTAGAAAGAAAACATGTAATTATGCTTACGTATAAGAGTAAATAATCAATTTATATTACTACCGTGAAAAATCATGCTCCTCAAACCAACACTGTTACTCTTAACAGGGAGCAGTCGTCCTACTGCCCAGTAGACTGAATTTTATTTACTCGATGTTTATTAAAAAATAACCATTCTGTAATTTTTAAGAATTCATTAAGCAAAATTTTGTCCAGCAACTGTGAGACACTGGTTTCAAATTTGTGTCCATGCTTCGAGTATGCTTCTTTTTCATTGGTGCATTTCATGACCGTTACCGCTAAAGAAAACATAGGTTTTTGGAACTATACCAAGTGATTTACACGTACTTCTTGATTTAATATGGAAATTAGGGGCCGATCGATAAACCTTATAATTATTCTCTAGTTTCTGAGACATTTTACAAGAAATCAACCATATTCATTAGATCCATCACTTCAAAGACGTTTAGTAAAATCGGACCTTAGAAGAACGTATTCTCGCTTTTTTCAAACGAAATCTACAGCTAAACAGTTTCGCATTTACGTTGAAAATAGAAAGACTGCTTTTCTGATCCCCGTCAATTAGAAGATGAACTAAATAGGATGTGTCAATACTTGAGGGGGAATTGGAGGAAAGCAAATACGGAAATACGTTGTTAGAATCTTAAATATCGATTAACTCTGAACGAATATAGGGCTAACGAAGATTTTCATTTAGTTCGCACCAGTGATGGCGTTTACGTGTATACCTGAAATGTTCACGTTCTGATGTAGTTTGCCCTGTTCGTACACCCATCGCTAACCTGTCAGTGTCCAATGCGTATACAACGTTTACAATGCGTATATAATATATACAATATATATGTAGCATAATAGCATCAGAGAAAGCAGTACAGGGTGTCCGCAAAGTTGGGGTTTTCCTTTACACGACGTGTAGATCTTGAAAACATAAGGAATTTTTCTTAGTACCATATACACCAATGTCTTAAGGGAACCGAGATAAAGGGCTCTGCAACATCAAAAATATCTGAATACCGTCCTGTAGCTGCGACTCGCGCCATCCCCGAGTGGTACTAGGACACTAGCTCAACCCGACGACAGAACTGGGTCGGGGTCAGTGTGTCAGGTCAGTAAGCAACCTTCAACCGACGCGACGGTTACGGTCACGCGTGGCTGGCATGGTGAACGGTATGCTCATTGGACCATTTATTCTCCCAAATCGATTGGACGGGATGCAATACCTAGACTTTTTACGCAACATTTTGCCTTCCTTGTTAGAAGTTGTGCCATTAAGTGTAAGACAATCAATGTGGTTTCTGTACGATGGTCATATTTGTTACCTCTGTTCATGGTCTGCACCACCACCGGCGTCTGCTCGGTAGCGCATCAGCTGATTTCATTTTCTGTTGGAGCGGTATGATGTCGGGCAGAGACGTACTTAGCCCTTCTCGTCAACTGGAGAGTGAGTACTTTTTCCTTTATTTTTTTTACTTGGTCGCCCTCGTTTCACTACACATTACCTTTGTTATTTCAAGGGTAGTTGTTTCTGAAAAGGAAAACCCCAACTTTGCGAACACCCTGTATATTCATACGCTTCCAACTCTGGTAATTCTACGCACCGCACTAGCACATATATCATACATCATATATTTTCCCTAAATATATTTTCCTTAAATCTTGAAGAGATATTATCAAACACGTCTCGCGTCTCGTTTGCACTTGCTGTACATTAGAAACGTCATCGCTTCACCACTGGCGCTGGCCAGCATACGATGGCTGTGTTGCCAGATGGTCGATACTTTCAGTAGGGAAGGGAAAACATGCCTAGACCGCAGCGATATCAAATAGGTGGGGACTACACTTTATCTAATAATTATGTTCAAAGTTAAGTTTTTTTCTCAGAGGGACTAACCTGCGACGAACATGATACTTTACGAATTGGTGACAGCACTGCGTGGTAAGTCCAGAGTCTCCACCTACTTGACCAGGCTTTTTTATTATTTTAGGGGCATAGTATTTCGTGAGCTCCACAAGCTCTATCAAAGGCACGCTTGTAAGGAATATCTTGACAACTGGCCTCAACTAGTGAAATACTGCGGTTACAGAGAAGATAATATACCACAGCTGCAGGATGTTAGTGTGTTTTTGAAAAGGAAGACTGGGTTCCAACTGAGACCTGTCGCTGGATACTTGAGCCCCAGGGACTTCCTTTCTGGTCTTGCTTTCAGAGTTTTTCACTGTACGCAGTATATCAGACATTCCACGGATCCGTTTTATACACCAGAGCCGTAAGTAAAAAAAATGAGCTAATAGACATTCTTTTGGTACTCGTTGATACATCATCACCACCCTTTTATTTAAGAGCTTATTCGCCAAGAGCGAAGTGCATACCCAGATCAGACGTGGGTCGAATACTGAAATCCGGTATTCGAATACGAATCTGTATTTCAAATTGAATTCGAATACTCCTGATTCGAATACAAAGGAAAAAAGAATTCGAATATCGCTGTTTTGAATACCTTGATTCATTTACATATGAACACTTTTTGAATATTCCAACTAAAAAAGATATATGCGCACCTTAAAGTTCTTTTTATTTACGTACTTAAATTATAATATATACAGGGTGACTTTGAAGTTGAGTCATTAATTTTCAGATAATGATTGTAGAAGGAAGATAAACCAAAATACGTGTGTAAAAATAAAAAAAAAATTTTACCTTGTTTTATAAAGTATCCTCCCGACAAGTATTTCAGTGCGGACCTGTATTTGATCGTGAGGTCTTGGAGCACCGGCATGCCGTCCATATGTGAGGTCTTAAGTCAAATGATTCACGAACCCGTTGTACTACATTAACAAAGGCACGAGGGGTTGGTTGCACTCGATTGGGAAACCGATCCGCATAAACATGTGCCATTTTTTATTTCGTTTGAGCCACGCAACAGACACCACTATCCACTACCGACTGACACTGAATGTATACAACGGAATGAAATAATTGTAAAAACATCGTTCCAAATTCTTTCGCTTTTTTGTTTCCGATGCGATGAACCGATAAGGCGAATTATATCCGTTGTCGCCAAACACGAGCACATAATATTATTATTGAGACAGGGCAGTACTCAAACTTCCAAAGGGCTATAACTTTGTTACTTTAATTTTACCAGAAAAATGGTAAAGGAAAAAAACATTTCTTTTGATCAGATCTACTCACTGTTAAAATAAATGACTCAACTTCGAAGTCATATATATATAAATATATATATAAAAGAATTAAAATGACTAAATGACTTTATTAAGTAACATTTAAAATAACATTTTAATATACAATGTGACTGTGAGGTCAGACAAATTAATTCGATAATAAAAAAACATTCTTTGATTTTTGTTGTGAATTGATAGAATAAAACTTGATTGAAAAATGTATGACTATTTGAAGGAAACTTAAAATAACATTGTGATATACAATGTTACAGTGAGATCAGGCAAATGAATTGTATAATAAACCACATTCTTGGATTATAGAACAAATAGCTGGCCTTCATATAATTTTAGAAAACATTTGAAAATTCTTCTACGTAATGATGCTTTTTACATTCGTTTTTCTACAGCATATACTTTATTGGTATGACATGTTTATGTGCTGTACTATTTTACTGTCAAATATTTTTATGCAGTAAACGGTTAAGAATAGCTGTTACAGCTAAACTTTCTTAATTAAGCTATAGTTTCATTATAGATAATACATGTATTATCAGTAATTTGCTTTAATATAGGACGATTTATTATCATTATCATCAATATCCCTTTATTTTTATATTGCACATGTCAAGCACAAATATATCCATCCGACATCCTTTAGGTGGCGCTATCAACGCTCCCCAGTATAGGTGTCATTCATAATGTTGAGTAACGATGAGACGCCTTTGCAATATCGACGCTCAGACAACCTAAGTTACGCCGCTGTGCATCAAGTGCGGTATAGCCTGCAGCCAGAATACATCATTGCTCGCGATAAAACGTCAAAAAAAACCTATAAGATGTCAACTTGCAGACTAGGTAGTTTTTAGGGCGCAGTCATTCCACGTTTGCTCACTAGGATCGTTGTGAACGTCCATCTATGGAGAAATCACTCAACTAAACTACGCATTATTGCTTGCATAGTTTTGTGAGGCTGAGTGATCCGGGTCTGTAGTTTTTATCTCTGAGAAGAAAGTTGGTTGAATAGCAAGATCGTATCTGGATGATTATGTGTATTGGTCTGCATGTGTATAAAAACAGTGATATTTGCTATTTATATGTTGTGCTTTCTGAAAAGAGGTTATGTTCAAAGTTATAAATTACGAAAAACTGAGGAGAATTACGGGAAATCATCACCGCGCCCGCGTTGTGTGTAACTACTGTTGGTAAGTATACGGCTTGTAATTCGACAGTGTACAGTGAATATAATTATTTCTTATCTCTCTCGTTTTTGAAATTCAGCACATTTGTATATGTAATTTCCAGAATGTATAAGAAAAAGTGGGTGGACAACTAATATCTAGCTTTGAATCTTGATTAAGTGTATTTGAGACAAGAAACTAAATGTAATTATCATCAACACATACACTTACAGCTTAGACCTCCAGTAATGCCATCTCAGAAGCAGATTTTACATCACATCAGAGCCAAAGATTCATAACAAGCCTCATAACGTTTAGGCAATACGTACAACTAAGTGCTAAGTTAATATCCTGTAGAATAACCTACATAATGTCAAAAAAACCAGCATAATGTCAAAAAAATCGGCATAATGTCACTTTTCACGCTACGTGATACCCCTGCCGGAAGCATCTACGGTCATCGAGAATCATCGATCGACGTTTAGAGATCTTCGATAAAGCACGGGATTGCTGTGGACATTCGTCAATTTTAAAATGAATACCCAGGCACCGCCAAGCCACCAGGGAGTCAGACGACTGCGGGAGATGAGTCACCAGGAGCGCAGAACTCCATAGTCCAGTCTAGATGGTTATAAATTTATCATAAATTAGTTGCAAGTGTTGTTATAAATTAGTGTAAAAGTTATAAATTAAACTTTGAACAGTAATCGTTGCAATACTCTCTTTAATATCCTCGTGGCATACCTTGAGTGTTATGCTTAGAAACTACAAATCAACCCACGCCCTCATAAAATTAGAGCAAGACTTGTGCATTTATCATTTTTTAAACCGTTATTTATTTTCCTTCATATCAACTCAAAAATGTTTAATGCGAAATTTGTGATTTTTTGGATTCGTTACAGAGATTGCTGCCATGAATTGCTGGGGCACATGCCACTGTTGGCCAATCCAAGTTTTGCACAATTTTCACAAGAAATTGGCCTGGCTTCGCTAGGTGCATCAGAAGAGGATGTCAGCAAACTTGCCACGGTAAAGCATCATATTGATTTTTTTGGAAACATCTTTTTCATTTGAAATAGTACATATCTAGTGTTTTTTATGTGGAATATTGTTTTGTGTAAAAAGCAATGTATTAGAGGAAAGTAACCTAAACTGGTTTCCTCCTCTAAACATGACTCCTGGTTGCCCGAAACTCCATCGTTGCCAAGTGTAAATAGTAGACTGCTTCGTCCACCCGACCACAGACAGCCAACCATGGACAGCAGTTCCGTGCTTTTTGGCAACTCACCAGCATGGTCTAGGCTCGGTCTGATGTGGGACAACGATACATGAGATCCATCGAAGCACCATCTATCTCGCTCTCACTTTTTTATTACAGCTTTACTTCTTCACCGTTGAATTCGGCCTAGCCAAACAAGATGGGGAACTAAAAGTATACGGCGCTGGACTACTAAGCTCTGTAGCGGAACTGAAACATGCTTTAAGTTCACCGGAAAAGGTCAGACGCTTCGACCCTGGATTGACTTGCGAGCAAGAATGCATCATCACTGACTACCAACTGGGATATTGGTATACGGATTCTTTCGAGGAAGCTAAAGAAAAAATGAGGTAAGAATATTTAACTTTTTAAATATTGAGAACTACGCACTGTTCTTGATGAAAAGAATACTGCACAAGCTTTGTATAAAACTAATAAGACCGTGGACGCCTATAATAACTTCAAATCGCTTAGAAACCGTGCTCTTAACATGATCAGGAGGGACAAAAAGACATATATCGAAAATTTGGCTAATGAAAATGATTCAAAAAAATTGTGGAAGTCTCTCAAACAACTTGATATAAATTTTCGTAGTAAACCAACCCTTCCGGCAAGTTTTAATGACCCTACCAAAATTATTGATTATTTTATGTCTGTTTATAGCTATAAACCTGTTGATTCACTAGTTTGCGAAAACTATTTCAAAAATAAATTGAGCTCTGAATATATTTTTCATTGAATAAGATTAGTTCAAATGACGTATTACAGGCAATAGGGAGCCTAAAATCTGATGCGAAGGGAATTGATGGTATATCCCTGTCAATGATCCAGCTTTGCCTGCCAGTTATTCTCCATCACATCGTCCACATCTTTAACGACTGTTTGGAAAAAGGCTACTTTCCAAACACATGGAAACAAGCTCTAATTATTCCAATTCCTAAAAAAATGAAACCCACTGAGTATAATGATCTCAGACCTATCAGTTTATTACCAATTTTATCCAAAATTATAAAGTTCCAATTGACCGCTTACCTAGAAAAATTCTTTTTACTTCCCGACACTCAATCCGGATTTAGAAAAAATTATAGTACAACATCTGCCCTACTTAATCTGCAAGACAATATTTTAAGTGCCTTAGATAAGAAAATGGCACTAGTCTTAATTTCTATAGACTATTCGAAAGCCTTTGACAGCATCAATCATAAATTATTACTTGCTAAATTAAATAACATAGGTCTTGACAGTGTATCCCTTTCATTTTTCGACAGTTACCTTCATCAAAGAACTCAGTGTGTTTTTCTCAATCAAGAAATGTCTCAAGTGACAATAATTCCCTCCGGCGTACCTCAGGGCTCTGTATTGGGGCCGCTTCTGTTCCTCATATATACGTTCGACTTAAGCAAAAGTATTGATAATTCTCATGTCCAGTCATTTGCAGACGATACGCAATTGCTTCATTATTTTAACCCAGATAATGTCAATAATACTACTCAAATTTTACAAAACGATGTTAATAAATTAATTAATACTCTTTAGATCACAATCTACTTATTAATCCACAAAAATCTAAAATGTTATTATTTTGCGCACAAAGAAAAACATACAATGTAACCCAGCTCTTGAACATTCAGATAAATAACCAAATCTTGCAATTTTCTGATTCTGCAAAAATTCTTGGTGTTGTTTTTGATACAAAATTAAGGTTTATTGAACATGTTAAAAGTCTATCTCAGAAAACCTACCTACGGCTGCGCACTCTTATAGCAAACAGGTATTTACTAAATTTTAAGATGCGTAAAAAACTATGTGAAGCATTGGTCATATCTATACTAAATTATTGTAATATCGTATACTATACTTGTTTAGACAATTTCACTAAAAACGTTATTCAAGTTATTCAAAACAATTGTATACGATTCATTTTTGGCTTACGTAAATTTGATCATGTATCGGCGAAATATCCCGTTCTAAACTGGTTAAAAATTAATGACATGATCAAGTATCACTATTCAGTTTTTGTTCACAAATTGCTGCTCACGTCTAAACCTTATTACTTGAAGGAAAAAATTTCATTTAATAATGATGTTCACTGTAGAACTCTCAGAGAAAATAATATTAGAATACCCCTGCATACGTCTACACTTTTTAAACGCAGTTTTTCTTACAATGTTGCTATTATTTATAATGACCTTCCTAAAGTATATAAAGAATTTTCATTACCTGTCTTTCGACAAAAAGTTAAAACATTATTACTCAACCCTCCAAACATATAATTTACGTAATCATTCATTTCTTTTTTATTCCGTCTTTAATTCAGATTAATAATTTTTTGGTGCATTTGGGTTTGGAAAGTATGCCTTTTTCTCTTTTTTAAAATTTTACTTTCGATGTAATGAACCAAATCTGTTTGTGGATAGTGTATTCTCTTGAACATCTGCTAGAGACTATATGGTTAAGTGTAAGAGTAGCAGCATGCTAAACTTCGCCATATAAGTCTGACATTTGGCTATACTACAATGTAATTGTGGATAAATAAAGACGTCTATTATTATTATTATTATCTGACTCTATGTTCATGCGTTACTATTCTTTCGTTCTTAATACCGTGATTTATACCATATTGATGATTCTGAATAAGGATGAAACAGACGGCATTTTCCATAGCTATTTTGCCTAAATTTGATCGCATTGATATACAGGGTGACTTCGAAGTTGAGTCATTTGTCTTAACAGTGCGTAGATCTGATCAAAAGAAATGTTTTTTTCCTTTACCATTTTTCTGGTAAAATTAAAGTAACAAAGTTATAGCCCTTTGGAAGTTTGAGTACCGCCCTGTCTCAATGATAATATTATGTGCTCGTTTTGGCAACAACGGATATAATCCGCCATCGGTTCATCGCATCGGAAACAAAAAAGCGAAAGAATTTGGAACGATGTTTTTACAATTATTTTATTCAGTTGTGTTGTATACATTCAGTGTCAGTCGATAACGCGTCAGTGAATAGTGGTGTGTGTTGCGTGGCTCAAACGAAATAAAAAATGGCACATGTTTATGCGGATCGGTTTCCCAATCGAGTGCAACCAACCCCTCGTGCCTTTGTTAATGTAGTACAACGAGCTCGTGAATCAGGTGACTTAAGACGCCATGCCGGTGCTCCAAGACTTCGCGATCAAATACAGGTCCGCACTGAAATACTTGTCGGGAGGATACTTTATAAAACAAGGTAAATTTTTTTTTTAATTTTTTTTTATTTTTACACACATATTTTGGTTTACCTTCCTTCTACAATCATTATCTGAAAATTAATGACTCAACTTCAAAGTCACCCTGTATATAACGTGTGGTTTCAACAAGACGGTGCTGTACGCCATGCATCTCGTGAAACAACTCAATTGCTACATGAGACATTTCTTTATTATGAGTCTTATTTCGGTAATTGGAATTGACCCCATAGATCTTGTGATTTAACACCATTGAGTTTCTTTTTATCGGGCTATTTGAAGTCGTATCAAGTGAATTCTGCCGCATTTTTGCAAAATGGTTATGAAAAATCCATATGTAACCATAACCTGTGTAATTTATCATTCAATAAAAGAATAATTTACCGGGTGTTTCAAATTTGGCGCTTACGAAGAAGATACGAAGTCGCTTAAATTGTGGCAAAGTTACAAAATTACAAGGTTACGAAATTCTGGACTTTTTTTTGTAGTGGGATTTTAAAATAGACTGCACTTTAACATTGCCACATTTTCTCCTCTACAAGATGGCATAACTAGAATTTCAATATGACGGTTCATCTCTTGTTCTCCCGCATCAACTTTATTTTTTCTTATGGACGCCATATTGGATTTTGCCCAGACCAATAAAGTTCTTAAATGTGGTTCGGAAAAATGGTAATATGCCTTGACCTTGCTAAACCTTAGGCCCGTATCGTCAGTCGTACCTACAATTGTAGGGCGCCTTTATGGCCTCCTTGATTGTCATAGTTTTATACTTCTCCGTGTCAGCGCTCTATTTTGAGGTTATGTCACAAACATCTATTTGCATCAAATTGTGCTTGCTTTTGAGTTATATCATGTTTTATCAGCCTGAAATTTCCTACAATTTAAAAAGAAAACATATCTTCACAATAGGAGAGCGCTGACGCTGACACGGGACAAGTGTAATCTAGAAATTTTTGAAGGAGAGAAAGGAGTATGACAATCAAGGAGGCCATAAACGCGCCCTACAATTGTAGGGACGACTGACGATACGGGCCTTAGTTATTCAAGAAAAACAGAATTTCCTTGATAGACCTTAAATCTGGTAAGCCAAACAAATGATAATTCCAAGGCATACCTAGAAAATTCTGTTCTTTTTTCTAGAAGTAACCAAGGTTTGGCAATGTCAATGTATGATGTGTTATACGTTTTAGGAAATCTGCGCAAACCTGCAATATGGCGTCCATAAGAAAAAATAAAGTTGATGCTGAAGGACAAGCGATGAAATGTCATTTTGAAATTCTAATTATGCCATCTTGTTGAGGAGAAAAAGTGACAATGTTAATAAACAATACATCTTGAAACCCCACTACAAATAAAGTCAGGATATATATTTTTCGTCTTTCTTCGAAGGTACTTTGGATTACAAAACTTTCTAAGCGGCATTTTGTTAATTTCCATTTAAGCGATTTCGTATCTCTTACTGTTTCTGAGATCCGAATGGTGAGGGTCGAATTTGAAACATCCGGTATAGAAGCAAAACTGTGTCTCATAATTTAACTCAAATCTGAGTTTTTCAATAAAGCATATCCGCTTGTTGCTTTCCATTGTTTGCTTCTAGGATAAGACCTATACCGTTCTGATATTTGTTAGCAAGCATGGAACGACGTTGTGTACGATTGATCGTGGTCACAAAACGAAAAAACCGTTTTTAAGGGTTAAAGTCCAATTTACTACTCACACTAATTTATTACAATACGTGCAACTAACTTATCACATATTTATGACTATGTCGACTGGACTATCGCTTTTCGCACTGCTTCTGACTCATCGTCGACTCTGTCTAATCTACCCTGATCTGCCGTAGGCATTTATCTTCGGAGGTACCTTGAGTTACGAAACTTTCTAGGCGGCATTTTGTTAATTACCTGGGCATTTGTCTTCAAATCGACGAATTAGTCTTAAAGACAGAACGGCGGTCGATTCCTCTCGATGGGTGTCGATGTTTCTTGATGACGCGGTCAACGCCCCTGATATTCTGCTTGCCTAAGCACCGATGTACGAGGGTGTCTCACAAGTCTTGTGTATTTCCGGCGGATGGGACGGGAAGTTTCCAGCTCCCAAAGTACAGCAATATGCCCCGTTATAATCGAAAGTTGTGCGATTCTAAAACGGTTGCAATTAAGTGTTTTGCTGTAAAACGACTCCTCCGTATTACTTAATTCAAAAAGTGACAATATAATAATATAGCGACTTTAAATGACTTTATGTAGGTTTTTTCAAAAAAATCTCACCTTGGAATTACCTGTCATTTATTTTTACACTTGTACCAGCTGTGTGTGTCGCCTAAACGTCATGCCCAGTGTTGCCAGAGCGAAGTGTAAAATATCCGTCACACGTATCGCAAAATTCCGCTACATGCCGCTACGGTCTAAAAATTTAAGGGCGGGGGAGGCTTAAAATAAACAACAAATATATTTTTTACATATTTACTTTTTTTAAACACTGTCTAAAAACCCTACTGAAAATACAAACAGTAACATAATATAATTGCAATTTTTCGTAAAAACATAAAAAGTATACCTCTAAAAAAACAAAACTGTCTTTGGTTTAGAATTAGGAACTAATAAAAAAATAGCAACTATCACCAATATCTTAATCTTAATAGAAAAAAAAAATAAGGACAAAGAAGAAGCGGAAACGTAGAAATGCCTACGTTTGCTTATTTTATTCACAGTCAGAATCAGAAATTACTTCTTCTTCAGCTTGTTCTTCCTTATTTACATTATATAAATTCTTTTTATATTTGTTTAAATGATTCTCATTAAAACTATGGGATAAACAGCACTGTTTTTTTGATTCCAAGTCTAATTTAATTGTAAGTAGTGCAGACAAAGTTGATGGTATTATTTTATTTCTTTTTTTTTGTTTTGTAATCAAGCATATAAGAAAACATCAGCGTTTCCATGAGGCAATGTTAAAATGATTAGAGCCAGTTTACTATTGCGAAATAAATATTCGTCATTAAAATTTTTGAGGTCGTTTACAAACGACCAAAATTCAATGACATTACTTTTTGGTTTTAAAATTTCCTCTTTCTCACTATCACTAAAATAAATACATATTTTCTTTAGTTCCAAAATTGCCTTTTCGGTTTCAATATGAAGGGCATTTTTTTTTAAAACGGCGTCATGAAAGGTATCACTTATAATAAGACGATTGTTCATCACATCAACCGGTGAGAGAAACTTTAGCTCTGAAAAGATAGGAAATCTTTTAAGGAACTCTTCTACCGATTTTTGGTAAAATGTGACACATTTTAATTTAAATTGTTCGATTGCCGTGTTATTGCAGTGTTTTATTGCATCCATTGTATGCGGACCAACATTCACTTGTTCAATTGGTAATAAGCAGGATTTAGATTATATAATTTCTCATTTTTAAAATATTCTGGTCGCATAAAGTTTGTACATAGATGACGTACAAATCGATCACTCTCTATTGATATGATATTGAGCATAACTTTCTCTGATTGAAAGAGAACATTAAATTGGTTAAAAATGGGCAACACGAATTTAAAAAACATTAAATACGCCTTAACAAATGGATTCTGTAACTCATTAAGTATTACATTTGCTACAGGATTTTTGTCTTCAATGGAAGCTAATCTAAATAGGCTAAGCAAGATGTCCCTTGTTTTACTAGGGCTTAAAATTTTTGATTTTGACTTTTTGAAATATTCCTGTAATTCTTCAAGAACACACCGCCTTTTTGGGCTTCTTGAGAAGTAAGAATATAAGTTTTGTAAAAGAGCTTCAACGTTGCTTGGAATCTTTTCAGCTGCCGCCACCGCCACTAAATGAGCAGAGTGGCAAATGCAGCCATTGACAATTATATTAGGATTATCTTTTAAAAGATAAGTTTTGAAAGATTCGTTATTGCCCATCATAACACTAGCGTTGTCGGAACAGTATCCAACAATATTGGTAATTCTTACTTGATTGGATATAACGCATTTTTTAAAAAGAGAATATAAACCTTTGGCGGTACCTTCATCTGCGTTTATTTTTATTATATCTAATAAATGGGTTTTATTTGAATTTTTATGAATATACCTTACAAGAATGCATAGTAGTCTTGTATTGCTCAGGTCTGTACTCTCATCCAATAAAATAGAAAATGGTTTATTTTCCAATTCTGAAATTATTTCGTCTTTAATAACAGGAGCCAGCACATTTTTAATTATACTTATGCATTTGGATCTTTTTAATTTAAGTGAGCTAGAGAGATCTGGGTTTTTAAAACATAATTGACTAACTCCTGTTATATGATCAACAGTTCTAAAACATATAATGACTTACAACTAAAAGACTATATCTTAAGCAAGCAAATATTTGCCGTTTTTCCAACTCACGTGCTTCCCGAGACTGAAAAGTGCTATCTAACGTTCTTACATTCGAAACTGCTTGTACATTAGTGGCATGCCTTTTTGATTTCGAATGATTCACTAAATCTGATTTTTAGCACCCATTATTTGATTACAAGCTTTTACATTTTGCTTTCAACTTGTCATTTTCAATAGGTCCCAACCAGAATTTAAATAATGGATCTTCTAGCCATGATGAAGTAAACATTTGTTTTCGTGTCTTTTTCTTAACAGGTTGCTCTGGCTCTTGGTTATCTTGAGATTCGCAAGTCGAATTATCAGGCTCAGACCTGATTCCACTAGATTCCGCTCTTCTATTTTGTCTGTATTCAGGTTCGGGATGCTCCGAGTCCGACACAGATGCAGTCGAAGGGGATGGTACGACCACGTTTGATTTCACCGTTTGTCTTTTAGAAGGATTTTTATCAAAAAAATCGTTAATGGTCTGCTGCCGCCTTTCCATTATTCCTATGTTCCAGAAGAAAAAGCGTTAAAAACAAATTTCGCGACTAAGATTTATTTCTGGATCAAACTATAATATGTTAGATATTTAAGCAGTTTTGTTACTTATCAGTAGATTTAATATTAAAATCTGCAGCAAATGATATATCAATAAAATGATCAACACAAAAATAAGAACACTAATATAAACGAAACTAAACAGTATATACCCAGAGCTGAAAAATACAATACAAAGCGAGAAACCTAATATTATGTCTGCCTGCTGAGACCTGTTAGAAACGATTAGTATTGAAAGCAGTACGTACGCCATCTGTTATTGAAAAAAAAGGCAAGTGGAATAATTCTCTTCTCTGTTCCTAGATCGCTCAAGCGGCACCAAATGCACCAATTTTATTATTAATGTGATAATAAATCAGACTCTAGCCACTGCTTATTTAGGATTTAGAACGTTATTAACGTTAAAACAGTGAAATAAATATGATAGTTTTGTATGTAATAAATTCCGCTACATTTTGGGCTAATTTGCTCTACCGCCGCTACGCCGCTCTTCTCAAAATAATCCGCTACAAATAGCGGAATTCCGCTACGTATGGCAACACTGGTCATGCCCCTTGAGCCACATGGTTTGGCTTTGATATGATGTAACATCTGGTTCAGAGATAGCACTAGCGTTGACCATACTATAGGTCGTTGTATCATTCCTCCATAGGTGGCGCTCACAGCGAGTGCGGGTGTCGCTAGTCCTCAAGTTAACACTATAACGATTTTTCACGTGCGGTGGCCGGTAAAAACGAGACCTACCATAAAAACGGTGGATCTGGCAACGCTGGTCACAGAAACGAAAGCAAACCGAGATATAGCTTGAATGCAAATGGTTCCTGAATTTTGAGACTACATTCATTTCTACATTTTTCCAGGACGTTCGCCGAGAGCATCCAACGTCCTTTCGGTCTCCGCTACAACCCTTACACCTGCAGCGTGGAGGTGCTCAGCAACGCTCAGAAGATCACAGCGGTGGTTTCTGAGCTCCGCGGTGATCTGTGCATCGTGAACAGCGCGCTGAAGAAGATCAGCGCGAGGGATTCCACGTTGGACGTTGACCATATTACTACGCTGCTTCAGAAGGGGTTGGCTTGCAGCGAGACTAATGGGGCAGATAGCGAGAGCGGTGATGATCGACAAGAGCAGAAAAAATAAGATTTCAAAAAGAATTGTTTTGCGCCATATAGTCGGATCAAAATGGGATAAGCTCTGAAGCGCGATAGAGCATAACCCACAACACATAAAAATGACCATTATTAGAATCATAGAAACGACATAAATTGAACAGTTTTCCAAACCGAAACTGGACATTCCTCCACGAATTAGTAGTAAAAGGAAAATGAGTAAAGGTTATAGAAAAGGTAATCATAGATACAGGTACTTCATTATACAAAGATGGGGTTTTCCTTTACACGACGTGTAGATCGTGAGGAAATAAGCGGATATTGTTTGTAGCATATACACCAATGTCTTAAGAGAACCGAGATATTGGGCTCCACAAACTCAATAAAAACAAACCAAAGCCGGTCCTGTCCTATCTCTAGATCACGTCCACAGCGCCAGCGCCGGCGTACTGTTATACGACGTACGACTACGATGTAAATGCGGATTTTGCGACAGAGCCGTACTCGGAATTTCAATTCAACTGAACAGTGAGTACTTTTTACATATTTGCATTAAAATATGTTCTGTTGGTAATAATAAATCAGATGAATCTCAGCCCAGCTGTTTTAAGTACCATTTATCGAATGTCACTAAATAAATGGTTTTATGGCTTTTTTATTTTTAGCTATATAATAACATTATTTACATATTCAGATTTTGTTTATGAAATACATTACTCGCGCAGATTTAATTGATTTTTATACATCTATTTATCGCAAAGTTCGATCTCACTAATTTAAAATTCTGCATGAATACATTGTCGAAATATTTTCAAGAAAATAAAAATCTCATCAAAAATTGATGAAATCAGTTATTATGACACTTTGGACTTTGGTAAAATAGTATTATATTTTTATATGTGGTCATAGAAAATGAAAATATTTCACGTATATATTTTTCACTATACAAGAAGCTGTTGACTAAGTGCATTAGAGGTATTTCCATATTGATCTGGCTATCTGGTGCGTCAAGAGCTATGGGAAATAACATCGATATTAAATCTTTGTTTCATTAAATTATCCAGTAATAGCATTCTTTCAGGCAGTGTAGTTGTACTCTAGCTAAAGTGTATCTCTTAAATGTTTAAAGAAATTGATTAACAGTAATATAACAATGTTATGAACATGCATGTATTAATAATTATACCCCTTTTGATGGAATACATCTAATTTTCAGTCTGCAAAAAACATGGAAATTAGCAGAAAATACATTTAAATATTCTTCAAATTGTACATTGAAAAATGGTGCTATTCCAGATAAGAATAACCGTAGATGTAAAAAAACTGAAGAGACCGGATTCGTAGTAAATTAGATACATGATATTGATAAATCGCTCATTTTACGAAACTTCTGTCCAGTTTTTTGCGATCTTTTGGCGGAGGACCGGATTTCTTCATTCAAGGTTTCCCTGCACATACGAGGTGCTTAGGAATAACTTTTACTATCTAATCGGAATGGCAATTTTATGAATATAGATCATTCGGACAGTGAATCTTAAGTCTCTCTGTCCATATAGTCCCTCTTAATAAATAAGAGCATAAATCATGAAAAATTACATTTTTGCAGTATTTTTTCAAAGTATATAATTATAAATGCAAATATGTTAAGTACTTTTATTTCACTAGTCATTTAGTTAAAATTTTGCACTGAAACTAGGCGACAAACAATGGAATGTTAACATCTATTTGTATGTTACACATTCTTTAAAAGTGGAGACAGGTACATAGCACATAATTACGGGGCTATTAGCAAGCTGCGTATATTCTCGAAGATGTTCGAAAAACTAATTTATAAAGGAATACTTTTTGATGGAATAATATATAATCCTTTAGAAATAAATTTTCAAGTCGATGCTATTTATACCGACTTCAGCAAGGCTTTTGATCGAGTTAATCATAATTAGCTATTAACAAAACTGAGCTGAGGTTGGTGCTCGTGGCTCTCTTGTAAAGTGGGTTTCATCTTATTTGTCCAGAGTCGTTACTCCATCATCGGGAGTTCCTCAGGGTAGCCGCCTAGGTCCATTATTCTTCTTAATCTTTATAAATGATAGCCCACAATTTTTCAGTCATTGCAAATTTCTTCTTTAAGCAGATGGCTTAATGATGTATCGCATAGTTGAAAGCCTTCAAGACTGCGTCAAAATGCAATCTGAAAACTACAAACTCAACGATTATTGTCAAAAAAATAACCTAAATACTAAAAAATGCTTCTCAATCACATTCACGAGACAAGAAACCTATTCCAGTATGCGTATCAGATAGAGAATGTCAATATTAATTCTGTGAGTAATATTCGGTCCTGGGTGTTACACTAGATACGAAATGGAGCTTAAGTAACCATATAGACGAAACCAAAAATAAAACGAATAAGAAGGCACTCTAATAAATATATATGTACCGATAAGAGTGAATTCTAGACACTGAACATACTGCAATATTCTGTTTTGCAGAACTAATATTGGTTTAAGCTCTCCTGTGGTGCGAATTAAAAGAAATTTGAAGAATCATGGTAAATTTGCTGATATTTCTGCTTGTGAAATATTATAGATTAAATACTTGATAAAAAAAAACAGAATGTTGGTCACTCCCTAGCAAGTTACCTCCCTATTTTCTGTTTCATGTTTCTCGGCGCTGCATTGAATATTATTTAATTGTATTCGTATTTTCATATATGTATAAAGTCAACGCCAAACAAAGTGGCGTGCACGTCATCACGATAAAAATTCCCCGACCTAATGCCTAGGTTTCTATCACAAACAATTGCTCTATTGCAGTTTCATATTAATGTGATATATAAATTGTAAAATGGTCATTACTCTCTTATTATGGTTAATAGTCATATAAACATTGTTATTAAAATATCACATAAGTTGCTTTCTGATAAATTTAGACGCATTATGCGAAATAAAATGTTTTGCAAACGCTCCAATCACTTATCGACATGTAAACGCACTAAACCGATTTCGCAGCGTTGACACATTGTCACCTTGAAACTTATTTAAACTGGGAACTGACATTTGTATTAATTTTGACACTGAATCAATTTGTGGCATTTCAAATCTTTATAAATCCTTTGGCCCCCCATACTGTAAATCAACAACTGTTTGTTTCAAAACAAAATTATTCATTTTACGAGTAGATAAAGGCAATTTTGGTATATAAAGATGCCCAAACAGTTAAATAGTCGGTGTAAGGAACTCGTGGCCTCGTTAATGCACTACTTTGAGCAAGAAAGGGACAACAACGGGCCTTTGTTGCCTTTAAATGCTGTTCAAGAGGTAGGTTACTAATAATTATATGTAATGTATATTAATAATAGTGAAATTTTATTTCATTTTTTGTAGCGTGTTGCTGCTGCTTTAAAAATCAGTTTAAGGACAGTTAGTCGTATTTCCGAGGGTGTGAAAAGTGATGCAAATTTAGAATCGCCCAAGAAAAAGCGGAGTTATATTAAACGTGTAACCAACACAGCGACATTGGATACAAGTGCCATTCGAGAAGTGATCTATAATATGTATCACAAAAGTAAGATCTTATTATAATAACTTATCAGAAATTTGCATTAATTTGTTAACTAAATTATAATGTCATATTACACATGGTTTCAGAAGAACAAGTTACGATACAAACTTTATGGTCTCTATTAAGAGATAGGGCATTATTTGATGGTAGTGCCACGTCTTTAAGGCGGTTGCTTAGAGATCTTGGATTTAAGTGGCTTAAGGACAATCCGCGACGAGGGCTCATGGAACTACCAAGTATAGCTTTGAAAAGGGTGGAATTTCTAAGGCAATACAATCAAGCCAAGGTTGAGGCCTTATACCAGTTTGTCTTCCTCGATGAAACTTGGATATTTCAAAATGAGACCATAGGTCGCTCTTGGCAAAATGGAAACCAAAAAAGCGTGAAAGCTATTAAAACAGATGGTAAAAGGTATGTACTTTTACACAATTTGCACTATAAAATTTAAAACTAATATATTTTAGATACATCATATTACATGCTGGAAATGAAAATGGGTTTATTGAGGGTAGTGAAGTGATATTTTCTTCGAAAACAAAATTGAGCGATTACCATGGAGAGATGAACCAGGACAATTTTTTGAAATGGTTTCAACATCAGTTATTAGAAAAATTGGAGAGTCCATCTATGATTATACTGGATAACGTCCCTTATCACAGCATGATATTGAACAAAGTGCCCAACAATGCATGGACAAAAAAAATATCCAAGACTGGTTGACAAATCAAAACATACCATTTTTAAACACAATGTTTAAAACAGAGCTATTGAGTATTGTTGCTCGGTACATAATGCTTCTTAATTATATATATTTTGGTCGACAGTTTATGTTTCTTTTGTTTATTCCTATTCTTAAAATAACTGCTTTTTTAGAAACAAACCACCTAAAATATACGTGATTGATGAATTGGCAGAACAACATGGGCACAAAGTTCTTCGTCTGCCTCCTTACCATTGTATATTTAACCCTATTGAGTTAATTTGGGGCATAGCAAAAGGTCACTATAACAGACATATTGGTAGAGATGGTAACAGTGAAAAAGACTGTTTGGATATGTGGAACGAGGCTCTACAAACGGTTACCCCAGACATGTGGAAAAATAGTGTTCGACATACTGAGCAAGAAATTTTTAAATGGTATGAAAGAGAACGAATTTTTGATCGACCAGACATCGAACCTTTAATAATCAACTTTGAGAGTGATGAAGATTCAGATTCAGACAGCGCTGAAGAAAGAAACTCCGACTAACTTTATTGTACAGAAAAAGCTTACACCAGTAGCTTACCTAATTTTAGAATGCATTTTTCTGTATGAATTATGTAAAATAAATACCATGCATAAAATTTGGAGGACCCCATTTGGATTTTTATTCAGTACCTTTAAGCTATCAATTAAATATGGTAGTTTCATAGTGTCATCTGATCAATAATTGTCATACTTAATGATTATGCAAGTACAGATCTATAATTTTATTATACTATTATTTTTGTTCTCATTTGAGGTTAATATTGCTTATAAACCTAGATATGTAAATAATAAATTTTATTATTTTACAAAAAGTTTGGCAACAATGTAAATTTTTCAACACACCCACCTTGATGACGTGCACGCCACTTTGTTTGGCGTTGACTATAGATTATAAATAACAGTGCTTACAACTTAGTGTGTTTAACCATACAATTTTGGAGATTTTCTATGTTTGATGTCCCTAATTTGTTAAACAAATAAATAAATCCTTATCGACTTATAGCTATAATATAGGAAAAAGTAAATAGCTGTGGTTGTAAATTCTAATTGGCTGATCCATTAATTTTTGATGAAAGGCAACTTATTAAATACAGTTGTAAGGAAAAGCCGATAGTCAACGGACCTAAATTGTTAGTTTCAGCAAAATCAACCTTCAAAATTTTAGAAGGTTCCCTGTGTATGACATTGGACCAGGTCACCAATATAGCGCATCTCCACTTTTTTCTAAGCGAATTTCAACTTTTAACACAAATATTATGCTAATCGTGGTCTGATATGGAATTAATTCAGACCACTTCTTGTTTGTCAAGTTTATATCCCAGTATAAATATATCGGCAGATTGCATAAAATATAACAGTATCTGTGGACACGAAGCATCAGGTATACCGTCGACAACTAAAACCCAAAAATGTACAAATTCGTAAGTATTACACATTTTTCTCTATTTTCCAATAATGTAAATTTTTTCCTAACTTCGCTTGCCGAAATTATTCAAATTATTTTTTTAAATCTAAACAGTGGCAGCTCATGATAATTTGAATATTTTTGAAACTACCTGTTATATTATTATATACGTATATATGGTATCATATAAGTAAAACTATTTTAAACAGAAACATTAAGAAAATGTTATGCGAGTCACTCATACTCAGTAAAATCGCTTACTGCAACATAGTTTATTATCCCTGTCTGGATGAAATCACAAAATACAGACTGCAAAAAATTATTATATATTTATTAATTCTTCTTTTACTATTATTCTTCTTTTTACTTTTCTTTTTCAGTTTTTTTTTATTTTATTTTGAAGGTAGTAATAATCATTGACATTTATGGTTAAGTATAAATGGCCATTGGCCAGACTTCGTCATTTGTAAGGATACATAATTATGTATGTGTTACAATAAAGTCCAATGAATTGAATTGAATTGAATTGAATTGAATAAAGTACCTAGACAAACTCTAAGAAATGATTCATTATGTGATTCTAAGATAAAACGTTTAAATTGAACAACAATGCTTTGCTACTGTTAAACTTTTTGAAATAACGATCTAGTTGAAATTTGTCGAACCATTAAAGATATAATGCTGGACACTTAATATAAATAGAATAAGAAAAACGGATCAATAATACCCAAATTCCTTAAAGAAATATTTTACGGAATTCAATTCGGCAATTTTTGGTTTTGATAAAGTATTTTTCGTAATTAATTATGCTTAGATTACCGGTGATACGTCAATACATCACGATTTTTTACGAAGAACAAGGAATGTTCAATACAAGTTTTGGACCTCCAATCTTAAAAACGCAGCATTATTGGACATATGTTTATATCTGCATACATTTTTCTTCTTAGAATCAGCAAAAGAATCATGCCTTGAATTTTAACCAGATATTTTATGGACATTCCATATACATATACAACGAGCATATTTATATATACCTATATTATGTATCCATCGAAGAAAGAGACCAAACCTAAATATATTCACGTATACTCCACGTGATCGCGTTCCAGAACGCCGAGCACGTTACAGGGCCGTACTAAGAATAAATGATTTTACAACACGATCAAAAAGTATGCAAAATTATTGCAGGCATGTATAGGGTCCAAACGTAAAGCTTGTAATTAATGTATTTTTTTAATTTAACTTTTATGACCAAAAAGAAAACAATTGTCTATTGTTGTTTTTAGTAGAAGTGTTTTATCAAGAAATTATACTCGAAATGTGTCGTAAGGCGCATTTATAAAGCAGGCTTTTAAACAATGTCTTGACACACGAAACCGATAATTGCATATTCATACAAATACAGCTAACCACCGCTTGAACAGGGACGTCAGTGTGCAAACACTTAATTTTAATATTAGACTAAAAAATGAATAGTTAGGTGGAGTTGAAAGAAAAAGCATTTGAATACATAATAATATATACTAAATATTATACAAAAATGTATTGTACAGACATTTTACCTCTAAAACCGGAAATACATATATTTGAAAATGAAAATCATTCTACATCTGAGGCCGTGGAACTCCCACTGTCATCAAGATTTATGATTGAAGGGGTAACGTGAGTAGCAATGATACCGTCTAATTCCCACATTTTAGGTTCGACCTTTTCTTTTACATGCTGAGAAATATTTTTAAGGTCAGAAAATTTAAAACATTTATTTTCTGCTGCAACATAGTTTTTATGTCTGCCCAAATGAGCTCAATCGGATTGAGCTCACAATGGTAAGGAGACAGTCGTAAAACAGTTTAATTTTGTTGTTTGGCCATTTCATCAATTATGTTCAGATTATATTTATTTTTATGCGTCTTGACAAATTGTAACAATTCTGCCTTAAGCCTTGTATCATCATAATCAATCTTTTTATTTTTAAGTCATTCTTAATTGCTGATTTTTTTGTTGACGTTGTTGGAATTTTCTCTAATTTTCTCGTGTGGAATGAAGCATTATCTAATACTATAACAGAATTATCTTCAAGCTTCGGTAGAGTATTTGAGAACCAATTTTAGAACGAGGTTCCAACCATTTCTTCATGGGAGTCTCCCGTTTCTTTGGATTCAAATGCCCATAAAGCATTGGACACAAATCCATCTTCATTACCGTAGTGGCAAATTATCCATCGCTTACATTTTCCTAAAAATAACTCCTTTTGGACACTTTAAAACCGCTCCTATTGAAAGCATTAAAAACCCAACCAAATTATTGCTTGATTTCTTACCTCGATATAGTTTAAGCATGTACAACAACAAAAATAAAATATAATTTTAGTTGAAATTCCTCGTCTCACAAGTATTGAAAAATATGTAGGTGTCAGCTTTGCAAACAGTGTCCTGAACACTTGAGTCACTCCTTCCTTGCATTCCGTATTTATAAATGTTGATAATTATTTGTTTTTCGCTTACGCTAAAATGAAGCCTTTTAGCTCTTTTTTAGGCGGTGTGCAGCTTATATCAACAACTTCATCAGCTATATCCGTATCAGGCATTTTGAGTTCTACGAAATTAAACTGACAAATCTAATAGGCACACAGTAATACCAGTATAAATCTGATGCCAACTCTGTACTGTACGTCTCCCACTCCACCCTCTGGTTTGTCATTGGTTTTGTGTAAGGGCTCGACCTATTCTGCCCAATAACAGTTATGCTCCCTCTATCTTGAAATATATCAGTGTACTGATCACGCAATAATCACGCGATGATCACTGTTTTGGTTTAGTCTCTTGGATACATACATACGTAATAGTTATTTACATTGCTCGAAATTTCTGTGGATTTTGGTTACATTTTTAAAAATCTGGTAGTGTTTTATACTTACACATCTTTAGGTACATTCTGTCTTCAAAATAATATTTTTGTATAGGTTTGCACAGTGTTTTTTGTAGTAATAGCTTTTGATATTCGAAAACAACCTGTAGAACATAGCTTTTTTCGAAAAAAGAGTTTACATCAGACTTTCTCAGCGATGTTCAATTTTTCTGTTTTTTTACATATTTGTAATTCTGTATGAAAATATTAACGAAAACTTTTACTACATAACTCTATACTCTTTTTATACCTAATAAATTGTGGTATCTCATCTCAACCAATTTAAATAAATCAAACAGCATCAAAGTTTGATTATCTTGTTTAAAAGACGTAAGATGAAATAGGTTTGAGAAGCTACGAAGTTGCATAAATGATAGAAATTCGATAAACAACAAACGAGAAAAAAGTATTTTTTATAGATGTTATTTAAAATAATTTCTGACACTTTTTGTGCAATCCGAAGTTTTCGCCTTCTTTCTTATTATGAAATTTTAGTGCAATGATACGTGTAAATAATATCTATTTCTTCGTAGGTCTGCCTGTTCGCCTTCTTGGCCGCCGCTAGCTCAGCCCCGGCCCCAGCCCCTAAGCCCGGCTACCACTTCGACCATATCGACGCCCCGTTGATCGAAACCGCCCCCGTCATTGCGACCGCCCCCTACGTACACGCCGCCCCCATTGTGCACGCAATTGAGACTCCAGTCGTCGCAGCTGCCCCATACCATGCTGTACATGCAGGTGAGGGTCTGATTTTGTGTCAAGTAGAACGACTCGGTATTTCTTAATCTTTGCTTTGATTACTGAATTTTGCAATGAGAAGTTCTCTCCTATTTATTTATTGGTCACATTATATGGATGCAGAAACACCTAGAGTAAAAAAGAGCGAGCATTTACAATAAAATAAACGAAGGCACATGAGACATAAATCACAAAAGAAACTAGATATTGTAATTTGAAAATTCCTCAACAGAGTAGAAGGTAGAAGGATTAAAAATTGCATAAAATTCAGCTCAGTCTGAGGTAGTTTGTTGTGGCAGTCTCAGGGCGCCAGCATGTCGTGTATCTTTGATTGGATTGTGTAGCAATTCGAGTTTCTATGAATATGTAGCAAATTATAAAGTATAAATATACTTGATGGCAACGGTAGTATCCCCAACATTTGGAAGAGAGGTTTGTACTATTTAGTAGCACATTACCTAACTTAGCACTAACAACGTGACTTGATCCTCCCCAAAACATGACGTCATACGTCAGATGCTAGTAAGATATTCCGAAATATGCATTTAAAAGAGCTTTTTTGTAGAGATACGCTATAACTGTCGCAATACGAGTACTGTTTGTATAGTCTACACGAGCCGCCCATCAATGTTTATTTCAAGAAGAGACAACGTTTCGTTTTCATTCAACTGATTTTTTACTGACAGAATGGTCTTTTGAGATTTGTCTCTATTACATTTTAAACAGTTCGCCGCAAACCATCTTTCTTATTTGAATTCCGTGTTAATATACAGTGAGCACAGTGAACTAAGGTAGTGATGCCAGCAAAACACACGCAATTTATTCGTGATAAATAATGGAAGATGTCATTCAAATATATTACAAGAAGTAACGGCCCTAAAATAGAGCCTTGCGTTACATCATATTGTAGCGTTTTCCTGGGTTCTTCTGGGTGTGAATTAAAACACTGGATTCCACAAAAAGAAATGCATTTATTTAACTTCATAGAACATTTATGTACACCACTATTTAATTCTTATGTCGCCATTGACTGCACTATACTCCACTCCGCTCTGCTACTCTACCGTATTCAGTACTCTGCTTCCATCTCCCGGCCGCCGAGTTATATATAATCCCCATTGCTGCTTCGAGAAAGGTCTGATGAAACACAAAGCGACATCTAGAATATTGGAGGTCGCTTCGCGTCGATCTAGAAGGTGAGTCACTACCACGGTCCTCACAGACGCCGCCAAGCGGCTTGTGCGGTCGTGGTTCGCGTAAAAGCAGAGCTCGGCCATGAAGCTCTGGCGAGTAGGAGACTCGCCCAACAGATGGCGCCAACAGTACTATTTGTCACAATATTCTGTTGATCTATAGCTGGATTTTTCGCCATCCACAGACACTATTTGACAACGATTTACCAGATAAGAATGGAAAAAGTCCGCGAATACCGTAAAATTACAACTTTTCTAGCAGTATTTTATGCAACACGTAGTGAAAGGCTTTTGAGAGATCACAAAACGTCGAAGACGTGAGCTTACCCTCCTCAAAAAGTTCGACGGCACATCGCACAGTCTGCACTAGAAAGATAACTAAAGAAAATTAACGATTTACGTCCGCGTCGTTCGACTGTTCATAGTAGAATAGTATTATACGTAAGCTATACATCTGAGTTCTAGAATCGATCAATTCGGGATTTTTCTTAAACAGGTACACACAATATTTTGAATCATACATTATTTCATTTGGCATTTTCACACTGTTTTTCAACAGCGCCAGGGAACTAATAAAACCAGAACCAACGACAACATTCAGAAGAGGATTTGTCTACAACAAAAATAAATGAAACGGGGATAAAGGCAGCAAAGTTTTGATCGGTAAAGCAGTTGAAACGGAATAGCTTGATCGGATAAAATCAATTGAGCCACTCACTAAATACAAATTAAAAGCCTGTAGAGTAATATATTTATGTTAAAACTTTTATCTTTCAGAACCCATAATAGCTGCACCAGTGGTTCACCCCGCAGTTCCTATTGGAGGATATGCCGCCAATTACGTAGCACCTTCTTACGCTTACCACGGAGATTTGGGACATCACTATTGGTGATCAAGTGTCATGCCGCTATTAGTTGAATAAACGAATGTGTATGTGAATTTAATTCTTATTGTATCCCTTTTCACACGTTCACTGCCAGATCATGTCCTAACTGACTTTATCAGTCACATGTACCTGGTACGAACCATACCTGTTCGTGCGGTACATGTCACATATATCTGGGAAGCACCCTCAATAAAATGAGCTGTAATTTGTTAGAACGTCTTAAAACTAAAACTAATTATAGAAAACTTCGTTAAACGGACACTCAATATGAATTTGCTTCGGCCGCACATAGATCGAAAAAAGCTGAATTAAATGCCAGAGCCAAAAGTAGCACTTTAGTTACAAGTAAAAAGAGCCATACTATTGGTACAATTAGCGCTGGATGGATACTGACCAAAATCGCTCATCATCATGGAGGTGGAAACCTTGCCTTGGAATGTACGAGATGCGGTGTCGCCAAGCGAACTAATGATGCAATTTTGCAGAATTTGTGGCGAACCTGTCCTTTCATTCGGATCCGGAGTCGACTCTAAACAGATTCGACACAACCCACAAATTTGAACACTCAAAAGAAAACCATTATTTGGGCGTAGTGAATCAACTAACGCATATTTTCAACATGCATTTTAATCTCGAGGAACTGGTGAAACATACTGGCAGATTGCCGGTTTCTATCTCTTTCTAACATCTGTGTATATGCACACGTCTCTCTCGTACACAGTTAACTCAAGCCGTCAGAAAAATTTTGTTTTCAGTGTATATCTAACCAAGCTAATAAATCGGGCACATGGCGAGGATCACGTAGGTATCTATAACGTTTGAATACAACTTGTAGTTTACGAGGTATTGCTTTCGCCGCTGGGTGAAATATGGCACAATGAGTCTTCGTCGGAAAGGAAGACACTAGACCAGTCTCATGTGAACCCTATTTTACGAGTATCCGTCACGTTTTGGCGTCTACTGAGAGAAACATCCGACCAACAAGTGATATCTTTGTATTAGTCTGTACCGTTGTCAATAATGAATCGGGTGAAAAACTAGTAAACTTGCTTGTAACATTTTTTTTTGTATTTAAATGAGCTTTCCTAAATAAAACAGCTTCCAGTAAGTACAAAATGAATCTGTAGCATATAAGAAACAAAAACAAAATACGGCGTTGACGGATCCGTCAGAATTATGTCATTTGTCAATATGGGGAATTTTTAAATTTCACTAAATAATCAGCTGTTATTCTACTGTAATAGATATTCGTGGAAAAACAATATCTGGTAAAGCAGTGAACGTTTTAAGCATTGTTACTGCAGCAGCAGATTGTATTTATTAGCAACGCTATGGAAACGAGATAGCCGAAATGTCGAGGAAAATATATATGTCAATTTTAAGCACTTTTTGATAACCAACTACACCCTATTCGCAAGGTTTTGAGCACCGGAAGAAAAGCACACTTTTGACGTTGCAGACGGATTACTTGGCTTTATTTCCGAATGCAACAGGTACGTCAAACATTTACGAACGCGTCCCTGTGAAGAAAAGAAATAAACACAAATGAACTGTCTGTTGAAAAAAATATAAACATAAAATACATTGTCTTTAATTTGTACTTTGAAAAAGGGCACGTGGTGGTCCTAACGTCAGTAAAAAGTAATTCATACGTACGTAATTTCCTCTGGCAAGATAATCATGAAGTTAAGTTCTGGCACCTGCAAAACCACATGGTAAGTTTCGGGTGTTAGATTGAGAGAACCAGTCCTCAAAATTTGTTCCACTTTAAATAAAACACAGCTTATAGAATGTATATTATTATATTTGCAAAAATTAACTTGATGAAAGAATATAAATTATCCTAAATCCCTCTAGGGACTTGAGGTAGGCACATATTATAATAAGAGTCCTTTTTCCAAAATGAAACAGGTTTCCAACCGCACCATCCCTTTGACTGGATTGTATGAAGATCTTCACTGCCTGTGTAGTGGGGATCCAATATTAGGAAATAAATATTACCAGTTTCAGGGTTATAGTCCACACCCAGTATTGTGTGGGCTAAAACACCACCTCCTAAAAAATATTTAGTGCGAATATATTTATTCAGAATATGGACTCAATATAGGCAAAGAAATATTATACATTTAGAATCAAAATACGAAAGATTTGAGTAGTTTTCAACATTTCATTGGCAGTTCGAGATGTAACCAAAGCTTTGCGGTCGGCTCTTGGACTATTTCTAGTTACAAATAAAAACAGCGGAGTACTGCGTACCTGCGTACCGCCCTTGACTACCGAGGCGGTGTTGCCAAACTGGCATAAAATATTTAAAAAATGCTACATTTATACTAAGCAGGTTACGTCAAACAGAATACTAAACATATTGTCTTGAAGAAAGGTTGACTAGATAATAGACCGGCGATTGGAGAGCTCTATGTTGAGGTTATGTTACAAATATCTATTTGCATCAATATGTTCCTGCTTTTGATTCATATTATCTGGTTTATCAGCCTGAAATTTCCTACAATTCAAAAAGAAAGCATAGCCTCACAATAGGATAGCGCTGACGCTGACACGTAACAGTAGAAATCTTCAGAAGGAGAGAAAATACTATGAAAATCAAGGCCATAAAGGCGTCCTACAACTGTGAGGACGACTGACGATACTAGCTACCCCGATCGGGTTCCGGAGTATCCACCATCAGAAATTCATTGCTGGAAAGAAACATGTAATTCACGAATGATATGACTACTAACCTATCATAATAGGCGATCCTTGATTCTTGAAATGATCGACTAGCTCTGGACCTTTTTGACTCATTTCTTCGCCAGAAGATACGTACAAAATCTTGCATGTTATGCCTAATAATGTGTCTAATACAAAATTTACTTCCGTTGAACCAATCCACTGTTTTGAACCTAAAATTAAAATTAAAAAAAATATATGAATATTGGGCCTTAGATACCTAGCATGTCGTTTATGTCTCGATGGGACATATACCAATTTGTTTTCCGAAGGAATATCGATATTTTGTTTTTCGATAAAACAAAAACTAGTAGATAAAACGCCAGGTGATCTTTACCTATGAAGCTACTTGGTTTGTCCTTGATATCGACTAAGCACTTTTGTATTTCATGGAATGTAGGCACCTCTCTATCAACATAACCCTGTAACTTGAACCATGATGCCAAAGTTTGCAATGATCTGTACGCACAACCCCAACCAGAATCATCCATACCATTTTGACAGTAATGATAATACTCGTAGTTTCCTCTTACCGAGTACGTATTTCCTCCTGAAACAACCAAAATCACAATACAATACGGATCACTTCAATGTGCAAACACGCAACTTTCAGTAACCTATTCACTGTCACCCTGCACTGCTGTCAAAGAGTAGTTATACAGAGACAAGACAGATAAGGCAAATAAGAGATGTAACCAAAAACATGGTGTCCACAAAGCAGATAAATGCGGTGTTGCCAAATAGACGATTTCGTTGTTCATCATTCGTAGTGAAAGCATTTTTTGTTAAAATTCACTGTTGTTTGAAGATTAATTTATTCATGGTAAGGATATTTATCATCCGTTTGTAGTCCTCAAAACATATTTTCTTCAAAAAAGTTTTAAATCACACTTTTTGCCAGTGGTATCCGCATCATGTAAACAGAAGTTACTCTCAAAACCAAAACAAAGCTATTTAACTTTTACCCCTACGCGGAATATTACAGAATTTGTTTTAGTAACAAAAGAGGAATAGTTGGTATACTTGACATAGTTGCCATTTATCTAGACAGCCTGGCCTTAAGATGACATGTTTACTTATTTCGCATGATTTTTTGACGTGAAAAATCGTGACAGGAACTGAACTCTACGCTGCTCAGTATAAATGCAGCATTTTCTAAACATTTTATGTCAGTTTGACAACAGCGCCGCGGTAAATGTAGATCAAATCACGCCAAAGGACGTTCCGCTCATAGATGGATGTTTTTTTTTTTGTAATCCAGTCGAACAGCCGTCCGCAAATTTTTTGTTACATCATGGCATACTGATATATGTTAAAATCTAGTCAAATCTTATATACAAAATACTGCAGAAAAGACCCAAGGTCAATGGAGAAAAACTGGCTGATTATAAACACATTTAGTGAAATGTTTTGATATAACTACTCTTTGCTGCTGTCTTGCACAGTTCCAATTTGTCATCTTCATATAATTCCTGCTTCCTACTACTTACCATTGTCAATCACCTTGACACCTATATGAGGATTTATCAATGGACCATTCCTTTTATTCTTATTATTGATAAACTTGTTGGCACGTCTGAACATTGGAACATTTTCATTCAACATACACTGCTGGTGAAGACTCAACCTTTCTGTTACTAAAATAAGATCTCACATATGAAAAGTACAAATGCAGCCTAAAGGTCATTTTAAGGTCAAAAGTCAGTCTAACCTTGACATGAGCTGATCTATATTGCAGCCAAATCTTCCTCTTACCTAAATCTTCATCAGACTTTGCAGCAGGATATAATAAAGTTAAGAAATGCCCACATTCTGAAGGGTAAAAGTGATAAGGATCAATCTTTAAGCTAGTGTTCTCTTTGAAACATGCCAATAACTTCTCCTCATATTGAGAAAGATACCTCAGCAAGGCTTCTTGTAAAGTTCTGTATACATTTGACAGATGTGCATCTGATGATATCATTGCCAAGGTATCTATTTGGCAATAAGTGTTTATTATTTTCTTTATTCCTAAAAAACATTTTTCTTTTGATTCAATAGAATAGTTTTTCCAAAATGATAAACATGTGAGAAAATTATTAAAAATATCTTATGTATCATCATCATCTTACTTTTATCTAAAATACATAATGGCGCATGATTTGCTGATGCTTCTGTTCCACCCACACTCATCTTTTGCAAAAATTCAACAAGAAGCACAGTAGCAGAGGTAACCTTCTCTTTTTTCTTCCTATTTGGTTCTTTCTGATCTTCACTAAGACTTTCAAATAGTTGCTTGATTGTAATGTTCCCTTCTTCAGCACCACAAATCACATTTGAATGCAAAACATAAGTACATAGGTCTGTTATCTTGAAAGCTGTACTTTCTGAAGAAACATGACTACGCAAATCTTGGAACATCTCTTGTATGGTTGTTTTAGAGGCCTCACATATTAATGGTATGCTACCTACAAGCAAAATAACAGGGAAACAAAACTCGTGGAACTCTGTAACTTACCTTTCAACTGCAAAATCCAGTACTTTGAGAAGATGTCACCATCACTCACTATTACAAATGAGGATTCCTTTGATTTCTTGTCAAATACCATTAGCTTTTTTGTGTCCTGATTGCAAAAAACATGCAATTTGCCATCAACTTTGGAATGTGTATTAATTATATCCACTGCAAATGTTGCACAATACTGTATAGGAGTAGGGAAAACGTTTGATATGCCTTGTGTCTTATCATTAGGCACATTCTGTTGTAGCCCGAGAATAACAACATTGTTTTCCTCAGAAATACCGTATAATCTTCCTGTACATGGTCTGTCAGCATATGTTAGCCTCTGAAACGAAAATCAACGTAATCCACTTCTAAAAGATTGGACGATGTGGCATACTTGGATAACAGTTTCAGAAATTTTTATTTTGTTGTCCATTCTTGCGCTATATATTTAATAATGGCAACTACACATTACAAAATTAATATTCAGTTACACAAACATGATTTCAAAATCAAAACCACAAAACACGGTAACACACCACACATCATGCCTGTAGTCAAAAAAGTCAATATGCTTTTGACAGTAATGAATGTCATTCAATTGCAAGGTTGCCGTTTCCTCACCATGGCTATCAATAATGAGTCTCCCACACGATGCTTCCAACGTTGTATACAACGTTGGACACCCCACAATTGGCAAGTGTGTCTCCTACACGGTGGGATGAATTTTTTAGTCTCGGACGTTCGACGCATGGTGGTGCTATGGTCTGTCCGCAGCGACCAAAACTCAAGTCTGTCAGAAGCCTCAAAAATGTCAACGAAGTTTGACCGTTTTTGGTTTGATTTTCGACGATCGTTTCAAAGCCACTTTACCGATTTTCAAAAACTGCAGAGCTTTGTCTTCATTTTCATATGAGTAACCTAGGGTCAAAATTTCATCGAATTCCTGAGAGTTATCATTTATTTAATCTTTTTCAATAGTTATGAAATAGAAGTTAATATATTTCACAACTAGTCTTGCATTCCAACAGGACATTATAATGAAACAACTGTAAGCACGATAATATATAATTTACTAAAATCCATATCCTTAGGCCAGCTATAACTCACCTGAAAAGTACAAAATATTAGCAATATGAAAAAAGTGTTATGGCAGTCTATGCTTTGTATGAATACATTCTCGTCAAAAGTCAGTTACGGAACATACATTTTTATGAATAGTTAGGTATTCAAATCAAAATAGTTCCCACATACCACTACTTCATCTCAATCACAGCAAACAAATAAATGTTTATCGCCGCTACTGCTTCTATCCTAAAACCATCAAACTATCAAACACAACATGACATCTCGTGTGGGAGCACATGCAATACGTCAGCGCTCTCCCTCACGATGTGGCGAATAGCCATGTGTCCAACGCTGTAAGGCATTCGCCACATCATGTGGGAGCGGTTTAATGCCAAATCTCCTTTCATATTTTATATTTATCTCTTTCAGTACATAACGTGCTCAATATTTTAATTATCTTTTTCAAATAAACTGACCATGAACGGAAAATATAAAGTTGGAATCAGCTTTAACAAAGAGCTGCTGCAGTCCTTGAAAAACGACGAAAATTCTGGTGTAGAACTCAAAAGAAGTCAGTACCATCTATGTATTCATCCTATTCAGTTGAATAACTTCAGCAAATCTATAAAACAGGTTCTCAATCAAGGGATTGCAAAATATAACAAAGAGTAAGGCATTAGTCTTCTAAATTCATTCAAATGTAGCTAATTCTTAATTATTCAAGGGAACCTCTAAACGAGCAGTATCTTTGTTGCAATATTTAGCTATAATATTGGCAACTATAGTCCAGCTCTTATGACCATATTCCAGACACGTGGCTCAGCTATGTACATATTGGTAATTTTGAAAGAAGAGAATGTGTAATTATGTCACCAGGTCATACTAAAAATATTACCATCTGCTGTTGCTGGTGACTTTATTGCAGCAAAAATATTGCCCACTTAGAAATACCTTACCTATACAGAATGTTATTCTACATGTACGACTCTTCAGCATAAAACCACCGAAGTCTTGGATCCCTTCAAGTCACCTAAATAGACTCATTGTTTTTAGTTTAGAGGGGATACTCTTAGGCTTCGAGAAAACCCAACTGTTAAGTAGAGAAGGGTATATTCACAATGATTCCTGTTACATACATTTGGATATCAAAGCAGACTTCTATGTGTTTACACCAGAAATTGGTAAAGAGATGAAGGGGATAGTGAATAGAAAAAGTAAAGACCATTTAGGGCTTCTCTTGTACAATGCCTTGAATGTATCAATACTGAAACCTAAAGATAATGAGGAATGGATTGGGGAATTTGTAGACATAGGATGTGAGGTGTTGTTCAAGATAACCTACTTCAGTCTCACTTCTTTTATGCCCTATATTAGAGGCGAAGTCATGTAAGTTTTGCATCAGGTTTCTTATATCTCTTCATTGATTAACATGTTCTCTAAGAAAAATGGCCAATCTTATGCTGTAATTTCAATTATCACAGCCATGTTGCTAAGGATTGCAGGAGGCTTGCTGAAATGTCATGATTTTGGAAGCACAAATTTTATCTACTTTGGAGCCCATAAACCGTTTGTAATTATTTCTAAAATTTTATTATTCTTAGAATTTTTGAACATTAGAAAAGGAAATCTCATAACCTGTGGTAACAGTTCAAGAGGTGGGCAATGCTGGTGCTTAAAGACAATGGTTGAATGGTATATAGTTGTAAATGTAAGTGATCAGTGGCAACATGGTACACATGCCTGCTCTTGTGCAGGTACAGCTTTCAAATGAATTTGGTGGAATATGTTAATCAAAGATTTTATGTACTAACTATCAGATATGATCAACACAGAATTATTAGTGATGTTTATGAGTGAGGTAGAGAGAAACTTGTATGTTAAAGCGAGAGCGCACACTTCATTCGCACTCTCGCTCTGACATTTATGTCTATCTCTCTCATATTCATTAAATGTGCGATCCTCAATGATTCTCTGCCGATCCTGTATATAGCTTTCTTTTTTTTCAGATCAGTATTAACTGATGTGAGCACCATTACAAAAACAAATATAGATGATACAGAAAAAAAGCAAAAGCCTAAGAAAAGGAAGCAGGTTGAGCCTATTGAAGAAGTCTCTAAAAGTAAAAGAAAAAAAGTAGATAACTCCTCAACTGATGAACCTGAACATGGATCTATCAAAAAATATTCAAAGAGTTTGATTAGTGATATAGATCAAACTCCCTCTGATGTAGCTAACAATAACTCTTCCAAACAGAAATCAAAAGGCCATGAAGATAGTTCGATACAAAACTCTACTGGTTATACAACCTTTGAGGAAAACCTCCTTGAAAATGCGGACATTGTGGAAGAAACCGAAGAGAAGAAATCAAAGAAATATAAGCAAATAAAAAGACGTTCTTCAGAAACTACTGTGGTTCCTTCTATCGCCCAAAGAAACAGTATGTTTTCTTCAGTTGATAGTCCTTTGATGAAAATTGTAGGAGATGATAGTACAACATTGAACGCAGATAGCGAAGATTTAACTTCTACATTCAAAATAGAGACTTTGAAGGAAAAAAATAAGACTAAGGTCAAAAAAGATAAACGAAAAAGTATCGCACTGTTGGAAAAAGATATTAGTGATGAAGCATACTTAGAGGATACACAGCTAAAGGTGACAGTTAAAGAAGAAAAACCTAGTACAAAGAAAAATAAAAGTAAAAAACATGATAAGTCCATAGAAAGTACTACTTTCAATATACCAATTATGATTAAAGAGGAACCTACTTTAGATGATATTCCAGTTAAGAAAAAATCAAAGAAGCATAAAGATAAGAGTCATGAAGATGAAGCATGAATCTAAATTGAAATACTATCTTTGTATAAACTCATCACTTTACATGCTTGAATATATATTTTGAGGGGAATATTTCTTTTTCATTGACTTTTCTTCACGCCTACTGGCTACTGAGATATATAATTTTTGCATGTACACCACAAAAAACCATTCCACTCATTTAAGTCTGTCTGTCTGTCCGATAATCATATAACCGCCTTTAACTTGAGGCGTATCGCTCAAATTCTGATGAAATTTTTACATACTGCTACTATGACAGGGACGAAAAAGCTTTGCAATTACTCAGAATCAGTCTGGTGGCAGCCAAGCAAAAAGGAAATAATTAAAAACCGCTCAAACTTCGTTCTTGGACGTTTCAGAATATCCTGATCATTTTTGAAAAATTTTTAGAGGAAAAAAATTTGGGAGTGGAGGTGGGAAGGGTATATCTCAATTTTTTGAAATTAGTATATTTGTACACTCGCAACCTTGGTAACTACGTATTAGACATATTTGACACATCTTGTATGAACCTGTTTGACTGACTTTTTCGCAGAGGATCTAGTCTGTGTTGAACATAATCCTTTTTGAACTGATAACAGCCTTGCGTGAGAACTGCATAGTCGACCTACTTGACGACATTTTTGTAATAAATCAACATTAGGGTGTGAACAGACCAGATTTCCATCAAAAGAAATTAGATAAACTAGTATTTTGGAAGTAAAAAAGTGAGAAGCTTTTACCGTTGTCATTTAAATTAATCAAAATATGAATTATTGCTGTAGGTATCCTATTTCACGAGTATCCATCACGGTAGAATGACAGCTTGTAATATCTCAAAATTCCCCATATCGACACAGGACACATAATTCAGATGGATCTGTCAATGTCAGAGGTCGTCAGAGCCCTATTTTGTTTTTTGTACGCTACAGATTCATTTTGTACTTGATAACAGTTCTTTCATTTAGAATAGTTCATTTGCATACAAAAAACAAAATGCTACAAACAGGTTTTACTAGATTTACACCCTATTCATTATTGCCAACGTCGCAGACTAACACAAAAATGTCGCTTGCTGATCAGCTGGTTACCTCAGTAGACGTCAAAGCGTGAATATCTTTTATACTTCCTTGATACTAATCATATTCTATTTTTTGTTTAGCTAAAATAGGTACTTTAAGTAAATCTTAGGACTAGTTCTGCTGTAGTATTCATCGTTTTTCCTTTTTAATTCAAAACCTGGCCTTCGAACACAATTCTAGCTTCTTGGAATAAGAAAAAAATCTTACACTGATCTATTACATTTATTTACATAAAAATATACAACTCTTTTAATCACAGCACCAGCAATATGAATATATATTATGGTAGTTATCTACAACTATGTGAATACTAACATTCAGTACATTACATATAACCACTTACTAAAATATAATATCCTGGAAAGTCTTAGCTATACAATTAGAATATCCCTAAACATTAATTTGTCTATTATCACAACAATAGTTCACACCTATGAATAACAGATCATTAAGAAACCAAATTTGAGCTTACAAGAATTAAAAAAGACATTACACATTTTTATATCGCACACAAAAAACATGGCACAAAAACACACGGTTTATCAGATTCCCTACAGTTTTATTAGTTATTAGCCTTTTTTAGCTACCTACTTTTAGTTCTTATCGCCTCAGTTTTATAAGTTAATTTCCACATCAACCTGATATCTAACTTTTTGCCAAAATATATATCTGCCCCAAAAACTGTGAAAAGCAGCAAACTTTCCCAGAGAGTAGGGCGAATCCTAAAAATTCACAGAAATCCACAAAAAATCATACCAAATATGCAAAATTTGGATTTTGGATTCTCAGGAGGTCACTCACTCGGAACAATCTACTTTTGGATATCATCCAAACACCCTGTATATGCATTTGTTTCCATAACATCGCACCGTCATGTTTTCGTCGCCTTCGGAGAGGGATCGGGTGGTGTCGGCAGATCGCCGAATACAAATGTAGCAAAAACAGAGCGTGCTTTGGAAGTAAAAAACGGAGACTTGTCCGAATATTACCGGTATTTTACTATTTTATTAGTTCTTGCTAGACGGGCATTTGAAAAGGACGCGCGGGGCTTATAATGTTTCGGCTGTGTTTTTCGGATTTGTGAGTGCATCTTCTCGATAATTGTGCAATGTGGAAAATTATGGATTATCCAGCGCCTTGGTATCGGTGAGGAATCTTTACTTGTGTTTGGTTTGTAGATAAAGGCACATTCATTTCAGGAACGCCATTTCTTACTTCGACCTAATAGACCTTTTTTCAAAACCTTCGAATTAACTTATCGTTTTTTGATCGGAGTACAGCTTGAGGGAAATAAAATCGAAACTGTGTTTCACAAGTTTTCATGGTTTTAAAAAGCAGGTTAAAATTACATCCGTGTACGCTGCAACTACATGTTGCTTTTACTGGATTTTTTTTATTCTCATGTAAACATACGAGTAGGTACACATCTTTCTTTCGTCACATTCGGAGAGGGATCGGATGGTGTCGGCAGATCGCCGGATAAAAATGTAGCAAAAACAAAGCGTGCTTTGGATGTAAAAAACGGAGACTTGTCCGAATATTACCGGTATTTTACTATTTTATTAGTTCTTGCTAGACGGGCATTCGAAAAGGACGCGCGGGGCTTATAATGTTTCGGCTGCGTTTTTCGGATTTGTGAGTGCATCTTCTCGATAATTGTGCAATGTGGAAAATTATGGATCATCCAGCGCCTTGGTATCGGTGAGGAATCTTTACTTGTGTTTGGTTTGTAGATAAAGGCACATTCATTTCAGGAACGCCATTTCTTACTTCGACCTATTAAAACTTTTTCAAAAAATGAAATCGAAACTGTTTCACAAGTTTTCATGGTTTTAAAAAGCAGGTTAAGATAACATCCGCATACTCTGCAACTATACATCATCTTGCTTTTACTGCATTTTTTCTATTCTCATGTAAACATACGAGTACACATCTTTAATTCATCAGTTATTTATTTTTTGAACTGGAATATTTGACACATATAATGGCTTAATGGAGAGAAACTGTTTACATTTTCAAACTTGGAATGTTAAACTTGTCGCAACGGTCAGAACTAGTCTATTTCCTCACAAGAATAGTACAGTTGGAAAACCAAGTGAAGTTTTTGAAATACATTTTTTAAGCCACAATCATTACAAATTTGCGGTTATGCGCTTAGCCGCAAAAATACATTTTTAAATTTACTATTTTTCATCTTTTTAGAACTTTTTTGCAATAATAAATTAACTGTTGAAGATCCTTTTATTGATTGTAATTCTCCTGTGGCCCATGCATCATGCAGTTATCCTAGTTTTTAGTATTCGTGAAAAGTGTTTCCTTTTTCGTTTTCGACGTATAAATATTTCTATTCACAGATGAGCGACCTTTTTACTTACGTTTACCAATATTTCGTTGTAAATAAATCTATTTTTTTCTGAAATATCTACTAGACATTCTGGTCCGCGTCTGGTCAGTAACCCCCAAAATCGGTTGTGAATTACATATATCCAGCTACTTCGTCTGATGATATTTGTTGTTGCTTTTATTCTGATACTATACCTAGTTGTTTCTTATACACAAGCCGCCCAATAGAAAGTGTTTCCTCGGAAATAGACCCAGACTTTATGGGGCAAAAAGTAGGCCCAAAAGTAACATGAAAAGTTTTTTATAATTATGTGTCCTAAAATACCCTCACCGATATACAGGATGTTGCAGTTTGAATTTCGAAATCGAAAAATATTTTCGGATCGTGTTGAGAACTTAAAATTTTGTATACAGGGCGATTCACAGTTCGTGACCAACAGTAAAACATCATACCCAGGACCGCATTTTAAGGGGGGTCTTGTATGTAACATTTTTTCCTCTAGGGCTTCATTAAAAAGATGATGTTTAAAAATAAAAAACATTTTTTAATATCTTCAAAAGAATTGTCCACATTCAAAAGATTTTACTTAAAATTAACGGACACCAGTGGCGGAGATACAGGGGATTAGTGACATTATTTTTCAGACAATGATGGATTGGTAGAAACAGACCCGTACATTGGCCTGTGAGGTCGCCTGATTCGAACCCCCTGGATTTATTTTTGTGGGGCGCTCTTAAACAACTGGTGTATGCTGAACAAATTAATACTATTGATCAGTTACACGAAAGAATAGATAATGCGTTTCGTCAAATTCAAGCCACAACAAATTAAATACGTTTTTCTTTATTAAAAAGATGCCGCACTTGTATCCATCAGAATGGTGGTCTTTTTGAATATTTATTGAAATAAAGCTTTGATTATTTAGTTTGTTTTTCCTTATTTTTACGAACACAATGTACTCTAGGAAAAAACACAAGAGTAATTATTTGTAGCGAATTGAAGGTAAAATTCGGAAAATTCGCGAAAAAAGAAACGGTGTACTATTTTTATTTGGAAAAACAATGCCATTAATCCCCTGTATTCCCGCCACTGGTGCACGTTAATTTTAAGTAAAGACTTGTGAATGTGGAGAATATTTAGGTAAATCCACATACCAAATTTTAGTTACATTCACTTGACAGTTTTGAAGATATTAAAAAAAAATGTTTTTAATTTTTAAACTTCAACACCTCGTCTCTTCACGACTTGTGACTCACCCTGTATGTATGATACGGATACCGGACATCTTGGGATCAATACTTAAAGGATCCTTTTTCCTCATTCTTTGTATTGCATTTGCTAAAATCTAACACAAGGAACAAATCAATCTACACGGTAGAACATCGGGTGTCGCTCTAATCAGGTCAAGGCAATGGCCACGGCAGTCCCAGAAAAATCCACAGGCCCCCCGAGGCCGGCAGTCAGCCTCTAAAAGGCTCATGATGACAGCCATTGCTGCCTCGTCGTTACCGTCCACGGCCGCAGAATGGCCCGCGCTGCCGTTGCTGCCCCCCCTGTCGTGGCCGTTGGTGGTTCCACTACCGTCCAGTATCTCCATCATGGCCCCTTCATCGCTACAGCTGCCACCTAGAACTATAGGGTATTATTTCTCCTAGTTTGTGTAGCTGCTAAATAGAACCGCATAATGTTTGAATTACTGTTTACCAGAGGCGTATACAGTGAGATCCGAAATTGCCACATATACGTTACAAAGGTATAGAAGCCGGCCAGCCAGCGAAGCTCATCATGAATTATGGTGCATGTTGAAAATACGAGTATGCGTTAATTTATTCTCTTCGTCCAAATAATGGTTTTATTTTGAGCGTATACATTTTAGTTTGGGGGGTTAGGCTTCGGAGAGGAAGGGGTAGGTTTAGGGGGGGGGGGTTCCGAAAGTCACAATCACGGGCGTATTAGTCAGTCAATAGAGATGTGCGGTGGAACTGGCGTCTAAAGTAAATTAGCAAGTATACTTTATCTGAAGTCACTTGAAACACTGTGAAATACCGGGTGCGTTTTATATATCTATATTTAACACGCTCTGTTGCTGCAAAAATCGCCAAATTTCGCAGCAAATATCCCCCGTATAAGATCAAAGGCAGTTTCACCGGTCCACGTGGAGTAAAGCACGCCTATGCGTGGACATAGCCAATGAGAAAGCGTGTATTTCAGAGCTTCGAACAAGTGCAGGTGGCTACTGAAAATTGAAACAGTTTAGCCAGTGCCGTGTAGCGGTGAATAAACGTGTTTTCTTTAGTCTGTCCGTGTTTTTTCATAGATTTTATTAGTTTGTGTGTTTTTGACTTTTGAATACTCAGTTTACTTGTTGATTTAATTGTTGTGTTGATTGTTTTTGTGTGTCCTAAATATGGCTCTTTGGAGACCTTGGGAAAATGCTCCAAGCCACGAGGAGATGGTTGATGAACCTGTGCAGGCAGAATTCTTTCATAAAGATTTAGAGGAACAGACCCAAAGAGTAATCCTAAATATGTATGATTGTCTGAAAAACGAAAATCCAGATTCCTCGCAAAATCAAATTTTAAACAGAATTTGTATCCTGACAAAAATCAGTCGGTCTACCATTTATCGGGTTATAAAAAGGGGAGATGTAGTCAACCATTCCTTCCACAGAAAGCGCATAGGGCAAAAATTAAAAAGAATAGACGTGGGTTTTCAGGAAGATATTCGTCGTATAATATACGGATTTTATAAAGAAAATTTGGTGCCCACGTTGGAAATGATACGGGATAAATTAAAAGATTATCCTGAAGATTTTTATAATTACAAATGCTTAGACTCACTGCACTGTATTGTAAAACTGTGTGGTTTTCAATACAAAAAATTAGATAAAAGAATGGTGATTATGGAGTCGTCTCGAATCGTTGAATTGCGCCAAGAATTTTTGCACAAAGTTAAAATCTATAGAGAGCAGAAAAGAAATCTGATTTACCTGGATGAAACGTGGTATGATACCCATGATGTTGTGCAGTACGGCTGGGTTGACGACAGCAACAAGTGCATTTTAAATGCACCATGCAACCGTGGAAAACGAATCATTATTCTCCATGTTGGCAGTGAAAATGGATTTATACCTAATGCCTTGCTGTTATCTGCCAAAAATATCAAAGAATCATGTGCCGACTATCATGAGGACATGACCTCCGACTTATTTGAAAAGTGGATAGAGCAGCAGTTAATACCAAACATTTCCCCAAATTCAGTGATTATTATGGACAATACCATTCCCGACAGAAAAACAAAATTCCGAATACAGGCACAAAAAACAAGACATTATTGATTTTATGAAGGATAAGGGCATGGAAATACCACAAAAATCAACCAAAGCCATATTATTGGATCTTATTAAAAGACAAAAATTTGAAAAAGAGTATGTTGTTGACAATCTGCTTCAGCAAAATGGCCATGAAGTATTACGTCTACCTCCCTATTACTGCATTTTTAACCCGATTGAGTTGGTCTGGGCTGCTTTAAAAAAAAAGTAAGAAAACATAATCAGACCCCTCAATTAAGTGAATCGCTATTGGCCACAATAAGAGATGCAGTATCTCATATTGCTGCCACAGACCTACGGAAGCAGTGTTCTAGGCATATTATTGAAAAAGAAAATGAATATTGTGTTTTGCCTCCTGTAAATCCCGTTGTAATTCCTCTACAAGATGACTCTAGCGACAGCTCCGAAGGCGAGGATGATATATAAATACCTATAATGTAAGTCTTTATATACCTTTTTATATACCTACCTGCTATGTAAATATTTGCCTATGTCAAACGTTGGAATTCTGTAATTTTTCCATTTCTTAACATTCAGTCAACATAAATTAAACTCCCAATATAAGTATTTTTTATCCCAAATCAAAAAAATAAGAAGATAGTAAAATCCATTTATTGTGATATAAAAACATTATTATTATCGTTCTAAATAAATGACCGCACGCCTATGATACGTCATGAAATTACAAAGGACGCGCCGACCAAAGGTTTTTATGCTATTTCAAGTGACTTCAGATAAAGTATACATACACCATTTTTACAGTGGAAATTATATGTGTTAAAACCCAACATGAAAATTTAAACAAGATAATATAGGTTTATTATATAATGCGTTTCAGTTTTTTCGGATCTTGATATTTTCACAGATTTCAAAATTTTCTAGATCTGCCAATTTTGAAAATGTCCAAGATGATTAGTTTATTGTCTGTTTAAAATTCAAACGGCATTAAATTCTTAAGAAACCTCTACAAAGATAGCACAAAACGAAAAGGATAAAATCGTTCAAACTTTGTTTTTTGACATTATTGGCATTTGGCATTATTATATATATATATATATATATATTATATATATATATATATTATATATATATATATATATATATATATATATAGGGTGGACCATTTATGTGTGGACGGAATATTACTCATAAATAAATATATTTTGGGTAAATCTATTTATGGCATGTTATACATGACATTTTGAGGGCACATTTATAAAATATTGACCATTATACAGGGTGTCCCAATTTCGACCTACATATCAAAGTTGTCATTTTTCAAATAGAATGCCTCAAATTTTATTGCACATTTGGATAAACCAATTCAAAAGATGGAAATTGATATAATATACTATGGGGTTTTGGTAATTATCTACTGAGATGTAAGATGTTTTGTCCAGAAAAACCGTCCACTTCCGCAACGCCTCAATCCGCCATTTTGAAATTTGGAGAGCTGAATTTTGTATCAAAAAAAACTTACACACCTCAGCTTTTGTCTTATTTGTTACTTTTTAGAATTTTCATGTTTGCTCGTACATGGTGGTCAAAAACGCGAATTGTCTTTTTTCTCAGAAATTTCAAATGAATTTTTTGGTATAAGGTTTGATTCAGATAAAATCACTAGATTTTGAGTTATTAAGCTTTTAATTGAACAACACACCAAAATTAAAAAAATCACATCATGCATGGAGATAAAAGAAAAACAGTGGGCTAGTTCAATATTGCCACTAAGAGTACAGATTTGACAGAAGTTCTGCATATATCAGTTTCTGCTCCAATTTGCCGTGCACTTAAATGGGGATTTTCCTGCAACTTTAATAGAACCTCCAACTGATTCGCCTCATTGGTGACACTTGAATTATTTATACATTTCTTACTATATTCCACTGCTCCACTTGATTCAAAACGTTCTCGTAGTGTGGAAAATATTTCCGGCCTGGGTTGTCGCATATTAGGGTACCGTTAATTATAAATGCGAGATGCTAGGAAACTATTTCTTTGGGCTTCGCCCAAAACGAACACCATATTCACCATTTCTTTAGAAAAATTCATTTTCGAACACGTTTTTATTATAATGCTCACAAAGCTAATTTTGACAGTTTGTAACTAATCAACAATTTATTTGTTTCCAAGGATGATGCGATATTTTAGGGAATTAAGCCGTTCCATAAAATAACCGAATAGCCGTAAAAACCCTTATGTGTCTAGTAGTAGTAAAAAAAATTCTAAACAAAACATCTTATATCTCAGTACCTAATTACCTAAACCCACAGACTACTAAAGAATATTAATATATTATTTAGTAGTCTGTGCCTAAACCCCATAGTATGTTATATCAATTTTCTTCTTTTGAATTGGTTTATCCAAATATGCAATTAAATTTGAGGCATTCCATTTGAAAAATCACAACTTTGTTATGTAGGTCGAAATTGGGACACCCTGTATAATGGCCAATATTTTAGAAATGTGCCCTCAAATGTCATGTATAACATCCCGTAAATAGATTTTCCCAAAATGTATCTGTTTATGAGTAATATTCCGTCCACAAATGCATGGACCACCCTGTATGTATATACATGTATATATATATATATATGTATATATATATAGGTGAAAAATTAAAGCTTCCGCCTTTTGTTGGGTACTTCGACAAAATTTAAGCAAAGAGGACTCTTTATACTTAGTTAATTCTCTCTAGCTTTCAATGGACTTTGCCATCATCATCAGGAGCTGCAATTACATTGATAACAGTAGCAACAATAGTGTAAAATGAATTTAAATTGACTTAACTTACAGTAGTATGTGAGGATGTTGCTAATTGTTGTTTACGATGATGGCAAAGTCCATTGAAAGCTAGAGAGAATTAAAAAAAGTATAAAGAGTCCTCTTTGCTTAAATTTTGTCGAAGTACCCAACAAAAGGCGGAAGCTTTAATTTTTCACCTAACTGGTCTAGACGACAATGACCACGTCTTAAGTTATATATATACTCTTCAAACTGCGGAAATTTTACGTACCTATTAGACATATTTCATACAACATACGCTACGCGCTTTTAACACTCATAATGAAAGTAAAATATTTTCAATACACGCGACCTGTGCAACATATAGATATACTTCAAATGTTGTAAGTTGGGCATTCGGTATTTGGTACACGACTGAATACGTTTTTGGTCAGTAGTCGGGCTGGATTCTGAATACCGCTTCTGAATCGCAATATTCGAATAATACGCTTGCGGTGGCTATGGATGGCACAAACAGAATAGCTAAGCAAAGTTATTTTGTTTGTGTGGACGGTGGTATGGTTTATCTGAAGTCACTTGAAATAGCATAAAAACCTTTGGTCGGCGCGTCCTTTGTAATTTCATGACGTATCATAGGCGTGCGGTTATTTATTTAGAACGATAATAATAATGTTTTTATATTACAATAAATGGATTTTACTATCTTCTTATTTTTTTGATTTGGGATAAAAAATACTTATATTGGGAGTTTAATTTATGTTGACTGAAAGTTAAGAAATGGAAAAATTACAGAATTCCAACGTTTGACATAGGCAAATATTTACATAGCAGGTAGGTATATAAAAAGGTATATAAAGACTTACATTATAGGTATTTATATATCATCCTCGCCTTCGGAGCTGTCGCTAGAGTCATCTTGTAGAGGAATTACAACGGGATTTACAGGAGGCAAAACACAATATTCATTTTCTTTTTCAATAATATGCCTAGAACACTACTTCGATAGGTCTGTGGCGGCAATATGAGATACTGCATCTCTTATTGTGGCCAATAGCGATTCACTTAATTGAGGGGTCTGATTATGTTTTCTTACTTTTTTTTTAAAGCAGCCCAGACCAACTCAATCGGGTTAAAAATGCAGTAATAGGGAGGTAGACGTAATACTTCATGGCCATTTTGCTGAAGCAGATTGTCAACAGCATACTCTTTTTCAAATTTTTGTCTTTTAATAAGATCCAATAATATGGCTTTAGTTGATTTTTGTGGTATTTCCATTCCCTTATCCTTCATAAAATCAATAATGTCTTGTTTTTTTGTGCCTGTATTCGGAATTTTGTTTTTCTGTCGGGAATGGTATGGCGCATTGTTCATAATAATCACTGAATTTGGGGAAATGTTTGGTATTAACTGCTGCTCTATCCACTTTTCAAATAAGTCGGAGGTCATGTCCTCATGATAGTCGGCACATGATTCTTTGATATTTTTGGCAGATAACAGCAAGGCATTAGGTATAAATCCATTTTCACTGCCAGCATGGAGATAATGATTCGTTTTCCACGGTTGCATGGTGCATTTAAAATGCACTTGTTGCTGTCGTCAACCCAGCCGTACTGCACAACATCATGGGTATCATACCACGTTTCATCCAGGTAAATCAGATTTCTTTTCTGCTCTCTATAGATTTTAACTTTGTGCAAAAATTCTTGGCGCAATTCAACGATTCGAGACGACTCCATAATCACCATTCTCTTATCTAATTTTTTGTATTGAAAACCACACAGTTTTACAATACAGTGCAGTGAGTCTAAGCATTTGTAATTATAAAAATCTTCAGGATAATCTTTTAATTTATCCCGTATCATTTCCAACGTGGGCACCAAATTTTCTTTATAAAATCCGTATATTATACGACGAATATCTTCCTGAAAACCCACGTCTATTCTTTTTAATTTTTGCCCTATGCGCTTTCTGTGGAAGGAATGGTTGACTACATCTCCCCTTTTTATAACCCGATAAATGGTAGACCGACTGATTTTTGTCAGGATACAAATTCTGTTTAAAATTTGATTTTGCGAGGAATCTGGATTTTCGTTTTTCAGACAATCATACATATTTAGGATTACTCTTTGGGTCTGTTCCTCTAAATCTTTATGAAAGAATTCTGCCTGCACAGGTTCATCAACCATCTCCTCGTGGCTTGGAGCATTTTCCCAAGGTCTCCAAAGAGCCATATTTAGGACATACAAGAACAATCAACACAACAATTAAATCAACAAGTAAACTGAGTATTCAAAAGTCAAAAACACACAAACTAATAAAATCTATGAAAAAACACGGACAGACTAAAGAAAACACGTTTATTCACCGCTACACGGCACTGGCTAAACTGTTTCAATTTTCAGTAGCCACCTGCACTTGTTCAGAGCTCTGAAATACACGCTTTCTCATTGGCTATGTCCACGCATAGGCGTGCTTTACTCCACGTGGACCGGTGAAACTGCCTTTGATCTTATACGGGGGATATTTGCTGCGAAATTTGGCGATTTTTGCAGCAACAGAGCGTGTTAAATATAGATATATAAAACGCACCCGGTATTTCACAGTGTTTCAAGTGACTTCAGATAAAGTATACTTCTGAATTCGCGATGTCGACAGGTCGCTTACGGAACGAGATTAGATTTCGTATGCACTTGTGCTTGTGCAGTATACACAGTTATAACTTGTGTGTGATAAAATATAAAGTAGACATACCAAAAAGGTGAGTTTATTTTTTAATTGTGTAGGTACATTGTGTAAGATTAATATATTTTCTTATTAAGATTTATGCCAATATCTATAAAAATCTAATAAAAATCAGGTCATGTCATTGTGACATTGTGTATCAAAGTGTTATTTTGTTTTTATAATCGTGTTTTTAATTTCTTTGTATATTTTTATAACTTAGGTACATAAATAAAAGTCAAATTCATAGTGTGCATACGTTTTTTTTAATTGGAATATTCAGAAAGAAGTCATATTTAAATGAATCGGTATTCAGAACAGCGGTATTCGAATACTTTTTTATAGTATGTATTCGAAACTTGAGTATTTAAAATACGGTATTCAGGATTCGTATCCGAATACCGGATTTCGGTATTCGATCCAAGGCTGACATAGCAACCATACCAGATCGACGGTACTGTGGGTAGGGTTGTTTTTTTTTTGTTATACATGTGTTGGTAGCTAACTTTTTCTTTCGAAAAGCTAACGTGTGCTGAACTTACTCCTTTATGAACTGTGACAGCGTTTTGTGGGAAGTACTGGATCGACTTGACTCGATTTTTTGCGAGTATTCATAAACATATTTAGCAATTGTTCCGTCAATTACTTACCGGGATCAGTGGCCACGCTCGAGAGTGATACGTTGTTCCTAATGTCATGGAAATTTGGATGCAACCCGTAATTCCGAATGCCATCTGTGCGGTCCGTTTGGAGATTCGTAGAAATATGAGACTGAAAAACAAAATTGTGTCAAATAAGAATCCGCATTCACCAATAACTTTCACATGTTTTTTTGCCAAGTAGAATGTCAATAAATGAACAAGAAAAATAAAAATATTTTGGCGAACCAGCGTTGTCGGTGCTTAGGCCATCTCACATTCATCCGGTCCATTTATACGAAGACCTGGTAAAAGCTCAAGAAACTATGAGGTAAATCTGGAAAAAAACTTGGCCAACGTTACCTTTACTATTGCAGACTATAAAAGTTGATATTTGTGGTGAACAAGTCGACTTTTACAGTAAAGTTCGAGAGATATCTTCTGTTTTGTGATGAAACATTTTGAACATCTGAATATGGATCATAATATACAGGGTGTTCCTTAATGATATGCGAATGTTTAAGGGTGTGAATCAACATGAAAAATTAATTTTAGTTTTCTTTATAGATTATGGTCGAAAAATGTTTCCTTACAAAACCCGGAGTGTTGAAGTTTTAGGAAAAAAATGGAAGTTAATTAATATTTTCAGAACCGCTTCAGATATTCCACTGATATTTAGTACGTAGTGAAAGTTAATAAAGTCGCATATTTTTCAATGCAAAATAATTTTTAGCTTTAACAGTCGCGTGCGTACGGGTATTGACTTCGATATTTTTTAAGAAAAAATGGTACGCCAATGGTTTTTTGTCAAATAAAAACTATTTTGAATACCCCGTTCAATTTAAAACAAACGATCTCTCTTGAATTGTTTTCCTTCGATGCGCCATTTTTGAGTAAAAAAAAATAAAAACCGGTCTATTGTCCGAGAAAATTAATAGTTGCTCTGAAATATATATACTCGTACGCACGCCACTGTTGAAGCTAAAAATTATTTTTGCATTGAAAAATATGCAACTTTATTAACTTTCACTACGTACTAAATATCAGTGAAATATCTGAAGCGGTTCTGAAAATATTAATTTCCATTTTTTCCTAAGACTTCAACACCCCGAGTTTTCGTAAGGAAACATTTTGGACCATAGTTTATAACGCAAACTCACATTAATTTTTCACGTAGATTCACACCTTTAAATGTTCGCATATCATTAAGGAACACCCTGTAGAGTGTGGAAACTTTTATTCTATATATACAGGGTGACTTTGAAGTTGAGTCATTAATTTTAAGATAATGATTGTAGAAGGAAGATAAACCAAAATATGTGTGTAAAAATAAAAAAAATAAAAAAAAAAATTTACCTTGTTTTATAAAGTATCCTCCCGACAAGTATTTCAGTGCGGACCTGTATTTGATCGTGAGGTCTTGGGGCACCGGCATGCCGTCAACTGTGAGGTCTTAAGTCACCTGATTCACGAGCCCGTTGTACTACATTAACAAAGGCACGAGGGGTTGGTTGCACTCGATTGGGAAACCGATCCGCATAAACATGTGCCATTTTTTATTTCGTTTGAGCCACGCAACAGACACGACTATTCACTTACGCGTTACCCGACTGACACTGACTGTTTACAACTGAATAAAGTAATTGTAAAAACATCGTTCCAAATTCTTTCGCTTTTTTGTTTCCGATGCGATGAACCGATAAGGCGGATTATATCCGTTGTTGCCAAACACGAGCACATAATATATTATTGAGACAGGGCGGTACTCAAACTTCCAAAGGGCTATAACTTTGTTACTTTAATTTTACCAGAAAAATGGTAAAGGAAAAAAACATTTCTTTTGATCAGATCTACTCACTGTTAAAATAAATGACTCAACTTCGAAGTCACCCTGTATATACTCGTATATATATATATATATATAATAGAAATATGTCATTATTGTTGTTATATATACAGTGTCTATTTTTCCTATACTATTTTGTGTTAGTTCGAGGTTTTTGATAAGTTGTCTCCCTTTACCAAAATTGGTCTGGATCTGAAATCAGCGACCCAAAAAACACCAGGTAACCAAATATTGTATAAATGCGTTATTTTTTTGTCAGTTGTCGATGTTCTGGACCACTGTGTATCCATCGGTTACTTTTGTATCTCTACGTGGACTGGCCCCCAAAATTCCCTTAGTAAAATGTTTGATGTGACTCGGAAGATTAAGTATATACGTACCTCTCCACTAGTCATGGGTAAAGAGAGGGAAGATTCGTCCGGATCTGGACTGCTCCCAGATGAAGATTCGCACCGTATCCTTTGAGAATCCAATACCTGTTCTGCTACTTGCCTTCCAATTTTGCTCGCCTCTATGTGGTTGTTTATCATCATCTGTATATCTTTGGCGTTCGCTAAAACAATTAAGTGTAAAAATATGCCCTAAGTTTATTTAAAATGTGTCTATGTCACTACTTTTCACTGTTGTCCAGTCGTTCATTTTCATTGAAAATTCTTACAGGTACTCCGACGCTATCTTTTATTTTGGTAGCAGATCTTCAATGAGAGTTTTTCCCTCCGTGTACTTACAATGTGTGAAAAAATCCAAATTTTCCCTGATTCCATCTGTCCGTTCTGCAGTACTTTCGACAGTCCCATAATCTGTTCTGAAAGTGAAATAATAATAGTTTATTTTCCATACATTTCTGTATCAAAGTATTAGCAGAGACAGAAGCCTAAATACCGGGGCACCACGACTGTTATGAGGAGCTTAAAGACACTTTTACCTGAGGAGGCTTTTCCCAGTTCTTCTTAGCTTGGGCAGTTCAAAAATCAGATCAACACGGTTTCTTTCTCACAGTAGCTGCGGTGCCTTGGTATTTAGGCTTCTGACTACGCGACTGCTAAAGTTAAGAATCCTAGATCAATATACTTGACGCCATTTTTACTTCGGACGCCTACTGGCGGAGAAATATTGTAATTATGCGATAACTTTCGAAAATAACATATGTTTTTTGTGTACATTACGAAAAACCATGTCACAAATTTCCGTCGGTCTGTTTGTCTGTCTGTCCACCTATAACTTGTGAAGTACCGGTCAAACTTGGATGAAATTTTTACACAGTGTTATTACTATGCAAAAGGTTTGCAGTTTTTGAAATTTGGTCCGATGGTCGCAAAGCTAGGGCAAAAACACAAACAAAATAAAACCCGCTTAAACTTCGTTTATTGATGTTTCGGAAGCTCCTGATCATTTTCAGAAAAAAATTTATAGGGGTTGAAAATCAGGGTTGGGGGGGTTGTAAATCAGGGTTGGGGGTTGTAGGGGGAAGTGAAGGGTATAATATATATATATTTTTTTTTGTAGATATTATTCCATAAATGCTTTCATATGCATATCTCACACATCATCGATTTTCCACCGTACATTTGCCCTTAAAAGAGAAACATTTGTAGCAGCACCGTTGCCAGATGGTCGTGACGACAACGAGGCGCGAGAAGTGCAGAGTTAAAGTTCTTGCCGCCATTTTTTACTTACAATATTAAACTATTTTTAGCGATGAGGTTCTCGATCTCCTTCGTCCAAGGGTTCCTGAACGATTTCCATTCGCTCTGCAATCTGACGTAACTACCCGTTTTCGTTCGAAACCTGTACACCCCAGTGGTCACAGCGCCATCGCATATTTTCAGCGCCATCTTGTGGCAGTCTGCCAAAGCTCGAATGTCGTCGTTGTGATAGTACTCGTACATGCTAGTACCGAGTAGCTCTTGAGGAAGAAAGCCCAGGATTAACGTTGCCCTGAAAAAAATTGATACCTACTTTTTGACAAGGAAAATCTTTTATAGGTAGTATTACATTGTCGGCCTTTCGTACCCGAAGTGTGAGATTTTTTAAAAATGCGCTATATACTACCTACAACTTCTCAGTCATTGCCTGAGTACATATTCTACCATTAAAAAAAGTTGTTCAAACATTTTTGACGCGATTTTGGGCCTGGCAACATACATACGAGCCCCTTCCCACTTCAGTTGGCTCAACTATTGGAAATGTGGATACAAACAAATATTTGGCAATTTTAGAAGAATCGCTTTTACTAGTGATGGAAGACTGTTTGACATCCGGCCAAGATTTTGTGTTTCAGCAAGGTGGTCCAGCGTGCCATACCTCAAAAAAGGCTATAAAATGGATGGAAAAAAATAATGTACCACTTTTGAAATGGGTTTCTAGCAGTCCAGATCTGTCACCTATTGAAACTTTGTGGCACGAGATGAAAAAGGTTCTACTACAACATCCTACTCATACAATGACCGAACTGAGACAAAAGCTTCAAGAAATATGCGACTGTTTTGCACCAAATTTTTGCCAAAACTTGGTTAACACAGTGCCCCAAAGGATTTCAGCCGGCATATTTTGGTACAAATCTTGAAGTGGGCAAACTGAAGTGGGAAGGGGCTCGTATTACCCGATACCCATTGTCTTTTAATTTTTTGAGGGAATGACCCTGGGGGCCGAGGCTGAAAGGGGTGAAGTAGTTTTTAGTTAAAAAAGTAGTCCCTCTCAACAAATCTTTTCACGTGTCTCGGCGTTTTTTTTAATCAGTGGTTTTCGATAAATCCGTTGTTTGAAGTTTTCAAATGAACACCATGTATATCATGAATAACAAGTGCTCCAAAGCATACGCTTATGGAACACCAGATGTGATGTTAGTAAAGTTAGAAAAAGTATTATTAATGGCATTATTTATTGTCATACTTTACCTTTGATCAACGAATAAGAATTTGCCGTCCAAGGCATGTCTGCTTACGAATTGTAGGTTCTGTCGATGTCTTTCAGATTGTTGATGTGATTCTACATCTGATCCTAATCCTGGACTCCTGTTAGCGGCACCTGTCACATCTGGTAACACCCTTCCCACCTAGATGTATTTTATTTATTAGCATAGTCAGGGGTCTAATACAGTATGTTAAGGTCGTACATCACTTTTCTTCAACGATTAGGCGCGTATTATGACTACTGTCTGATGTTTTATTATTCATATTATGGTCATGTTTTTTGACATTATTCGTCCATCCGCAGCTTTGAAACAAATTAACGTACAGACGCTGTATTAATTCACATATTTTCGAAATATATTTTTTCTAAAATATTTTTTTTATTTTGAAGAAAAACGACTCTTTGAGAGAATGTTGACATGCGACGTAGAGAAATTATAGGGCAAGTCATCAAAGAAAAAAACAATTTTTGGTTCAATCGATGTTCGAGTTATGGCTGAAAATTGAATTGTTAGAGAAATTGAGGGCAGATTCAACACCTAAAAACATAAAGCAAGCTATACAGTGCTTTTCAAAAATGTACAAAATGATAATTGTAGTTTCAATTTTGATATTTACCGCCACTAAACAGCTGAGATTACAACTATCTCCCCCTCCCCCGTCATTATCGCATTCTGGTCCACCCCCGCTACTGTCCTGTGTGTCACTGCCCCCTGTAGAGTCTTGTCTTTGATGTACAGGGTGGTGCAGACCTACTTTTGCAGGCGCCCATGATTTCAGGTACCCTGTGCATTGGATCACGTTGTACTTTTTATCTGAAAGAAATTTATGCGATATACATGGTGTCCCTACTTGAACGGTAGAAAGTATGTCACAACGAATTCAGGGATTTATTTGTCCAGAGTCTGTAGTGAGGATCAAAGTGCACTTGATTCTGTCAAATTCGTATATTTAGTGCAGATAATTGTAGGTGCTAAATACGAAAGCTACACAGGGGTAACGTAAAACAAGACTGAACGGTGAAAACATCCAGAACGAACTCGGTTTTTTCACTTTTTTGTTTTTTTACTTTTTGAGGTACGGCATTCACGAGTAATATGTGGCTGCTATTTTCCACACTTAGCTTTGCTATTCCAAATAAGGAAACTCTCGACTTTCAGGACATTCATTATTACAAACCTGAACTATGTTTTCTTCTTCTGTGATACCCAGTCGTGGTATCCGCTTCTTCTTTGATCTGTACTGTAGTCTTGCACTTCATTCTACAGAAGAACGATCTTCTGGCACCTGGACATAACCTGGAGGCGCCTTGAGGTACGTCGGTTTTAACTGGCAACATTGCTGAAATATACAAGATGAAACACGCTATAAAAGTTATGTATACAGTGGCTTTTCAAAAGTATCCACCGCAACTTATTTTTCGATTGAGCCACCTTGGAACATTCTTTTATGTTATTTCTTTTTGAAGGTCCTTTTCAGTATTTTGTAACCAAAGCTAAGTCTAAGCTTACTATCATACAAAATGACGAAAATTAGAGAGAAATCGACACCACGAAAAACCATGTCACTAATTTCCGTCGATCTGTCTATCCGCTAATCCTCGGCCCGCCTGTAACTCGAATTTGGATTCACACAAGGTTACGAGTACCACGATAAGGACGAAAAAGCTCTACAGTTTGTGAAAATCGATTCAATAGCGGCGGAGCTGAGAGCAAAAAACAGAAAAAATAAAAATCGGTCGAACTCCGTTTTTGGACGTTGCAGATAATTTTGTAGGGGCTTAAAATTGGGGTTGGAAGTGATTATAATGAATATACATTTGAGGTAAATAACAGTTATACTCTGATACCAAAACGGAAGAAAGTAGTATAAATCGGTGCGCGCGGATCCTGCCGTATTCAAAGACGTTAAGAGCGGCGTACGATGTGCTTTGCTACTCTCTTCCGTTTCGGTACCAGGCGATAGTCACATTTTTATGAATAAAGTAGCATGTCTATTCAGGTACGCTGATAACGGGTGATTTTTTAAGAGGTATAGGATTTGATTTTCAAAAAAACACAAAAAATTTGAAAAAACGACTAAATCTTTATTTGAGTCGATAGAACGGTCGATAATTTAATGTTTAAAGATTATTTCATGTAAATGTTGGCCGCGGCTCCGCTTTAGATGGCCCATGCGCAAGGTCCAATTTTGGCACACTCTCTCCAACATATCGGCCGGTATCTCACGAATAAATGCTTCAATATTGGCTTCCAGTGCGTCAATCGTTGCTAGTTTATCCCTGTAGACATTAGCCTTAACATGGCCCCACAATAAATAGTCCAACGGCGTTAAATCACACGATCTAGGCGGCCAATTGACGGGCCCCAAACGTGAGATAAACTGTTCACCGAACTCGCCTCTCAATAGGGCCATTGTTTCGTGTGCGGTGTGGCATGTGGCACCGTCTTGTTGAAACCACATGTCAGCCAAGTCCAGCTCTTCCATTTTGGGCAAAAAAAAGTTTGTGTGTGCACGGTAGCGCTCGCCATTCAGTTACGTTCCGGCCATTGTCGTGTTTGAAGAAGTACGGCACGATGATGCCACCGGCCCATTATCCACACCAGTGATTTTTTCGGGATGCATTGGTAGCTCTTGCAATGCTTCTGGCTGGTCTTCACTCCAGATGTGGCAATTTTGGTGGTTAACGTACCCATTCAACCAGAAATGAGCTTCGTCGCTGAACACAATTTTTCGATAAAAATGTGGATCTTTCTCCAACTTTGCCTGCGCCCATTCACCAAATGGGAAACGTTGTGCGAGGTCGTGTGGCTTCAATTCTTGTACCAGCTGTATCTTACAAGGTTTTACACCCAAATCCTGTCGCAAAATTTTCCGCGTGGTCATCACTAACACTGGCGGATACAGCCGCAATATTTTCTTCAGTCCTCACTCTACGTCTGCGTGTTGGTGGTTTAATGTCCAATAATGTAAACTGGGTTCGAAATTTAGTCACAAGCTTCCGAATAGCTCCCTCAGTAGGCCGACCAAATTGCCCATAAATTGGAAGCAGTGGTCGATGCACTCTCTTAACCGAGCATGAATTTTGATAGTAAAATTCAATAATTTGCAAGCGTTGTTCGTTCGTAAGTCGATTCATGGTTAAATTATAGACCAAACTGAACAAGTTTGACAATGACACAAGACACGATTCACGCGTCATCTGTCAAAAACAGTGTTGCCAAAAAGATACTAGCAAAAAAATCACCCATTATATGTAAATGATTTGTATAGCATAGTTAAGACTCTAGAGACAACTACGAGTAGAAACTCACCATTTTGATTACCTTTTATACAGTAATGACCGCTTATAACGAACCTCAAGGGACCGGCGAAGTTCGTAATAGACGATAAATAATGCTAATACCAGAAAATATTTTTCATTAGTTTATTATTCAACCAGAGGTATATAAAATGTTTGTAATAGTATATAATAATATCTATAATCCACATTTATAAAAGTTTTTGAAAATCTTTCTTAAAAAATCATTTATTTTAGTTTGTTTTATTTTTGTGAAATGATTCCATTAATATGCAATTCCACTGCAGCTAGTCGATCTATCACACGATGCGGAGTATTTCGTGACTGAAGGAAATGACGAACGCTGTCAATATGTCGGAGTGCTTCTGATGTGGTTGGAGTTGGTATCAGTTCCATACCGACAGATTCGTCATCTTTATTTTCCTTTTCTTCGTCATCATTAGTATCAACTGCCGAAGATATAGCAGCTACAATAGCATCATCATCCAGGTATTCGACAGTCACAATATGAACAAACTCATTGAAATCGTTTTCACCATAAGGAAGATTGGCTCTAATATTGTCTCGAAGATCGTCTTCCTGTTGAATTTTCTTCATCCACTCAACTAATGCCAGGTCAGCGTCGGGATCAAAATGATCCTCAACCTCCAAGAAACCTCCATGCGTAAAACAATTTAAAATTGTTTCTTTTGATACCTTCTGCCATGCCATATGGATGATGTTTATTGCATCCAAAATATTGATTGTTAAATTTTCCCCGCCACTATCAATAAAATTTACCATTCTCGAGAGAAGAACTTGACGATAATGGCTTTTTAAACTGTGGATTACACCCTGATCCATAGGCTGTAGTTTAGAACTCGTGTTTGGGAGTATGAACACTAGCTTACTACAGTCCAAATAATATAATTTTTCGTTTTTCGCGGCGTAACTGAACATCCCAATTACGCAGTTCAGCATCAAAAATCTCTGAGGTCATCCGTGCTCTTTTATTGGATTTGTAATTAACTGACAACTGTGAAACGTGTACAAAATTTTTCTTAGTGCAATGTTTTGCTTTTTGAATAAAAAAACTGATTCTTCGCACTTTTCAACATAAAAAAGCTCTCTTGTGAATTTTCGTAATAGTTAGCCGTTTTTGAGATATTTCGATTTTTAAGGTTCGATGCATTTTTAATTATTTATGGGAAAATATTGGAATCCAAAATACCTATTTATGAAAATATATCTCCAAACATATTTCCTTATTATTTCTATTATTATAATATACTATGTGACATATAAATCCGAAAACCCAGTTTAAATGGTTTTATTTAATAAAAGTTGGTGAATGTATTTATCTTACTGTAAATAACAAGTGAAAAAATTTTCCGCCTTATCAGTTGGACATTGCTTTTTTTTAATTCACTAACGCTCTAAAAATGAATATTTCAGCCGCAGTAAAGAATCAACGTTGGCGGATTTTGGTTCTTGGCATCCTTTACGATCGGTTAGGATGCCTAGAGTACGGAGACCTGTACGATTTCGTCAACTTAGTGAGTTTGATAGGGGCCGTATAGTGGGACTTCGGGAAGCTGGACTTTCTTTTCGGGCAATTGCAGTTAGAGTGCAAAGAAGTGTAGACACTGTGGTTAGGTGTTGTCTCGATTTTGTTTAGGCATGCACGATGGTCGTGCCAGGGTTAGAAGGCGACGTGGTGAAAGGAGGAATCCACAGTTTTTTGTTGAAAGACATGTTCATCACACTGTTGGAGTTATGGTTTGGGGTGCTATAGCTTATGGTTCCAGGTCACCTTTAATCTTCATCAGAGATAACATGAACGCACAGCGTTATATTCACGAAGTTCTAGAACCCCATCTTTTACCCTATCTTGACACCCTGGCAGATCCAACTTTCCAACAAGATAATGCCCGACCACATGTTGCAAGAGTCACAATAGACTTCTTTCAACATAATGATGTCACATTGTTACCATGGCTACCAAGATCTCCCGACTTATCCCCTATTGAGCACGTGTGGGATATGATGGGTAGGAGATTTTGCTCAATTTGCAACGTCCTCCTCAGACTCTAGAAGCACTTCGAGAGGAGTTGGTGGTTGCCTGGAATGAGATACCACAGGAGGACATTGACCACCTGATCAGAAGCATGCCTAGGCGCGTTGGAGAATGCGTAGCACATCAGGGTGCATCCACACATTATTAAAGGTCAAAGGGCTTTAAAGCAGTGCAATCATTTTGAAATTTTTATCATTTACTTATTATGCTTCATTAAGTACTTAAACAAAATTTTATTAAAATAAAACCATTTAAACTGGGTGTTCGGATTTATATGTCACTTAGTATATTTGGTCGCATGAAAATCCGCATGCAGTTCGGGAAAGAAATTTTCAGCATGAATTTAGTGTGAACGTGTGGATTGGTATCTACCGTAATTGACTATTTGGACCCTACCTTTTGCCTGCAAGGTTAAATGCTGCGACCTTCTTGGAATTTTTAAAGGCTGAACATGCAAATATGTGGGATGATGTTATGTTAGATTTAAGAAGATTGGCCCGGTTTCAGCTGGATGGTTGTCCAGCTCATTATTCGAGAATAGTTAGAAACTGGCTGGATGAAAATTATCCAGAAAGATTGATCGGCCGTGGAGGACCAGTCGCCTGGCCTCCACGATTCCCTGACCTAAATCCATTAGATTTCTTTCTGTGGGGATTTCTGAAAGAAAAAGTGTACCAGACTCCCGTAACCACAACAGATATGCTAATAGACAGAATCAGGAATGCATGTGATAAAATAAGGCCTTATTTGAATACTGCTATACCACGTTCGATCATTCGTAGATGTGAATTGTGTATTGAATAATTGGGTTTACATTTCGAGCAACTACTTTAGATTTTGTATGTTTGTCCTAACTATCCAATAGCATTTTAGTTGTAAATAATTAATTTAATTTGTTAAAAATAATATTGGAAAATTAAACAAATTAATATTCTGTTTTTCTGTGTTTATTTGGAGTTAGGAATTATTGCTGTGTTTAAAAACACAATCTAAACGATCATCTTAATTACTTGTAATGCCCAAATCGAAAATGTAAAAAAAATATTATTTTCCCATAAATAATTAAAAATGCATCGAACCTTAAAAATCGAAATATCTCAAAAACGGCTAACTATAACGAAAACTCACAGGAGAGCTTTTTTATGCAGAAAAGTGCGAAGAATCAGTTTTTTTATCCAAAAAGCAAAAAATTGCACTAAGAAATTTTTTTCGATCATTTTAATACACTACAGGTACAGTAGAGAGCGCCCTCTAGCGGCTACAGTAAAACTATGTCCATAGTTCGTTTTGTCGTACCAAAAAACCCTTGTACACCAATTTTCACTGTTATACATCAAATATTGTTCGAAATATTAAAAAAAAACTATTTTAAAAAGTAAATTTAAACACCCTGTATTTCGGAAGCCACGCATTTTTCGACCCATGTTTATATAGACTTTATGCATTAATTTTAAAAGTTCTTTCGAATCTTAAAGTTATGCAACAATAAACTGAAACACCCTGTATACAAAAACAATATCAATGTTAAGTTTCAGAAACATTGCGCCTGCATTTTTATATCTTTATATTAGTCAGATAGAAATTGAATCAGTACTCACTTTTGGCGTCAATCAGTCTTTCTCTGGGGCTGAGGTCTAAGGAAGACAGTTGTTCTTTCACCTTGGCAACGTCTTTCGGATGCAGGATATCAAATAAACTCTGACCTAATAAGTCACCCTAAGAAAAATAAAAAGAAGATGAATCATTTGGAATAATGTTCATTCTACTTTATACTCTGTTTCTAAATGAGTATATTTACCTGTGAAAAATTGAGGACTTTCGAGACAGACTCAGATACGTATAAAATTCTACCTCTATCGCAGCCCACAACGAAGAGGAACCCGTCTGCGGCCTAAAACAAGAAATACTTCCATCCAGTAACAATTTTTGAAAATGTTTTTGAACTTTCGAGGAGTCCCATCAATTTCTGCGAAAAACTGGCAATAAATTGTTGATCTCTGCATTAGATTTTAGCTCGGCGAGAATTAATGAAAAATCTCATTAATGCCTTTGAAGTTTCTTAAAACCGAATTTTCATTATCGCCAACCGAAACTCTGTGCATGTGTTAATTTACTTGAAGAACACTGATTTCGAATATTGTCGCCAAAAAGTAATAATCTCGATTTGAGTGGAAAACGGATACTAGGTTTACCGAAATAGGTAATCCTGCGTGTAGAGCACTGTCAGCAAAGCTGTAGATCGGATTGAGGTCGTTGATATCTAAAAGAACATTCAGGCATAAGACCGTAAGACGAGTGCTCTTGTCGCTCGACATCAACAAAGCTTCTGGTCCGGACTTGATTCCTGCCATTGTACTGAAGAGATGTGCAGCTGAGCTTGCTCCAGTTCTTTCGCGTCTCTTCCAGATATCTTATGAATCCGGCACCTTCCCAGAAAACTGGAAATTTGCTCATGTACAGCCCATCCCAAAAAAAGGATCTAAAACCGACCCTTACAACTACAGGCCTATAGCTCTGCTTTCTGTTATAAGTAAAGTGATGGAGAGGTGCATAAATCGCGAGCTTCTGGACTACCTCGAACGTCACAGCTTGATTAGCGACAGGCAGTATGGTTTCCGGCACCAACTATCCACAGGGGACCTCCTAGCTTACGTCACGCAACTGTGGAGTAAACTCATCCAGTCTCATGGTGAGGCTCATGTCGTTGCTCTTGACATCACGAAAGCGTTCGATCAGCTGTGGCACGCTGCCCTCTTGAGCAAACTTCCATCCTACGGCCTCCCAGAAAAGCTTTGCAGATGGGTGGCTGACTTTATCTCTGGCCGCAAGATAACCGTCGTAATTGACGGATTCTCCTCTTCATCCCACAACGTCAACGCGGGTGTACCCCAGGGATCGGTCTTGGCTCCAACACTGTTTCTCTTACATATCAACGACCTCCTTTCCTGCACGATCAACCCAATCCACAGCTTCGCTGATGACAGCACTCTACATGCAGGAATTCAGAGTGACAAGCCGATCTCTGCCGCTGAGCTGGAAAAAAGAAGACTAGCGACGACTTCTTCTCTGACAAGAGACCTGGAGGCTATCACTGCTAGGGGACGCAACAATCTTGTACAGTTCAATGCTTCCAAAACACAGTACTGTACTTTGACGAACAAAAAGCGTCCTAGCGCTCATACAGTTTCGATGGACGGTCGAGTTCTACCAAAGAGCCATTCATTTCGGCTGGTCGGAGTCCAGATCACCGAGGACCTGATCTGGCACGAACACATCTCTTCAATAGCTGCAGCTGCTGGGAAAAAGCTAGGCTATTTGTTTAGGGCTAAGAAGTACTTTTCTCCGCATGACCTTCTCACTCTATACAAGGCCCAGATAAGGCCCAGCCTCGAGTATTGCTCACACATTTGGGGTGCTGCCGCCCCGACTACATTGTCCATGCTCGATGCTGTCCAGAGGAGGGCGGTCCGACTGATCGATGACTCTTCTCTAACAGACAGTCTCGGGACTCTTTCGCACCGGCGGGCCGTCGGCGATCTAGCTCTTTTCTATCGCTACACCAACGGGCTTTGCTCCTCAGAGCTCTCTTCCATGATGCCGCCGCGCGATGTGCCTGCCAGACAGACCCGCCTGACTTCGACGTCCCATCCTAACCGTGTCAAACTTCGTACATCCAGAACTGGCCGATACGACCGCTCCTTTGTCCCGAGGGTGTCTAGATTGTGGAACAATCTACGGGAGGAAGCTTTTCCCTGTTCTACTAACCTTAGGCAGTTCAAAAATCGTATTAACAAAATTTCTTTGGGATCATCATAGCAGCCGCGGTGTTCCGGCATTTAGGCTTCTGCCTGCGCGGCTGTTTCGATATAAGAAAAAAAAAAAGAAACAATGTCGGGGCCAAGACCGATCCCTGGGGAACACCCGCGTTGACATTGTGGGATGAAGTCAGCCCCGACTTCTTCAAAGCTTCTCTAAGAGGCCATAGGACGAAAGTTTGACTTGACGCGTTCAAAAACTAGGTAGCGATAGGGGTCCTTTTTGAAAGGCACTGCATAATTCCATAATTAAACAGGTTCATAATACGCCTATGAAACGAGAACACCTATTTTTCCATGAAGATAACCGACGCTCCTTTTATAGTCATGAACAATGAACATGTAAGGATTACATACCTCACGTGAATAACTGAACTACGGTTTTTTTATTCGCACAATAGTAATAACAAAATACCAGATAGATCGTTAGATTATTCTGTATCGCTCATTTCTATTACCACCTAAGAGAAAAATGCAAAAGTACCGTTGCAGGTTGGCCTTGCAGCTCTTGCTGTTTTCATATTCACCGTAAGATCGTTATTGTTGAGATGCAGATATCAACAAATGTTACAGTAATATCAAGGCTTTTGTGTCACACTACCCTCGCATAGGTGGAACGTTTTTGCAGGATTATCCAAAAATGACAAGAGCCAAAAACTTTTTTCTGGTACGTCTCTGAAGATACCCTACGTTGGCGGTTTTAGAAAGACAAGACAAGGAACATGAAAGAAAACCGGTGATTCACTAATGCATGAAATGCAACAACACAATATTCCTGCCTCCCTCACCCACGTGGTAGAGAAATATCTCAATGGTTGAACAGTGCGCAGAAAAATTTTAAACGTTTTATCCAGTCCACGGGAGTTAGTGAATCGTGTGCCACAAGGCTCAATTTTGGGTCCGGTTTTATGTTCTAGACCTTCCAAAAAACTACGTTGCGGGAACTATTTTCTCACAATACTTAGATGACTATGTGTGTATTAAGTCGTTCCTCAAATCTAGATCGCACGAATAACATGAAAAATCGAAAAATTTAATGTTGTCAAACTACCTAAATATTCTTAAGGATCGTCAAGAAGCACTTTAGGAGGTACTGTTATTCTAAATATTTGTTTTTTTTAATTGCTAGCCAAGCGCGCTGATGTAGAAGTAGAATATACATTCCCTAAAGAATAATCAAGAACTTTCACAACATTAAAATTTTTATTTTTCATATTAGCTTTCGTGGTTGAAAAGGAATATTTTGCGATTTTTGATATACGTATTAAATTGCTTATGTAAAAAAAATTTAAGTTTAGAGAAGTTCTTAAGAACATTTATTGCGTAGAATGATCGTATTAACTTTGAAAAAACAATTTTAGGAACTGGTTAAAAACATTGTTCAGGCAATTTTTGATGCAATTTTGGGCCTGGTAAAATACATATAATTGATTTTTTCACGGACTATATGAAGTACTACCATCTGTCTAATAATACTAGTTTTCAGAAGTGGGATCAATAGTTTCCACTAGTTGCATGATAAAACCCTTGATCAACAGGTTGCGTTACTCCTTACCTGCAATATGAGGTGTTTAAGTTCCTGATCAGAAAGAAACGAAGGCTTGTAGTGTCCCTCCGTGTACGACGGTACAGCGCCTTTGATACTCTTCAGATGCTGAACGGCCATCCGTAATACTGTCAATTTGTCCAGCTTGCGGGACATCGCGTGGCACATGGGCACCATTGCGGACAATTGAGTGATGTACGTGTTCATCTTGTCTCTGCGTCGTTTCTCTACCTCGCTGTGGTTCTGCCTTGAACATATGTCAGAAGGACATCGTTTTATATTGTCCATCATGCAAACATAGAACTTATTTGTACCCTTCATTATCTTACCTCGTTTCAAGCTAGCCATACATAATTTGTTTTGCGAACTGTCGCACTTTAACGTGTGTGGCCAGCTTAAGATAAAATAAGGAAGATTACATCGTAAGTAACCTCCCTGACAAATTTAGGTTAAGTGTCACTTCTTTTTTTCGTTGCTGTGGTTATGCCTTGAACATATGTCAAAAGAGGTCTTCATTTCTATTGCTCATCATGCAAGCATAGAGCTTATTTGTCGAATACGATATTATCATTGACAATCTTACCCTTGTTACATATACTAAGTGACATATAAATCCGAACACCCAGTTTAAATGGTTTTATTTTAATAAAATTTTGTATAAGTACTTAATGAAGCATAATAAGTAAATGATAAAAATTTCAAAATGATTGCACTGCTTTAAAGCCCTTTGACCTTTAAAAATGTGTGGATGCACCCTGATGTGCTACGCATTCTCCAACGTGCCTAGGCATGCTTCTGATCAGGTGGTCAATGTCCTCCTGTGGTATCTCATTCCACGCAACCACCAACTCCTCTCGAAGTGCTTCTAGAGTCTGAGGAGGACGTTGCAAATTGAGCAATCTCCTACCCATCATATCCCACACGTGCTCAATTGGGGATAAGTCGGGAGATCTTGGTGGCCATGGTAACAATGTGACATCATTATGTTGAAAGAAGTCTATTGTGACTCTTGCAACATGTGGTCGGGCATTATCTTGTTGGAAAGTTGGATCTGCCAGGGTGTCCAGATAGGGTAAAAGATGGGGTTCTAGAACTTCGTGGATATAACGCTGCGCGTTCATGTTACCTCTGATGAAGATTAAAGGTGACCTGGAACTATAAGCTATAGCACCCCAAACCATAACTCCAACAGTGTGATGAACATGTCTTTCAACAAAAAACTGTGGATTCCTCCTTTCACCACGTCGCCTTCTAACCCTGGCACGACCATCGTGCATGCCTAAACAAAATCGAGACTCGTCACTAAAGACAATACTGTTCCATTCCTGATCCCAGAGTGACCGTTGTCTGCACCACTCAAGGCGATGTTCTCGAGTTGAAGGGAGGACCCAGTGTGGCCGGTATGAAACCAAGCCAACACTTCGCATGCCAATAGGTCTTCCGTGTTCTGCAAACCATTCATTTGCAATGGACCTGGTAGTGGAGAAACGGTCCCTTAAGGCCAATAATCTTAGGCGGCGATCCACACGGTCTGTTGTTCTACGGCGGCGTCCAGTGCCCCTTGCTCGCCTACGCAAAGGCGTACGGCCATGCCTGACAACACCTAACCACAGTGTCTACACTTCTTTGCACTCTAACTGCAATTGCCCGAAAAGAAAGTCCAGCTTCCCGAAGTCTCACTATACGGCCCCTATCAAACTCACTAAGTTGACGAAATCGTACAGGTCTCCGTACTCTAGGCATCGTAACCGATCGTAAAGGATGTCAAGAACTAAAATCCGCCAACGTTGATTCTTTACTGCGGCTGTAATATTCATTTTTAGAGCGTTAGTGAATTAAAAAAAAGCAGTATAAAAACCGGAATGTCCAACTGATAAGGCTGAACATTTTTTCACTTGTTCTTTACAGTAAGATAAATACATTCACCAACTTTTATTAAAATAAAACCATTTAAACTGGGTGTTCGGATTTATATGTCACTTAGTATACATACAGGAGATTGTTTTACAAACTATCAAACTTTAACGTGTATTGCCGCCTTAAGATAAAGCAGGGAAGATCACATAGTAAGTGACAAATAACACTTGTTTGACAAACACAGCTTAAAGTGTAATTCAGCCTTGGATATATTCAAAAAAATATCGAACATGTCATTTGATGTGGTGTTTCCTTTTTGATTTCAAGCTTGTCATAGGCGCGGAGGTGGAACGGCAGGGTTATTACGTTAAAACGTATATGACGTCAGAAAAATCGGCAAAATGTCAACTTGTGTAGTTGTTGCCGTTAATGTGCCGCTAGCTTATTCCGTGCCAACTATACAAGTGAGCAAAGATGACATTTTATAGGAAAACCTGCAAAATGTCTTAAAAAACATACATAGTCATAAAATATCCATATAATGTCACATAATACGGACGCGGAAGGATCCTTATCGTGTATGGCTAGCCTAAGCTCAGGTAAAGAACGGTCACATTGTGAGTCGAAAAATCAAGAAGGCGCCTCTCTGTTTTAGTAACTCAAAAACTAATCGTACAAACCCCCATTAACCTTATATGTATTAGAAAAAACTTGCGATAAGGGGACTCAAGGAATTTGTAAATATACATGGTGTTTCATTTGAAAATTTTGAGAAACAGATCATATTGTGTTATTGATCACCTTATATAAACTATCAAAAAAAAAACTGAAAAGGTAGGTAGATAGGGAGAAACTATGGAATCCTAAAATCAGTTGCGGAGTTGTTAAAGTTGGGTGTTTTTTATTCGATAGATTGTCCAATATTTGAAAATAAAACCTTATAGTATGTTGTCTCGAATTGCTTCGTTTGAAAAGACCTATCCAAATATGCAATAAAATTGAGGGCTTTCCACTTAAAAAAAAATATGTTTGAGCCGCCACGTAGTTATCAATATTCTATAGAGATAAAATAATTTTTTTATGTTTTGTATCCAACTTATACCATGCATACCCTGTATCAGAGTTATCAACCGATCTCACACTAAAAACTCACCCTGAATGTTGGATATGTCAAGTAGAACAACTCGAAATTTTCCTTGAGAGAAATGCTTTGTTTTGAAATCCCAGCAACTATGATTCTATTAGGTTAATTGCAAATAATACATTTGACATTGGAGTAGAACCATCGTTTGAATAAATTCAAGTATATAATATTCGGAAGGTCTAAGATGCCGATGAAATTAAATGTCAGTGTCGGAACCAGTGCGTCAAGCAGATTGACTCAGTGATTCACACACAATGACAATAGTGTGCTTCTTGTTCGCTAAACTTATGTGAAAAAGCAAATGGAGGACGCATTCACGATCGAAAACGAAGGTGCTTGGAAATATACTAAGTGACATATAAATCCGAATACCCAGTTTAAATGGTTTTATTTTAATAAAATTTTGTATAAGTACTTAATGAAGCATAATAAGTAAATGATAAAAATTTCAAAATGATTGCACTGCTTTAAAGCCCTTTGACCTTTAATAATGTGTGGATGCACCCTGATGTGCTACGCGTTCTCCAACGCGCCTAGGCATGCTTCTGATCAGGTGGTCAATATCCTCCTGTGGTATCTCATTCCAGGCAACCACCAACTCCTCTCGAAGTGCTTCTAGAGTCTGAGGAGGACGTTGCAAATTGAGCAATCTCCTACCCATCATATCCCACACGTGCTCAATTGGGGATAAGTCGGGAGATCTTGGTGGCCATGGTAACAATGTGACATCATTATGTTGAAAGAAGTCTATTGTGACTCTTGCAACATGTGGTCGGGCATTATCTTGTTGGAAAGTTGGATCTGCCAGGGTGTCAAGATAGGGTAAAAGATGGAGTTCTAGAACTTCGTGGATATAACGCTGCGCATTCATGTTACCTCTGATGAAAATTAAAGGTGACCTGGAACCATAAGCTATAGCACCCCTAACCATAACTCCAACAGTGTGATGAACATGTCTTTTAACAAAAAACTGTGGATTCCTCCTTTCACCACGTCACCTTCTAACCCTGGCACGACCATCGTGCATGCCTAAACAAAATCGAGACTCGTCACTAAAGACAATACTGTTCCATTCCTGATCCCAGAGTGACCGTTGTCTGCACCACTCAAGGCGATTACGTCGGTGTTCTCGAGTTAAAGAGGACCCAGTGTGGTCGGTATGAAAACAAGCCAAAACTTCTCATTCGTCGGTAAACACTTCGCATGCCAATAGGTCTTCCGTGTTCTGCAAACCATTCATTTGCAATGGACCTGGTAGTGGAGAAACGGTCCCTTAAGGCCAATAATCTTAGGCGGCGATCTTCACGGTCTGTTGTTCTACGGCGGCGTCCGGTGCCCCTTGCTCTTTGCGTACGGCCTTCTCGAAGCCATGCCTGACAACACCTAACCACAGTGTCTACACTTCTTTGCACTCTAACTGCAATTGCCCGAAAAGAATGTCCAGCTTCCCGAAGTCCCACTATACGGCCCCTATCAAACTCACTAAGTTGACGAAATCGTACAGGTCTCCGTACTCTAGGCATCGTAACCGATCGTAAAGGATGTCACGAACCAAAATCCGCCAACGTTGATTCTTTACTACGGCTGAAATATTCATTTTTAGAGCGTTAGTGAATTAAAAAAAAAGCAGTATAAAAACCGGAATGTCCAACTGATACTGACTTGTTATTTACAGTAAGATAAATACATTCACCAACTTTTATTAAAATAAAACCATTTAAACTGGGTGTTCGGATTTATATGTCAATTAGTATATTATAAAATGACACTGCCAATGTTTCGCTATCTTCCCTTCCACCAGTGCATGGGCGCCCATTAGGGGGCAAGGGGGGGCATATGTCCACCTGGCTTCCGCTTGAGATGTAAAATATACTTAATAGGGTTGCTTAATCATGGAGTTCGTGCGCTTGAAGCTTGACATAATCCCTCAAGTAAGGAACGTCAAGGTCTCTGTGTAGTGTCTCATTTGAGGCATATCATGGAGCGTTGCAAAATGCTCGTCAAGTTCTGCTTGGTAGAAGACTTTGCATGCGTGTCTCAGAGAGAAAACACCAAGCCGCACATGCATAAGTAATGGCTGGTCTAATAATCATTTTATATAGTCCAACTTTCTTCATCAAACTCAATTAGGAGGATTACCTAACAAGGAATATAGTTTTAAGTTTCTGCCAGGTCATGCTTTTAATAGCAAAGGTGACCTCGAGGTTTTATAAAACCTCATGCTCATTGTTACTTACACTGTCTAG